ATGTACTGACCACTCATCTTCTATGAATTGCTTTATATTTCAGCAGTTTTTCCAGTGAATAATCTGATTAATATATAATATGACCTTATGTATTAGTTATGTAAACCTTTTGGCTGCTAGTTTTTGCACATTCTTTTATTTCCTGTCTGTTACTTGTCTTTTTGTCAGTGCTGTAGTGTCTCTCTCTCTTGCTCTCACTTATTCTCTCATGGAATTTAAACAGTTTTATGTAGGCAAATATATATTTTTTTCTTTATGGCTTTTGGATTTTTCTTGCGTAGGAAAACTTTCCTTATCTCAATATTATGAAATTGTTCTTTAGTATTTTTCCTAATAGCTTATGGCTTTTTTTTTTATAGTAGGTTCTCTCTCTGTCTCTCCCTATCTCTCTCTCTCTGTCTCTGTCTCTCTCTCTCATATTCACACATACACACACACTTTCAAATTTGGTATAAGTTTTTTTTTCCAGATGGATAGTCAGTTGTTCTGATAATGTTTTATTGACAAATCCATTCTTTTACCACTGATTTGAAATATTACCTTTACCATATTAAGTTTCTATGAACATACTAATAACTGCTTTATATTTTTAATTAGTTTATGTTTATAACTTACTAGTTTCGTTATTAAGAGCTCAAAGAATGTTTTAGCACCTGATAATGCAAGTCTTCTCTTGTTCTAGTTTTTCAAAAATATCTTGGTATTCTCACAGGTTTATTTTCAGTGAACTTACGAATTAGCTTCCATGTTAAGTACTGCCTCCCTTCCCCTAATCTTCAAAACCTGTAACATCTCACTATTTCTCCTCTACTCTTATTAGCCTAGTTTAAGCTACCGTCTTCTCTTAACTTAACTATCTTTTAATATACAGCAGTAAGAAGGCTCTTTTGAAAAACATAAATCAGTTCCTTGCTTACATCCCTTCAATATTTTCTTCCCTTCTTTTCGTTACCTATTGCCACATAACAAACTACTCCAAAATGTTACAGCCAAAAACAACCTGTTGGTTTTGCTCACAATTTTGCAAGAATTTCATGACAGGTTCAGCTGCGTAGTTACGTGCCATTGGGTAGGACAGCTAAGGCTGGAGAATCCCTTGCAATGTGACTTCTTCAGTCACATGTCTGGTACCTCAGTGCTTCTTGCCTTTCTCCCCACGTGGCATCTCATTCTTCAGAATTTGCTCATGTGGACTGGGCTTCTCACAGCATGGTCTCAGAATAATCCCACTTTTTACATGGTAGCTGGCTTCCAGGAGGAGGGAAATAAAAACTGTCAGACTAATTAAGGGATATTCCTGGAACTGGCGTAGTGTCTCTTCTGCCATATTTTATTGGTCAGAACAGTCATAAGACCTGCCTAGATACAAAATATTAGAAAAATAGACTTCACTTCTTGATGTGGGAATGGCAAGGCCTTGTTGCAGTAGAGCATGTGGGATGAGAGATATTGTGAGCATATTTGGAAAATATAACCTGCTATGTCATCAAACTCAGAATATACTCAAAGCTCTTAAAATGGCCCATAAAGCTTTCTGTGATGTGACCCACACCTGCTTTTCTGTCTGACCTGATCTCCTACGTTTTCTTCTTTTCTTCTCTTTGGTTTAGCCACAGTGTCCTCTTTGATAGGCTTTGTACATGAGGTCTGTCCAGAAGGTTTCCAGCCATATAATATGAAAAACAGGCATTCTGAAGAAGATTCAAGATACAAGAAACACTGTACATAGGACAATGACACCTCAGTCCCCTTCAAAGTAGGCACCTTAGGACCTCACACAGTTCTCTCAATCATCATCAGCTGCCCTGTCATATTTTCTTGAATCTCATCAATTGTCTGAAATCTCTTCCCTTTCAAAGGTGATTTTAGTTTTGGGAAAAGCCAGAAGTTACAGGGCGCCAAATCTGGGCTGTCGTGATGAAGCTGCCAATCACCAGTTGCCCATAGCTGCAGCCTTGTGAATCATCCTAATAGTTTCCACAGAGGAATGTTCAAGCTTAAGGCAAAATTTGATGCAGATTCATTGCTCATTTTGAATGCAATGACCACACAATACACGTGCTCACTCACTGATGTCTATTCCTCCCACTGACTAGTACAGTGAAGTCATTGTTCATGCATGCGTGGTCCAGTCCACTCTCCTGGGCTGCCAGGTTACATCAGTGTCGCACAAACCATTCTCATTACATTAAAAGTGGCTGGATTTTTGCTGTACAGACCTCGCATGCCACACTCATTCCAACATCAGATCTGTTATAACTGCCACTTCTGCCATGCATGCTTGCTCGTCTTCAGATCTTTGCATGGGTCTTCCATTCTCTTACTTTATTTAGGCCTCTGCTCAACGTCACACCTCCATAAAGCTTTTCCTGATTACCTTATTTGATAAAATCTTGGCCACTTACTACCTGCCTCTACATAGATTTTGGTGTTGTTTATGGGAGCTGGGGTAGGGGGGCCCAGAATATACCTTCTCTGCCTGGCTTCTGAATCAGTTGAGAAGTAAAAGTAAAGATGGAGGCCAAAACATATATGAAATAAATAAACACAATTTTTAGTTATCAGTGCGATGTTGGAGACCCAAATGAGCCTACTAACTACATCTTAGAATTAGGCAGACTGGCCTCTCCAGTCAGTCCCAGGCAGTGTTGGCCACTCTCCTGCAGTGTAGCAGCTGACCAATTCTTGGCATGTTGACATGGAGGAAAATTCTTGTACTCTGTGGCAAGCCTGTTCCTAAGCACAGACTGGTAGGGCTGAGTTGTGCATGCTCAGTTATTTGTCTTGTTTTTTGTATATCTGATTGACTAAAGTGGGGATGAAAGGAAGGGAATAAAGGAAGTGAGAAATGGGATGGCTCGTGGTGCTGTTTACTAAAAGAGGAAACATGGTAAGAAGATTATAAGTCAAGTTTTAAGAACACTCGGTTTGAAGTGCCTACAGGATGCCCATGTGGAGATACCAGATAGGCATTTGGATAACACATTTGAAGATACAGATTTGGTAGTTGTGCTAGTATTCTGTTGCCTGTAACAGACTCTATATAAACATGGTGGCTTACAAAAACCACAAACTTATCTCACAGTTTTAGTGGGTCAGGGATGTGGCACTGGTTAGCTGGTTTCTCTGCTCAAGGCTCTTACCAAACTGAACTGAAGGTGTTGGGTGGGGCTGTGAGTTTATGTGAAGTTTGGGGTGCTCCCAAGCTCACTGGTTGGTAGAATTTAGGTTCTTACAGTTGTGGAACTGAGGCCTTCAACTCGTAGAGGCCACTTGCTATTTCCTGCCGCATGGCCTTCCCCACAATAAGGTAGTTTGCTTCTTCAAGGCCAGCGGAAAGCATTTTTGCTGCTTTAAATCTTTTATGGCTCAGCTAGTTAGGACAGGCTCATTCAAGATGATCTTCCTTTTGATTAATTCAAATCAACTGACTGATTAGGGACCTTAATTGCATCTATGAAGTCCCTTTTGCCATATAATAGGGTGTGTGTGTGTGTGTGTGTGTGTGTGTGTGTGTATGGAGAGGTTAATTACAAGGAATTGGCTCTCATTATTATGGAGGCTGAGAAATCCCACAATTTGCCGTCTGCAAGCTAGAGACCCAGGAGAGCTGGTAATTCAGTCTGAGTCCTGGGAGCTGATAGTGTAGATTCCACGCAGGATTGCCCAGGACAGGAGAATGTCAATGAGTCTCTCAGCTCAAACAGTCAGGAGGAGGGGGTGAATTCCTCCTTCCTATGCCTTTTTGTTCTATTCAGGCCCCCAATAATTGGATGATGGGTGGGTGGGCACAAACTTCCTTACTGTGTGTTCATCTACTCAAATGCTAACTAAATCCAGAAACACCCTCAGAGACATTCTTGGAAATAATGTTTAGCCAAATGCATGTGTACCTTGTGATCCAATGAAATTGACAAAAAAATTAATCATCACAGAGAGATTTGGGGAAATTCCCTAGCTACACTACAGCCACTGCCTTCTTTTAAAATCCTCCCCCGTTTTTTATCCTTCAGAATTTTTTCCCTTCATAATCTTTATAATTAACATTATATAATTTTGTGGCTTCTGCTCTGCCCCTTCCTTCAAAGTCTAAAAATATTTTCCCTCCTTTATTTCATATTTCTTTACTATCAAATTAGTCACCTATTATTAACTGACTAAGCAAATTGGGGTATTGCTACTCAGTCTCTTTTTACCTTTCGCTACACCATTTAGGAATGAGAAAGTTGGACTGAGTTTTGTGTTTTCACGGAGGACCCTCAGCAGTCTTCTCAATTAGCATTAGCAGGATCTAATATTGAAACTGTAAACATGTTCATAGTACTTTCGGTACAGAATGCTACTCTTCAACAGAGTACATGTGAACTTGGTAATTCAACTTACCTCATTCTTAGATAACTGTAAATGTAGTTCCCTAAAGATATTTTTTTTCATGTGCCATTACTCCCTCAACTGTGCACTCTAGAATGGTTATCTTACCTGAGTCAGTCTTACTCTGTTTATTCCAGATAATGCATTTGTTCTTATTTTTGAACAATCTGCAGTTATTTGCTATTATTGACCAGAGGTATGGGGCACAGATTTTCTTTTTGTTTGTTTGTTGTTTTGTTAATGCTTGAGTTCAGTGCATAAGGGAAAAGGTTACATGCATTTTATTGCAGACATTCTCTGAAATAATTTTTGGCTACAAGGAAATAGCTCTATAGCTCTTTCTGTGAGTCATCATCATTCTTGCTTACCTAGAGCTGGGTAAGGATTTAATTTTGTAGGTGGGATTTATGACTTCCAGAAAGAGAGCTGCAAAAATTGAACTTTCCAAGAGGTTTAGATTTGCTCTAAATGCTATTATATGTAGAAAATTGGAGCTTGAGATACTAATATAGGTAACTGCGGTTGATAAAATTTTCCTAAAATCACATGATTTTTGATGAGCAGTAGAGTTCTTTTTAGTCATTTTTAAGTGTAAACTAACACTTTTTTTTGTTCTTTTTTTTTTTTAGCTTCCAATAAAAACAGGACAGCAGAACACACATACCAAAGTCAGTACTGAACACAACAAGGAATGTCTTATCAATATTTCCAAATACAAGTTTTCTTTGGTTATAAGCGGCCTCACTACTATCTTAAAGAATGTTAACAATATGGTGAGTAGTTTTTACTGTACTGTTGGGGAATTTGCTTTGGTTTGTTTTTGATTTAAACATTTGGAGCATCATATTTTGAAGTATGGAAATTCATTTTCTGTTAATACTCATATTTTGTGGATAAGCACAGGTAACCTTTTTTAAGTTTCATTTTAGTTTTTGATTCTTACCCTTAGATACTTTTCTTATTTGTGACTCTATCTCCTTTCCATTATTTTTCTGGAATTAGGATTTCATAAAGATGCTGTGCTATATATGAATTGACCATGGTAATCTATTAAAATATTTTCCTTATCTTCTTATTTGAACATTTACACATGAAATTGTATCAGTCCTGAGTAGGTAATAGGTAAAGTATGACCTAATAGTCCTAAAATATGAGATTGCTTTTATGACAATATTGTTTCATTTCCTTTATCCTGTAGCTTGTGACAGATTGTCTAGTTATTAGAGAAGCTGTTGTTGAAGTGTCCTCAGATACCGATTTCCTCAACTTACTCCACTGACAGAAGCTGATAATTGCTTCTGTTCCCCACATTCTATAAAATCTGTTTATACCCCCTAAACTCCAAGGTACCCCACTGTTCTCCCGCTGTCCCTTGGAGCATAGTTCCCCTCCCCCTCCTAGGTGAGGCCTTCCTCTCTATCAATGCCTATCTAAAATTTCCTTCGTGGTCAGTTCAAGTCAACTGATCTGGCTATTTCTTGACTAAATTTAAATTGCTCTGATTGTTTTTAGCACAACCATAATTTGTGTTGTTTGTATTGAACTATGAAACTGGCTTCTGATTACAGATTGTGAAAATCAGTTCCATTTTTATAGTTACATTATCTTTGTTGTGTTTTCTTTTTAAAAAGCTGATTAGAAAGTACCTGAAACTTATAAAATTGATAAACTGTAGGTGTGAACAATCATTTGCCTTAACAAAGAAAATTCTTATTATGGAAGAAAAGATTTTCTGAAAAAAGGCAGGACTTTTTTACAAATACATAAAGTGATTTATGGAAATACATTTTAGATTTGGTGGAGCTCTCCTGCTGTGCATTGCGTGGGGCCCAGAGATAGGATTTTACTTATAATAAGTGTCTGTGTTCCCAGTTAGATTGAAAATATTTTAATGTTTGGAACCTTCTTTCCAAAACAAAAACAGTAATATGATACTGACATTCATTTACATCTTATTGAGTAAATTGAATTGTGGAAACCATAGTCTCTTATTGGTAAATAGTGAAGTATTCAATTTAAGATAGTGAATGCTTAAAATTCACTGTAATTGTTATAGTATATTTTGCTGTAAGAATTTAGACTTTGATTACGGTGCTTTGTGGCATCAAAGTGTGGTTAAACATTCAGGATTCTGGTAAAGATCTAGATGTGTATCTAAATCCTACATATTGTATTAAAGTATAAACTAAAGTATTTTCTTTTACTGTTAAAGGCTAATTGGCAGACTGTAATAAATGCCAGCAGTTTTGTTCACTTGATAATTTATTTTGTGTGAGCATTAGCATAAAATCAGAAATAATAGATTTAAATATGGTACAGTCTGGGAGATAAAATAGAACACTATTGATTTCCTTGATCCTCAGTCTCTCACTTTTCAGATACGTGCTGATTTGTAGTGGAGAGTAATAACCAACTTTTAGTGTTCTGAATATCTTTTCTCTTAGAGAATATTTGGAGAAGCTGCTGAAAAAAATTTATATCTCTCTCAGTTGATTATATTGGATACACTGGAAAAATGTCTTGCTGGGGTGAGTAAATCTGTTCTTGAGTCAGCAGGTTTTGTGAATTCAGTTTTGAGTTGATCTGATGCATCCAGGGATAGGTGTGGACAAGGGGAATGAATGGTCATGGGCTTTCTGTCTAAGGTATGCATACGGATTTTTAAAGCAGAGCAATCTGGGTGGCATAAACACAGTTTTAGGAGAACACTATTTTCTCATCTTTTGTAAATTAAATAGATATTAGAAAGTGTTAAAGTTGAGCCACATATGTCTCGGGCTTTTTAGAAAAGATTTTTTTTTAAAAATATTTTATTTATTTATTTTTAGGGAGGGAAGGGAGGGAGTGGGGGAGAGAGAGAGAGAGAGAGTGGGGGGGGAGAGAGAGAGATAGATAGATAGATAGATAGATAGATATCAATGTGCGGTTGCTGGGGCTATGGCCTGCAACCCAGGAATGTACCCTGGCTGGGAATAGAACCTGGGACACTTTGGTTCCCAGCCTGCGCTCAATCCACTGAGCTATGCCAGCCAGGGCAGAAAAGATTTTGTTTAAAAAAGGCCACTGTTGATTTAATTGATTTGTTCAGGCCTGTGGCATTGTTTAGCTTTGAAAGGATGTGATGCAAAAGACCAAAGTAGGCTAGTTTCCCCTATGTGGATCTATTTTTAATATTTTCCTTTCAAATCTATATGAAAGAGAGCTTAGAAAGTTAAAACTCTGTTACCGATAGGTCCTACCTGAAGAACACTGGTTATTTGTAAATATGAACACATAAAATAGATGTATGGAGGACGAGTACAAAACAGTTCTTTTTCAGGTTTTCTCTAAATAGTTATCTCAGTGTATTTCAACCATACCTTAATTGGAATTTTTTCAAGAATATTTCTGTTGTATAAAGCAAACTGTTTCCATACTTCAATAGCCTTAATTCTTCCCTGGAACATGTTAGGAGTTTATATAAATAAATAAATTTAATACCTTCATTTTAAAGATCTGTCTATTCCATATGTATTGAAGTTAACTTATTTCTTGTATTCTGTCCTCTTTTGGCACGTCAGAATTGCTCCTCTCTTCATGTATATTACACTTGTTTATATTAAAGCTAGTCGAAGGGACTTTGCCATGTCAGGACTGATTATGTTGAGAGGAGAGGGAAGGATCAGAAGGGATAGAGTAGGGAGTTGGAAAAATCATTACATTCACACAACTGTGCGTCCTTGGGGAAGAGAAGTGTTTAAGACTATAGACCACAAAACCTAAGCATAATGTTTTAAGACTCTTTTTATTGATTCTTGGCTATATTCCAAAATTGTGAGACAGTGTTTTTAAGTTTTCTACTTAAATTGAGGGTGAGTTAGTTCTGTTTTAGCTTGGTGCTTTCTATTAATTTGTGATATGCTGTTGTTCATTTGTAAAATGGAGTAAAAGAGCAAATGGGCTGTTAAATAGGATAGTGTCATTGTGAAGGAGGGCTATTTTTAAACTTCCACATCAACTCTTTGTAGTGATCTTACTGCTTTGATTGTAAATACCAGTGTATCAACCACTCTCACGTTTGAACTGGGGAAGGGTGGTTTATTGCCTCTTTTAGTTCTTTAGCTTTTCTCTATTAATGTTTGTAACTGAGAGGCACTGGTAAATGTGCGTTGGAGAGTGTTGTTATTGGCCCTTGTTAATTTGATACTCTTTGGAGATAGCCTCATTGAAATACTAATAGGTGGGCATGGTATAACTTGTATAATGCATAAAATGTATATTATCTTATTCTGCTGTATGAGTGAAAAGGTGTACGTTTTTAAAATTAAATTTATAATGAAAAATAATATTTACATTATTGAACATTTGTGTTTTGTTGGGTTACTATTAATGATTTTTCAACCAGGTTGTCTCCCGATTTTCATTTTTAAATCAAAGTTGAGGTAGTTTGAGGTGAAATGAGTCTACAAGTACATGTTTATCATATAAGTAGTTGAAATAGCTAATGAATGTGAACAGATACTTATCAATATGTTATTATTAGTAAAGTTTTATAGAATTTGAGGAATCTAAAATATTTTTCTTTCTGTATATATGACCATTATTCAAAAGATTGAACACTTACACAATTTTTATTTATTTAAAATTGGAGTTATTTTCAACATCTATATTGTTTGGCCAGCCTATACATGAGAAGTAGGCATTGTAACTCAAATTTTGTATTTTTTGGTCTGATCTTTATTTACTAGCCATATATTTCGGTGTATTTGAATCTGAAAGCATTTGGATTGTAATTACAGAATTGAGCATAGCACACAATATACAAAATTTTGTTCTGTCATCATGCTTGGCGTTATCAAAATTGTCATTGATATGTGGCCCTGGCCGGTGTGACTCTGTTGGGGCTTCATCTGGTAACCAAAGGGTTGAAGGTTCTGTTACAGTTAGGGCATATACCTGAGTTACAGTTTCGATTTTTGGTCTGGGCATATGCTGGAGGCAGCCAATTGATGCTTCTTTCTTGCATTGCTGTTTCTTTCTTTCCCTCCTCTCAACTCTAAAAGGAATGAAAAAATGCTTTTCAAAAACATTAATTTGACCTCCGGCCAAGATGGAGGCATAGGTAGACACACTGTGCCTTGTCACACAACCAAGATAGGGACAACAACAATTTAGAAATAGAATAACAACCAGAACTGACAGAAAATTGAACTGTGTGGGAGTCGGACAACCAAGAAGTTAAAATAAACCCGTTTATCCAGACCAGTAGGAGGGGTGGAGTCGGGCAGCTGGGCTCAGGTTGTGGCGCAGAGAGCAGAGAGCATTGGGACTGGGCATGTAAGGCATCCAGGGCACACAAGACCACAGCGGGCGGACCCTGGGTGCACAGGTGGCAGCTGTTAGACCCCGGCAGAGGGGTGGCAACCGGCAGACCCAGTGAGGCAGAAATTGTGAAGCAAGGCACTGTGTGCAACCCAGGGTCACAGCGCTGGGAAATAGACCCTGGGGACATTGATTGAAAACACCTGTGGGGGGTTGAGGCGCAGGGAGAGACTCCCAGCTCACAGGAGAGGTCCTTGGAAAGACCCATGGGGTGCACAAGCCCACCCACACCAGAATTGGCACCAGAGGGGCCCAGTTTGCTCGGGGGGAGCAGCAGAAGGGACTGAGGTCCAATGGAGAGCAGAGCAAACGCCATTGTTCCCTCTCAGATCCCGCCCCCACATATAGCATCACAACCCAGCGCTGGGGTGCTCTGCCCTGGTGAACACCTAAGGCTCTGCCCCTCATACGTAACAGGCGTGACCAGACCAAAGGGGGGAAAATGGCTGATACGGAATTGAAAGCCTCACAACCAGTACTTTTAAGCGAACAAGAGATAGCCAACCTATCAGATGCACAGTTCAAAGTACTGGTGATCAAGATGCTCATAGAATTGGTTAATTTGGTCACAAATTAGATGAACAAATGCAGGCTATGATAAGGGAAATGAAGGAAAATGCACAGGGAACCAATAGTGATGGGAACGAAACTGGGACTCAAAACAAGAGTGGATCAGAAGGAAGAAACAACCAAACAGAAAAGAATGGAGAAACAAGAATTCAAAAAAAATGAGGAGAAGCTTAGGAACCTTGAGGACATCTTTAAATGTTCCAACATCCTAATTATAGGGGTACCAGAAGGAGAAGAGGAAGAGAGACAAGTGGAAAACTTACTTGAACAAATAATAAAGGAGAACTTCCCCACTCTGGCAAAGGAAATAGACTCCAGGAAGTCCAGGAAGCTCAGAGAGTCCCAAAGAACTTGGACCCAAGGAGGAACACACCAAGGCACATCATAATTACATTAGCCAAGGTAAAAATGAAGGAGAGAATCCTAGAAGCAGCAAGAGATAAGGAAGCAGTTATCTACAAAGGAGTTCCCATCAGACTGTCAGCTGATTTCTCAAAAGAAAATCAGGCAAGAAGAAGCTGGAAAGAAGTATTCCAAGTCATGAAAGGCAAGGACCTACATCCCAGATTGCTCTATCCAGCAAAGCTGATTTAGAATGGAAGGGCAGATTAAAGTGCTTCTCAGATAAGGTCAGGTTAAAGGAGTTCATCATCACCAAGCCCTTATTTTAAGAAATGTTAAAGGGCCTTATCTAAGAAAAAGAAGATAAAAACATGTATAGTAAAATGATAGCAAACTCACAGTTATTAACAACCACACCTAAAACAAAAACAAAAGCAAACTAAGCAAACAACTAGAACAGGAACAGAACCACAGAAACGGAGATCACATGGAGGGTTAGCAACAGGGGAGTGGGAGGAGGAGAGGGGGGAAAAGGTACAGAGAATAAGTAGCATAGATGGTAGGTAGAAAATAGACAGGGGGAGGGCAAGAATTGTATGGAAAATGTAGAAGCTAAAGAACTTACGACACATGGACATGAACTAAAGGGGGGGAATGTGGGTGGGAGAGGGTGTACAGGGTGGAGGGGAATGAAGGGGGGTAATGGGACAACTGTAATAGCATAATCAATAAAATATATTTTAAAACATTAATTTAAAACATTTAAATTAAAAAATTTAAAAAATTGCTATTGATATGCATAATAAAGCTGCTAGGTGAAATATATATGTGGAACAGTATATCTGCAGGATAGTGTATCGTCCATTGATTGTTTTGTTAATTTGTATGGTAGACATTTATTTTACAAAGTAGAGACCTCAGTATTAACACCAAAAGTTAAACTTGGTGTCATTTATAGTGGGGTCACCTGTCATTATGTACTCCCGATGTGCTGTACTACGAGGTGCACTGAATTACCTCAGGTGTTTAGAGTGGATGTAATCAGACCTAGATTTAGGTTCTACCTTACAGAAAATACAGGGAGTAGAATAACAAGTTAAGTTATACCAGTAAAAACAATCAAATCAACAATATGTAACATTTTGTAAGGCAACTGGACCATTTTTTAAAAAATGTTAATGTTACAGAAAACAAAGATAATGTATATGGGGGAATTGTTTTAGAAAAGAAATAGAATGTATGGGGGGATAATTTTAGAGTAAAAACACTAAAGGAACCTAACAGTCATGCTACAATGTATGAACCTCGATTTTTTTGAAGATTTTATTAATTTTTGGCGAAAGGGATGGAGAAAGAGAAACATCTATGTGTGCTTGCCTCTCACACGCCCCCATCTGGGGACCTGGCCTGCAACCCAGGCATGTGCCCTGACTGGGAATCGATCTGTGAATCTTTCTTGAAGCTATGAAAGACATTTTGGGGCAGTTGGGGAAGTTTGAGTAGAGATTAGGTATTAGTTCATATAAGGGAATTGTTTATTTTTCCTTGGCATGAGGATAGATTGAAGTTATATTGGAGAATGTCCTTATTTTTAAGAGATGTTAAAGTATGTCGGGCTAAAATATTATGTCTGGATCTTACTTTGAAATTATTCAACCAGAACAAAATTATTTGGAATAAGTAGTATTTATCTGTTTTGGTCAATCTGCTCAAAAAGGCTGGTGTGATTGCCCATCCAGGAAATGATTTGGATGTTGAGACAGATGATACAGGAGTAATATGAGTAATGTTTATTTGGAACACACAACAAACTGGGGATTCTCATGAGGAGGAGGGCTTATGCAGGGATTTTGTGAACAAGGGACAGGCAGGGGTGGATGTGGGGGACTGGACTTTTGTTGTGATTAAGAGGTGAAAGGTGGAACCAGCCTCTTTATTAGACAGCTGTAGATATTAGCAGACATATTGAAATATTAGCAGTTATTGAATCTAGGGAATGAGTGTATGTATGAGTGTTCTATTATTCTATTTCAGCTCTTTTTATTTGAAAATTTTCATAATGAAGAATATTTACATGTAAATTTAAGAAAGTTTTTGAATTTCATGTTTATTCCTATTTAGCAACCAAAGGACACAATGAGATTAGATGAAACAATGCTCGTCAAACAGTTGCTGCCAGAAATCTGCCATTTCCTTCACACCTGTCGTGAAGGAAACCAACATGCAGCTGAGCTTCGGAATTCCGCCTCTGGGGTTTTATTTTCTCTCAGCTGCAACAACTTCAATGCGGTCTTCAGTCGCATTTCTACCAGGTTAGTGTGTGAATAAATCTGCATAGGACTGTTGTAAGTAATATAAATTCTAGAAGTTTTCCTTTATTCTACGTGAAAATGAAAAGTTGACAGAATGAGTTTGATCTGGGCTTTTGTAGAAATTTTATGCATTGATTCCTTTGAAATTTTTATCATTATGATAGTGGTGTGTACAATTAAATGAGTACTGTTATAAACTTGAAAGTCTAAATTTTAGGAAATACCACCCATGACCAGGTTTTTTTTTTTTTTTAATGAAAACACTGGGTATGGATTTTTGACTTTTTAACATATTATTCCTTTATATGAAATGAGCCAATCAGATGGAATAATTGGTAAGAGTAGCGAGAATTCTAATGATCTCACAGCTCTGCCCCGTATCACAAGATCCTAAGTTACCAACCCCCACCCAGATAATCCCGGACCTATGGAAGCAGAAGGAAGTGAGAAATTGCTGATTAGAAATCTGCAGAACATAGACTGTGTTTTACTGTATTTTTTGTACTATAAGATGCACCGGACCACAAAATGAGCCTAGGTTTTAGAGGAGGAAAATAGGAAAAAAAATCTTGAAGCAAAAAATATGGTAAAATATTTAATGACATAAATAACCTAGGCCACTGCCCCCCCCCCCCCCACACACACACACAATGAGCCAGGTAAGCTACATTCGGACTGTAAGATGCACCCCCATCATTTTCCTCCCAAATTTTGGGGGGGGGGTATGTCTTATAGTCCGAAGAATATGGTAAGAATACAAACTGAAGAATGAAGTAGAAAATCTATCACTAAAAGATCCAGAAAGACTGGGTAAACTGAAGAACAACAGAAAGATATTTAAAATATATAGTAATAAAGTTAAACAAACACCACCCACCAACCCATCCACCCAGGTCCAGAACTGAAAAGGAACCTGAAAACCAGAGATGGTGTTGAAGGCATGATCTGGCCTTGCAACAGAGGAAGGGTGCAGATGGTTAGGTTTTTTCCTCTCCTTAACCCAGGGGTTTGGGGCTAACATCCACAGGGACTGGGTACAAACCATTGTACCCTGTTAATGCCAGGAGTAGAACTGGAGCCTTGTATACAACATGACTAGAAAGAGCCAAACACTCCCTAAAAAATGAACAAGGATTGAAGGGAGGAAGAGGAGAAGACAGGGTGAGAGAGGGTGAGGGAGAGGAAGGAGAGGGAGGGAGGAAAAGAAGGAGAGAGGCCCAGGCTGGTGAGGCTCAGTGTGTTGGAGTGTTGTTCTACTGAAGCGTTGTGGGTTCAATTTCCGGTCAGGGCACGTTCCTGGGTTGCAGGTTCAGTTACCCCAGTCCTGGTGAGTACAGGAGGCAACTAGCTGATGCTTTTGTCTTGCATGGATGTTTTTCTCTCTCTCTCTCCCTTCATTTCTCTAAAAAACTGGAAAAAAAAAATAAGTCCTCCAGTGAGGATAAAAAAAAAAAAAGAGAAAAAGATAGGGAGGGAGAGAAAGGAGGAGGGAGGGTAGGAGGAAGGGGAAAAATAACTACTAGCACAAGAAGTTTGTCTGCTCTGTCTAAGCTTAGGGTAGGGGAAAAAGTCGCCTAGGGCCATTACCTTATAAGAGTTTGAGGCCCTTATTTATGCCACCCATAGACTCTGGGGCTGAAAAATTAACAACAACAAAAATATGTCCAGAGCTGGGCACCTGGCAAAAGCAAATGCAAAACCATCACTAGGACACACCCACCATCCCAGGCTAATAGAGATTCCCAAAGAAAATGCAGACTGCGCTAGAGATAAATTTGCAATCAAAGTTTATAAAAAAGAGAGGTAATAATTCACTACAATTAAGAGTTGGCACATACAAGTACAAATATATGAGATCATTTAACATTCTTAAAAAGAATGTAAAATAAGTGTTTTATTTTTTTATTTTTAAAATTTTTTTAAGAGAGGGGATGGGAGGGAGAAAGAGAGGGAGAGAAACATCAATGTGTGGTTGCCTCTTGTACACCGCCTACCAAGGACCTGGCCCACATCCCAGGCACGTGCCCTGACTGAGAATTGAACCGGCGACCCTTTGGTTCGCAGCCTGACACTCAATTCACTGAGCCACACCATCCAGGGCAAAAATAAGTGTGTTTTAAATGACTAGAGACATAAGAAGATATTTAAAACTATTAAAAAGAATGAGAAACGATAAAAACCCAACAGATTTGTAAAACAAAAAAATCAAATAGAATTTTTAAAGTCATAGAGTCCTTTGCTTCTGGTGGTATGGACCCTCCCATTGAAAAACAATTAGGTTGAGTGCAGTTAGTAATTCTGTGGGTAAAACAGCTAATCCTTTGTATAAAAGAGTTCTATCAACCACAGCACATGGTACATTTTGGCAAAATAATTAAGTTATCTTGGGCCCTGGCCTGGTGGCTCACTTTATTGGAGCATTGTTCCTAATATGCCAAGGTTGCAGGTTTGATCGCTGGTTGGGACATGGACGTGTACCAGAGGCAGCTGGTGAGGGCAAAACTAAGTGGAACAACAACAAAAATCTCAGTCTTAATCTCTTTCTTTTTTCCCTTCCTATCTCTCTAAAAATTAATTTCAAAAATTTAAAGTTATCTTAAGATAGGTAGCTCATATTCCCTTCAAAAAAAGGACAGGAATATCAAAAGTTAATGTTATCCTAAAAGAGAAACATCTGTACACAGGTAGAATGTCAGACACAACAAAATTTCATGATGTTGATTCATCTATTATATATGAGATATAAAATCAATCTTTAGGAAGATCTGCCATTCCAGATCTTTCATATTTTAAGTCACCCAATACTATGACAGCAGTGTCATGAGATAGCTCTATCTATATTAAACCATCATAATGGCATTTTAGGTGAGTGGTCATCAGCTTCTATTTCCGGCACAAACTGAATGAAACAGCAGATGCAGTTGTTTGAAACATATTTTATAGATTCCATTTCTGAGCAGTCCCTGAAAGCTAAAGAAACTGGCTTATTCTGGAGACACTTAACTTCTCTTTTGGAATCAGTGAACTAGATTCAGGAAATACACAAAAATTGTCCATTTTTACTTGTGTGAATGCTGCAAAATCCTATAAAATAAAGCCTTTGGTGTCTAGAAAATTTCTAGAGTTTTCAAAGATGGCACAGAGCAGATGGCATGAGGCTTCATCTTGCTTCACAGAACATTGTATAATGTAAAACTTATGAGTTGTTTATTTCTGGAATTTTCCAGAATTTAATATTTTTGTAATTTAATATTTTTGGACTGTAGCAGACCTTGGGTTTCACCGCTGATAAGGAGGGACTACTATACCCTTCATGTTTCTGATGTCTAGTTTATGTAAATAGATGTTAATAACATTTATTTTACTTAGAACTTGAAATTTGAATTTTAAAACTTTTTATTATAGAACAAAATTAAAAATACACATATCAGAGTATTTTAAATGCCCATGTTCCTGTCACTGTGCTTCAGCAGCTATTAGCATGTTATGATTTTTTAAAAAATAAAATTATATATAATGTATACAATGTAATGATTTGATAACACATATACATAGTGAAGTTTACTGGATTATAATGGTTTCTTATGTCTCCTAAGTTATCTTCCTTTAGGTTTCCACAAGAAATATTTATTCTCTTATTTTTATGTGTATTTTCTCTTGTAAACTCATCATTGGGATGAGAAAAATCTATTGAATTCAGTATTTTTTAATATCCTGATACTAAATTGATAAATTGTTTTTGGTTTTTACTTTGTAGGTTACAGGAATTGACCGTTTGTTCAGAAGATAATGTTGATGTTCATGATATAGAATTGTTACAGTATATCAATGTGGATTGTGCAAAATTAAAACGACTCCTGAAGGGTGAGTTTAAATGTATGATGTATCTGAAATTAATCGCTGTGGGTGAAAATCTAGTATTTTGAGTGTACTAGTTGTATTGAGCTAGAACATCAAAGAGGGTTTTATAATGCAAATGTCCCTGTGAAATGGACAGTAATGCATATGGTTTAATAATTTTTGAAAACTATACGGTAAAGAAAATGAGTATCTTAAATCTTGGTGAGGGAGAGTTTTGTTTAACTGCAACTTGTAATAAAGAGGATATAAGGGTGCTGTTATTTAGTAGTTTTAGAATTTCATCTTAAGGACTGTTTAGCTTTTGTAGTGCTAAAAGTGGATTGTTGAGCAGGATGACAAAGTTCAGAAGATGCAGGAACCAGAAGATTGTGATCTTATGATGAGAAGAGGAGTTGAGTCAGGAATCTCAATTTCTAACATTTCTGTTTTCAGCTCTGTGATGTATTTCAGAGAACTGCACTGCAGTGTTACAAAGTCCCTAATGCTTTCAGTGCCGAGTTTTGCTTCCTTGCAGAACTTGTCAATAGTAGTCCCACATGGGGATAATTCCTGATTTGTGATTTTAAATCTTTGGGAAGTGCTCTTTATGATTATGTTGATTGAAATAAACTGTCAGAAAGAATTGACTTTTTGTGGCAAGGGGGTAAGTGTTGATAACAATCAAATATCAGTGAACATTATTCATGAACTCAGTATAAATACCTAAATTCATTTCACACACAAAAAATTTTTTTTTTAGTTTTATATAATATTGGATCCTGGCTAACTTAAATGTGAAATCCCGTGGTTCATACTTATTGTTATTTTACTTTGCGTACTGATTAAGGAATTGTTAGTAATGTTTTTAATGTCTGATGTAAAAGGAGATTTCATTATATTAACTTTGAAAACCTCAACAGTTCTATGGTATAATTTTCAAAATATGTTGTTTTGTTTTCTTTTTCTTTTAAAGATTTTATTTATTTTTAGACAGAGGGGAAGGGAAGGAGAGAGGGAGAGAAACATCAATGTGTGGTTGCTTTTTGCATGCCCCTTACTGGGGACCTGGCTTGCAACTCAGGCATGTGCCCTGACTGAGAGGAAGATACAGTAAATATCAAACTATTTGCAAAGCAATGTGGCAAACTCAAACAGGGTGAGCATAAAGTGAGAGAATAAGTATGCATTTGTTTGTGGATGACAGATATTAAGAGGAAAAGAGCAAGATACGGAGTTACAAGAGTAGGTCAGATTATATTAATAAAATGCAGTAATATATGTTGTATTTTCAGTATGTGCCATGCATCACGCTGTGTAGCTTACGTGCTTTTTCTCATCAGTCCTCGCAGTAACCCTGTGAAGCAGGTAGTAGTTTTATAATCCCCTTTGTAGATGAGGAAACTGAGGCTTCAGTAACGTTCCCAAGACCATAGAGCTGGTGAGTGGCAGGGTAAAATTCAAATCACATCTGCCCATCCCTAGAGCCAGAGTACTTAACTCCTATACTCTTGTGCTTATGGCTTATGAGGCTTTAATTCAGCGGCCATGGGAAGTGATGAAAAGGCATTAAGGTGGGGTTAGTACTTTAGTTTAGTTATACAGTTTTGCTTGAAATTTAGAGGATGGCTTGGTAGAAGTTTACTTGAAAGTCTGGGACTTGGTTGGGTAGTAATGTGAGTGAAAAATAATGAGGGTAGTGGAAGTCTGGATAGAATGTGGTAGTTTGGGGACCAATTTGATATAGTATTTAAGCAGTAGAATATATAGCATTTGTGTGTATTTTTAAAAGATTTTATTTATTTATTTTTAGAGTGAGGGGAAGGGAGGGAGAAAGAGAGGGAGAAAAACATCAGTGTGGTTGCTTCTCATGCACCCCCTATAACGGGACCTGGCCCACAGCCCAGGCATGTACTTCAATTGGGAATCGAACTGGTGACCTTTTGGTTTGCAGCTGGCGCTCAGTCCACTGAGGCATACCAGCCAGGGCGAATATATAGCATTTGAGTAGAATACATCACATAGCATTTGGTGATTAATGTAGTTATATGAGGTAAAAGAAAAGTATCACTGTGTATTGCAGAGAAAACTGGTTGAAGATGGAAAAGAAAGAAAGAGAAGAAGTTAGCCAGGAAAATGATAAATTCAGTTTTGGATTATTGAGTTTGAGCTATCAGTAAGATGTTCTGTTAGAAACCTGTAGAACTGGAGTAATAATACATATGTACATTGGAATTGAAAGTAGGTTACTGTGTATAACATATTTAAGATGTGAAAAAAGGTAAAGTTGACGACCTTGGCTGATGTGGCTCAATTGGTAGGAGCATAGTCTCATAACCATAGGGTTGTGGGTTCGATTCCTGTTCAGGGCACATATCTGGGTTCCGTGTTCAATTCCTGGTCTGGGTGTGCGTACAGGAGGTAGCCGATTGATGCCTCTCTCTCACATTGATGTTTCTGTCTCTCCTTCTCTCTCTAAAAGCAATGAAAAAAATGTTCTCAGATGAGGATACAAATTTTTTTTAAAAGATAAAGTTGATGAACATAGGAAAGCAAAAGGGCCCAAGAGCACTGTAGAGTGAAATGCCATTATTTGAAAATCAAATGGGAGCAAGAGCAAGGAACGTTGGAGGGATATGTTTTATAACTGACTTGGAGAGCAAGTTATTTATTTGCAAGTCTAGAAAAAAAAGACATTTATTTACCTTAAATAATTAGTATTGTGGGGAGGATTTGGATATAAAAGTATTTATTAGTGTTATTTAAAATAGTGAAATGTTGGAAATATCTTAATGTACAACTGCTGGAAAATGTTTAGTGACTTAATACAGTGGCTTAAATATTCTGAAAGAAAGCAAAGCATACTGAAAAGACTACGGCTTTGAGGTCCAATATAATCATTTATTAGATCTGTAATGTTGGAAACAGTTCGCTCCTTTTTAGTATCTGAAAGCATTGCGATTTTGAAAGAATTAAATATATTAGGTTGAAAATACCTGGCATGTTGTAACTGTTAAGTAGTGGTTACTATTGTGTACAGAACCATCAAATATGTGTAGGAAGAATTTTTAATGATATGGAAAATTTAGGATATATGTGAAATGAAAACAAGTTTGATATAGCCTATATAATCTCAGGTATGGTAAATATATTTGTCTTCCATGTGCATAGGAAAATGGATGGAAGAAAATTTACGAAATTGTTGACTGTGGTGGTCTCCAAATGGCGGAATCATGGATGACATTTTAACTTCCCTTAAACTATTGTGTACTTTTTGAATTTTCTACAATGACCATGTGTTTCATATTTTTTAAAAGCAAATTGTTATTAAAAACAAAACAAAGGAAAAACAACCACAACAACTTTTGTGGTTCAAAGCATATTTACTTTTTTTATTATTAAAAAAAGCTTTAGGAATCTCTGTACAAATACATTTACATTCAAGTTGATAATACTACTAGTTTAATACAAGTTATATTTGAATACTCTTAAGTTTCAGACATGGTCATATACACATACTGTTTGAAATTCTCTTTTTGCCCTGGATAGAGATCTTGGTAGTGAACCTGTTGATGATCGATGTGCATCTAGCTTGTCCCCAAAATCATGAAGATAATTATATTGCATCATGGTCTGTATTGTCCCAGACCCTCTGGGGTCTCTCAGGCTGTCTATGGCTTGCTGTGGTAATGCTGCATCAGATAGGTAGAGCAGGAGACGCGCTGATGGCTACAGTACAAAGTCTCCCAGCTCCTCCCTAACAGTGCGCTGAGGTTTTTTGGTTAATTTTAAGGCAAATTGCAAGGTTCTCCATTATTTCACCAGCTGTGTCAGGCATCCCTCCGGTTGGGACTGGATGATAAGTGATAGTTCCATACTGCTGGTAGAGGTCTGAAAGGTTTGGGACTTATATATTTTAAAGATTTGATTGATTTATTTTTAGAGAGAGGGGAAGGGAGGGAGGAAGAGATGGAGAGAAACATCAGTGTGAGAGAGAAACATCTATTGGTTGCCTGTTGTATGCATCTTGACCAGGGATTGAACCTGCAACCCAGCCATGTGCTCCAATCGGGAATCAAACTGGCAACCTTTCACTCTGAAAAACGACACCCAACTGAGCCATACTGGTCCTGGCTTTGACTCTGTGTTTTGATAGTTCCCTTCTAGTGCAGAACACAATATGTCTTGTGTACCATAGCTCTTTAGTTCTGTATCTTTTGGGGGTATTTTTTTCTTTAAATTTACAACCTGGAAGAGCACATAAACCAAGAAACTGAGAACAGTTCACTCATGACACAGATAGCCTCGGTATCTGAATTGGAGTCCATTCATAGTTAATAGGCTTTTCCTCTGCTGAGTCAAACTCACTTGTTTGCAGGGAATTAGGTGGCGTCATCACTTGCCACTCTGCATCGTGACCAGCCGTGTCTACTTTTTTTGTTTTTTTAGTGGACATAACCAGTGAGTTTTTGGTTTACATTAATTGTCCTTTGCTTTACATTGCTTACAAACAATACTGGAACAAAAGGGTTTTTTTGTTTTGTTTTATTTAGTGTTTTTAGTAGTAGTAGTAGCTTGAATTGCATTTGTTCTAACTAATTAGAGTTAATTTTAAAACTTTTTTCCCCCCAGAAACAGCATTTAAATTTAAAGCCCTAAAGAAGGTTGCACAGTTAGCAGTTATAAATAGCCTGGAAAAAGTAAGTCATAACCTCTTTGGTATTTATATTTTGTTAGTTTTTAGCTATAAATATTGCTGTCTTTAAGATTTTGAATCAAAAAGTCATGTCTTGAGTGATAATTTTACATCAATTTTTAGGAAGATGCATTGTAGTGTTTTTTTTTAAGGAAATTAGAAGTTTGTGATATAATTGGAGCTGTGTGACATTTTATTTACTGTGTTAAGAAAATATCCCTGCTTTCATGTAAAAAACATGTTTTATTATTTGTAGGCATTTTGGAACTGGGTAGAAAATTACCCAGATGAATTTACAAAGCTATACCAGATTCCACAGACTGATATGGCTGGTAAGGATAAGATTGTTATTTTTTTTTTGTCTTTTGAACTCTTACTTATGAGGTAAAAATCTATTACTTTCCAAGTTATTTTTTCTTTATAAGGTGCTTTTACTTCTTATCAATTGATGCCAAATAGGGATTTTTTTTCTCTCATATTTTTAAATTACCCTCAACCCTTTTCCTTTTTCTTAAGCAAATAGAGAAAGACATTTGAAACGAAGCTCTCGTCTTTAATTAGAGTTGCAGATAGGATATTTGATGGCTCTGTATTGCCAAGAAGCACTTTATTGTGCTCTGAGGCTTTATTTTGTATCGAGGGAGATGTGTATACAGTAGTGTTATCCTTACTTAGAATTCTCCAGACACACCTGCAAGGCCAAGAACACAGATTCCTGAAGCTGTCCAGTCCTTGTCCTTGGGTACATCAGACTTTGCATTAAGACCCTTCACAGTGAGACCAAACACAATTTTGGCCATTCCAAAATGTGGGTTTTTCTAGGGTGGATCAAGATAGCTCTTCTGATACACAGACAATATAACATTGCTTGTCTGCTTATCTTACCCGAATGACTTTGGTTAAGTGAACTTCCAAGTGTATCTTCTAAAAACGTAGCCCTTGGATTTTTGGATAATGCCAGCTTTTAATTTGATGCCAGAGGTTTTCTTCTCATCTAATAATATTTAATATTTATATTTTTCACATAGAGTGTGCAGAAAAACTGTTTGACTTGGTGGATGGTTTTGCAGAAAGCACCAAACGTAAAGCGGCAGTTTGGCCACTACAGATCATTCTTCTTATCTTGTGTCCAGAAGTAATCCAGGACATAACCAAGGATGCGGTTGATGAAAATAACATGAATAAGGTGAGGGGGGCAAAGTTATTTCCATATGTCCAGACGTGAAGGCCTAAAGTAACCATTTTAGGCCTCTATGTTTGCTGGCCTTAGGGGAGACACACTTGTACATAAATTTATTTGGAGGGGAAATAAATGATACCATTCGCTAGTTAAAGATTTAAAATAATCCCTAGTTTCATTCTTTTATCAGAGAAGACTAAGTGATACTTCTGTCAGCGTTAAGCATAGTTTCTTTCGTACTCACTGCAAGGGTAGCCCTACTACACTTTTGTGGTGCATTTGCACCTGCTTAGGTATGTGTTCACTCGGTGCTAAAGAAATTGTCTAGCAACTCATTCTAGGTATTTTAGAAGAGTTTTTACAGCATTTTATTAGGAAGGCAGGATACCACATATGCCATCAATAGTGAAATTGTCACTAGAACAACAGGTAATTCTAAAGGGTACTGTAATTTTTAAAGAATAAGACCTAGGTATTAATCTTAACTGTTTTATTTGAATTTTTGTATGCAGTTTGTTTTGCTAATATATTTTTTTTCCTTTTGCCACTTTGGGAGAAATACTCTTAGCTGACTGAACACGGAATGGGCTCTTGCATGATTTGCCATATGTGATGTTCAGAATCAGCTGAATGATTCAGTACTTTGTAGACGTGTTGGTTAGAGACTTTGGGCATTGATGGTTAAATCAGTGAAGTGTATAATCCTGGGAGAGTCTGTGATGCTGTGGCACTCCATTAGGTCTGCATCCCAGCTTTCATGTTAGATTGTTTCAGAGCCCTTCAAAATAGTTATTTTTTTTGTTTATTGGGAAAATAGACATAGGTAAAAAGCTAATATATATTTGGTAGTACTTAAGTGAAATTATATTTTAATAATTACACCTATATCTTTCCAAATGTTTATTGGCCATTTGTATATCTTCTGTGAATTTCTCATTTTCCATTGAATGTTTGTCTACTGTTGACTTGTAGGATGTGGGACACTTTTTACTTGGTTTCTTTTTGTAAACTTCATGGGTTTTTGTTTTTGCTATTTAGATACTTAAAATATGTATGTAGTCAACTCAGTCTTGTATGTATGTGTGTTTTTATTTATTTTTTGAATTTCTAGCTTTTTTGGTCAGATTTCTCCCAAGAGTTTATTTATTCATTTCATTGAGATACAATTTACATGCCATAAAATTTACCCTTTTAAATTGTACAGGTCAGTAGTTTTTAGTATATTCACAAAGTTGTGCAACCATCATCATATCCAATTCCAGAATATTTTCATCATCCCCAAAAGAAACCTCATACCCATTAGTAGTTACTCTTTATTCCCATTTCACCACAGCCTCTGGCAATCACGAGTCTACTTTCTGTCTCTATTGATTTGCCTGTTCTGAACATTTTACATAAATGGAATCATATAATATGTGACCTTTGTGTCTGAAACTTCCCAAGATTTTTCCAATAAGCTTACATATTTTTCTCTAGCACTTTTTATATTATTAAATTTAGACTTTTAAATCTTTCTGGATTTTAAACAGTATTTTTTTATGTATCTCACTCTTTTCTAGTCAGATTCCTTATGAGTTAATAACTAGTGTTAATGGTTGATATGTATCTTTCCATTCATTTCTACTTGTTATACAAACATTCATATCAAGCTATATATATGTAGGGTGGTGGTTGATCTCTTTCTATACTTTCTGTTCTCTATTTTATTTATCATTGCTCTTAAACTTTATTTCCTTCCTTCTGCTAGCTTTGGGTTTTGTTTGCTCTTTTTCTAGTTCTTTAAGGTGTGCAGTTAAGTTATTGATTTGAGAGCTTTCTTTTTTTAATGTGAGAGTTTGCCAGTATAAATTATTAGCACTGCTTTCACTGTACCATAAGTTTTATAATATGTTGTGTTTTCACTTTGATTTGTCTCAAGCTATTTTCTAATTTCTTTTGTGATTTTTTTTTGTTTAACCTGCAGTGTTTAATTTTTACTTATTTGTGATTTTTCTAGTTTTCCTTCTGGTGTTGGGATTTCTAGTTTCATTTCAGTGTGACTAGAAAATATATTTTGTATGATATCAATCTTTCAAAATTTGTTAAGACTTGTTTATTGCCTGACATATGGTCTGTCCTGCATATTGCTCCATGTGCACTTAAGAAGAATGTGTGTTCTGTTGTTTGGTGAGTCGAGCTTTTGCCATGTTATATTTGAGAGTACGTGTAAGTGGAGATGTGAGGTTTTCATTTACTAGAAAAGCCAAAGGGAGAAATTTGTAAGTGCAGAGAGGGTTTGAAATCACAAGAAAGGATAACTTTGGTAAGGAACAGAATTCAGAGCTGCAGACCCACCTTAGGTACAATCTTAGAAGAATGAAGGTTGAATATAGCCTGGAGTTTTAGATAAGGATGGGTGGTTTGACATAGACCGTAACCAAGATACTGTAATATTTAGTTATTTTGATACATGAATATTTAGAAATTAAAGATAATGTAAAAAATATGATCAGCTGAATTCAGGGTTAAGAAGTCAACCATCTTGTTTGGAAGGCCTGTTTTTTATGTTTCTTTAATAATTCAACAGCAAACATGAACAGATTCTGTTCTTTTTGGACTTGAGAAATATTTGAAAGACAACTACTTGAGAAATTAAAACCTGTGGATGTCAATTATGAATTATGTGTTTTTATTGTATTTTTTCCATTACCTTTCATCCCTTGACACCCTCTTCACCACCATAGCCCCGCCCCCACAGTCACCACACCGTTGTCCTGTCCGTGGGGATTTTTAGAGCACAGTTTTTAGAGGCTGATCGTGTGCTACTTTATTAGATAAATCAGAAATCTGAGAACCTTCATATATTGTCTTTTTGCTATATTTGAATTCTGTAGAAGTTGTTTCTGGACAGTCTACGAAAAGCACTTGCTGGCCATGGAGGAAGCAGGCAGCTGACTGAGAGTGCTGCAATCGCCTGCGTCAAACTGTGTAAAGCAAGCACCTACATCAACTGGGAAGATAACTCCGTCATCTTCCTGCTAGTTCAGTCCATGGTGGTTGATCTTAAGGTAACATGCTTATTATTTCTTTACTGCAAACTTTTAAAAAATTAAATGAGAAGTAAACTTCAAGTGTAAGTATTAAACTAAATCACTGTTGAAGATCATTACTAATACTAAAGTTCTGAGTCTTCCTTGATAATGAGTTCATAGAACCTGGTCTTATTTTTACTGTGTTCCTCAGGCTAAATAAAGTGGTGTAGAATATGAAGAAAACACATAATTAACCTGTTTTCTTAAAGTGACATAAATATTCAGACTTGGTTTTAAAACAGTATATAACTAGAACCTGGAAGGTATTACACACAGAATAGTAAGAAGTTTATCAGACTGATGGGCCACAATGTCAGCGCTTTGTGCTGTTTCTGGCAACTGAATGTTGCTGCCATCTGTGTGGATGATGTGTTGATATTAAATGCTAGTAAAGGAAATACTGCGTGGCTGCTTACAGGCTTTTTTCCTTTGGGATTTTCATAGAACCTGCTTTTTAATCCAAGTAAACCATTCTCGAGAGGCAGTCAGCCTGCAGATGTGGATCTGATGATTGACTGCCTCGTTTCTTGCTTTCGTATAAGCCCTCACAACAACCAACACTTTAAGGTGAGAACATTGGTTTTTATCCAGTTATATTTACTGATGCTGTTGACCCCTTAGAAATGTGAAAAGGCTAGAAAGATGAATAGGTTACAGTTGTATTGGTATTGCTCAATATTATATATCAGTGTTAATTTCAAGACCTTAAAATTTATTCCATTTTTAAAAACATTCTTTTTGTTTTTCCTTTTGTCCTCATTTGTGTTACTGAGCATTTTTCTCACAGAAATAATCTCCCTTTTCTTCTTTCATCTGTAGATTTGCCTGGCTCAGAATTCCCCATCTACATTTCACTACGTGCTGGTAAATTCACTCCATCGAATCATCACCAATGTAAGTCCAAAAGGTATTGCTAAATTACTTAATCCTTTTCTTTTCTTTTTTTTTAAAAGAAAGATCTTTCTTTCTTTTTTTTTTTTTAAAGAAACATCTTTCTTTTTAAGAAAGATGTCCTTCATGTGGAGAAGGTTCTGAATTTAGATGTATAATGTAGAAAGATTCCTCATAGGTGGTTATTTATATCTAGTAACGTATATACAGTTGTATTTTTCATATTCAATCTTTACCTGAGGGCTGTTAATGAGGAAGGTGGAGTTAATAGGATCCTTTGGCAAGATTAAACCTTTTAAAACATTTTAGTTGGATCCAAAGTCCTTGAGATCAGTGACACTGAAAATACAACTTAACGTTTCACCCCAAAGTTTATCACATATTATTTTAATACTCTTAGCTTTTTCCCAGCATTTGATGTGTTCTGGTTTGTCGCCTTACCATTTGGGTTAAAGGTGGTAGTTATTGTTGTATCCCAGTATGGCTCATTTAAATAATGGTGAGACCATACTTGATTGTACTTTTTAGTCTTCCTTAAACAAGTGAAATATTAACACACTTAAATAGAGGTGTTTACATGTTACAAAACCATATCAGACAAAATAAGCAAACTCATTAAAAGGTATTTAATGAAACCTTCAACTCTGATAAGAGTACGTTCAATAGAAAGATAGCAAAACCTTATCAGATTTGGACCATTGATTTAAAAATTCCAGAAATCATATTTTGAAGATTCTCAAGTGTTATTTACCATAGCTCCATTTTTATCCATTTATAGATATTCACACTTACATAAATCAGTTAACTTTTTCCCATTTTTCTCCCTTAAAAAGGACTTTAATCATTGATGACTTAGGTATATTTGTCCTCTTTATCATCAAATCCTTTTTAAGAGTGTGTCTCTGGTGAGTTAAAAATAACTTCCCCATCTTCCTTTGCCTTGGATGTGTTGAATTAAAGAAAAGTATGCCCACATTTTCTTTTACCCATATCTGCAGGAAGCAAATGACTGTTAATAAAGCTATTTAGTGACATTTAATTTTTTTCAGTGGGGTGATAGTAGTGTTTGGGGTAGGATAATTCTTTGTCGTACAGGACTACTTTATGTGTTGCAGGATGTTTAGCATCCCTGGTCCATATTTTATTAAAATGCCATTTGTGCCCCTTCCCCCTCCTTACCCCCAAACATTATGAACGACTAAAATTGCCTGAGGGAATGGTGCCTCCCTGAGTTGAGTATCAGTGGGTTAACTTATAGGTAGACGTAACAGTAAATGCAGTTTGTTCCAAAAGGGAAAGTTTAATGAATCTGATTGCAGAGAAGATACGTTTTTATTAAAAACTTTCAAATTTGTACTTTTACCAGTGTAATGAGACAGTACATTGTACCTTCAAGGTTTATTTTCAAGTCTGTTAAAAAAAAAAGTTGATATTCCCCCTCAAGCTTATGTGTAATTCAGAAAAAAGTAAAGATGATTACTTTTTCCCCTTTGGTTTATAATACTAAAAGATTCCACTTATTAGAGTGGATGGTTTCACATAAATGCTTAAAATTTGTATTTAATAAACCCAAGTATATAGTTTTTTGATACTTGTGGCTAGTTACTTTAATTGTAAAATATTTTTGTCTATAATTGAATATATAGAGCACTTTCAAGCATGGACTCGGCACTGCTGTAAGTGGCTGAGCTGCTCCTTCGTGGCTGTGAAGCATGCCTGGAGTGGCACTTCATGCATGCCTCAGTGTACGTGGTGAAGCGGTTGTGCATCCTCCTGTACTCTGACGAGTACTGCATGTGTGCGGGTGGCGTGTGTCTGTATCAGAAGTCACATCAATACGAATTCTGTTTTTATAAAAAAAATCTATATTGATTAAGTTTTAAAATAGTAAGCATCAGTAACCTTTCGATGAATAGCTTGAAAAGGAGTGTAAGTTTGAGCCTGTAAAGTATCTTTTAAAGCTATACTTTTGATAATGATACTTTATAATTATAGACTTTGGTGTATTATTTTTGTTGGGTTCCCCCCTTTGGTTTGAGACTAATAGATACTGACTCTAAAGTACTTTCTGACCAAAAGAACTGTTTATAAAGTAAGTAGGTAAATTCAAGGAATTATTATAGAATCTCGCTGAAGACAGGTATTATGAAAATGTTTTGTCTTGAAATCACATGAAGTTTTCTTGGACATTTGGATTCATAATCTTAAATTCATTCATAGTGTAAGATTTCATTTTGAATGATTCTTGGTTTAATACACCTCATAAGTTTCTTCTTCCATGGTTCTTTAGCCAGCTCATAGATATTTTTTAAAATTGCCACATTCTCACAAGTTTTACTGCTGTGTTTTGAGAGTTTATTTAGAAGTAGTAATGGTGTTTGAGTTTTGTTTTTGCTTTTGTGAAACATACCCATACTCAGTTCATAAGTACAGTGTTTTGCTCTGAAATATTCCACTATTTCTTTTAAAGAAATCTGAAAATCTGCTCACTATTTGAGTGTTACTATAATGTAAGATTTCATGAGTTTCTAAAATGGTACCCATGGTACTATTACCTTTGTTACTATGGCATGTCATAAGAGATACATTGTACTTACAAGACCTAAGTTAAATTCTTACTCTTTATAGGATTCTGATAAGCTAAATTAGATATGTTGTTACGATTGGGAAATTAAAGAAATAATACATATAGGAACAGGTCTGCCTTAGTCATCAGTAGAACATGGTGTAGCTGGCGTAGTACCTAGTACTCCGTTTTTTCCTTACGGCAGTTTATTGTGGTTTACTATGGATAGTTCACAGATTGAGATGAGATGGTCTCTTCGTAGTGAGAGGTTTTGGTTGAAGAAATTATTTCCAAGGCATTTTAAAATTTATTTAAATGATCTCTTGAAGAATTACCACATAGTTTGATCATATTGTAAAAGTATTGCCATTTGCTTGGCAATAAACTTAGTGTTTTCAAGGAAAAAAAAGAATGTCTACTTTGACTTGTTTCAAAAAGGACACATTTAGTAACTGCTTAGAACACAAAAATTTTAACTATGTGGTGTCTAGTTTTTAGTACCTATTTTATTTGAAAGTGTATTTTTAACTTTTACTTTAAAATGAATGAATTTATGAAAATTAGCCATTATGAAAATCACCAAATTTTAAGTTAAAATCAAGTTGTTTTATAGGGTATGCCTGGTAGTATGATCTGGAAACAGCCCAAATGCCCATCAATAGTTGAGTAGACAAAAAAGCTGTGGTAATTCATGGAGTGGAATACTAGTTGGTCATAAAAAAGGCAAGGTAGCTTTTGCAACCACATGGATCTGGAGAATATTATGCTAAGTGAAATAAGCTAGTCAGAGAAAGACAAATACCATATGATCTAACTTATATGTGGGATCTAATAAAATAATTTAACAAACAAAATAGAAACAGAAGCATAGCTACATAGAATAGAATGACAGCTGTCAGAGGGATGGGGTTTGAGGGGCTGGGTGACAAGAGGTGAAGGGATTTCTATATTGGGATTGTATATAAAACACATGGACACAGACACGGTGTGGTGGTAGCCAGAGGGAAAGAGTGATGAGGGGATGTAGAAGAGGGCAAAGTGGGGAAAATGGGGATGGAAGGAGACTTTACTTTGGGCAATGGGTACATGATGCAGTGTGCAGATGATGTTTTGTTGAGTTTTATACTTGAAACCTGTATGGTTTTATTAACCAATGTCACCCCAATAAACTAAATTAAAAAAAGACAATTTTAATAGGATGTTATATGGGATGCGTCTCTCTTTAATTGGTTTTTGGGGGACCGCCAAAAAGCCAGAATTATCTTCTGAATGGTGGGCCCCTGGTAGTACAGGCTCCCCCTGCTAGGTCAGTGTTCTAGGAATCCATCTGTATCTGTACCAGCTAGTGGTGTTGTGAGAGGCTGTGTTCAGCTTCATTGAAATTTTTTATACCCATTTAATGATGGGTGATTTATGAGCATACCTGCTCACACCATGTTGAGTGTTCAGCAGTTTTTGACCAAAAATGGTATGACCCCCCTGCTCCACCCTCCCTGTTTGCCCCCATCTTGCCCCAGGAGACCTAGTTTTGTTTCCTTGGATGAAAAAAGTCCTCAAAGGGAAATGTTTTGCTGATGTGGAAGAACTGAATCAAAATGGCAAAGCGCTAAAAGGCATCAAAATTGACAAGTTCAAAAACTGTTTTGAGCAGTGGGAGAAAATTTCTCCATAGGTGCATTGCATCAAATGGAGAGTACAGTACTTCAAAGGTGACTGAAGTTTAAACATGAAAGAATAAATACAACATTTTTATAAATAAATTTAGTTTTTTTGCCCCCACCTTCATATTATGGGGTCAGTAGAGTAAGGAGGACTATCTCAATGCATTTTTGTGATTATTCAGCTTTTCTTATTTTAAGCTGATTAATACAAGTTGTATTCTTAGTAAATGTATGGAAATCATTCTGTATTGATTGTTTGGGCAAGCCAGATGACTGGATTGACCCAGGTTTAAAGAATTAATTATATAACCAAACTAGAACTTGATCATTTGTTTAGGAATTAGCTTAATAAACTAAGTTGAGGGGAAAGCAGTGACAATCATATTATCCCCCCAAAATTACTTCTTTCCTCACAGCTTTAGTGTCCCTTCCTCACTGTAGTTTGGTATTCAAATTATGTATTATAAATTGGTTGTATAATTTATCTAGTAAATAAGTTTTAAATTCAAAGTTTTGAGTTAAAGTAATATAATTTGGTACTACTGATAATATTCTGAAAATTATGGATGGAGAAATTAAATGTTGAGAATTTAACTAGCTTAGTTTTGAATAAGAAGGAACCCATGAGTAGGATGTAAAGCTATTAAATCACTCTTACCTACTAATTCAGTTATTCTTTCAGGTGTTTTCTATAGCAGAAATATTATAAATTTGAAGTCTCTCTCTATATTTTTAAAGATTTTATTTATTTATTTTTAGAGAGGGGGAGAGGAGAAAAAGAGAAGGAGGAACATCAATGTGTGGTTACCACTCGCGCACCCCTTACTGGGGACCTGGCCTGCAACCCAGGGATGTATCCCAACTGGGAATCGAACCGTGATCCTTTGGTTCTTAGCCTGGCACTCAGTCCACTGAGCCGCACCAACTAGAGCTGAAGTCTATATTTTAAGTAATCCAATTCCTTGCATATTCTCCATATGTAGTAAAATTTCATCCATTTTTGTATTAACTATAAACTGTATAGTTTTAGTTGGTTTTTATAAGTGTTATTTTTCACAATATAGTAATTAAGTAATTTAAATATAAAAGTTAAAAGAGACACTTTCAGCACTGACTGGTATGGCACAGTGGGTTGGGCATCGTCACACTGACTGAAAGATTGCCTGTTCGATTCTGTGTCAGGGTGCACGCGTGGGTTGCGGGCCAGGTCCCCTGTTGGGATTGTGCGAGAGGCAACCAATCAGTGTTTCTCCTGCACATGGGTGTTTCTCGTCCCCTCTTTCAGCCTCCCTTCCCCATCTCTAAAAAATAAATAAAATCTTTTTTAAAAAAGATACACATTCAAATAAAATAGGCATTAAAACTAGAACCAAAACTAAACTGGTTAAACCAAAATATAAAAATGTTTTCATAAAATAATTATCTTTTAAAAATATTTAGCTCTGGTCACTTTGTCTTTGTGGTGCTCATTAGTCTTTTCATGTATTGTACCATTATTGCATTATTAGTTTAAGATTATAGGTTTACTAATTGCTTTATTTCATTTACTAATTTGATGTTGTAATTATCATTGTTATTTGTAGGCATATAAGTGATTGTCACGTGTTCCTTCAACATTGTGTTGAACCACTAATCTCTTTTAAAGCTTTGATAATCACATTCTTACCTGGTAAATATGAATAACCACAATATTACTTGGTAATATATATGTACATGTTTCTGAAATGTGTAAAACATTAAACTGATAAGTGACAATTGGCTATTGAATTAGCTCTCTAAAGACTCTGCTTTTCAAAATTTACTAACCAGTGAGAAGAGATACTATATGATCGTGCCCATGAAGCAGATGATTTGTCTCTTATTTGTTATATTTTAAAATGGATGTATGGTTCGAATTAAAGATATCATTTGCAAACATTGGAAATCATGGTGTGTGTTTGCATGGTCTTAGAAAGTTTCACACAAAAGGATAAAACAAAGTACAGTAGTAACCAGAGCATATAACTTATGCAAGTTTGTACTTTTCCTTTCTTATGGTCTCTGTTTTTGTCCAGTCTGCATTGGATTGGTGGCCTAAGATTGATGCCGTGTATTGTCACTCAGTTGAACTTCGAAATATGTTTGGTGAAACACTTAATAAAGCAGTGCAGGGCTGCGGAGCCCACCCAGCAATACGAATGGCACCGGTAAGATTGATTGTGCTTATATAATCCCACCTTCTTCCTCTTGCTTTTTCAATGTCTTTCTACTATTCCTGCTGTTTTGATTATTTTAGAAAATCAAATGTGTCCTTCCTTTTCTGTAAGTACTGTGATACATCATATACTGACTGCACTGTGGTTTTCGACACTGTTTCAGTGAGTTGAATTTATTTTTTCTTAGAGAAATTTTCTCACAAAATGCTGTCAAAATCTTAATGTCACTTTTGTAAATAGTTTTTTTCTTTATGAATCATAAGTATTTTGATTAGCTCGTCATCTTTTGAGGATGAGTAGGGAAAGCTGACTTCTGGTTTAGAGTGAATGTTCCTACTAATGCAGTTTACCTTTGGATGCTCAGTATTATACATACAAAATTAGAAATAAAATTAAAAATTTTTATTTTGAATAAAATAATTCAGAACATGCTCTGAGCTCTTAAAAATGATAGGCACTTCAATATTGAAGTTTGTGTTTAAACTTAATAAAAACACACTTTCAGATTAGGTATTCTAACAAATTAGTACTCTTTATAGAATTTTAAAACTCATGGGGGACCCATTTAAACAGACAATTACAGGATTATAGAAGTCATATATTGCCATTGATTGGTGGTGCTTTGTCTTCTGCTTCTTATTTTCTATTCTTATTGGCTGCTGTCGCTCACATGATCAGATGCCAACCAGTCACTGTTTTGCATGGCAGTGGGCTTCTGTGGCTGTAAGTATAACCCATTGTAACTATCTCAGAAAAGTCCTTTCTTTCTTTGACTTTTCTGCGCTTAGTTACCATCTAGTCACATCATGTCATTTCAGATGAAAATCTGACATGTTTATCATTAGAAGATAATTTAAACAGCTTCTTCCCTGGCATGCTTTTCTTTTTCCAAGTTCCCTTACTCAGTAAATATTTTGGTTTTGTGTGGTGGTAGTTCACTCTTACCCAGTTGTCAGTAGTTGTGGTGGAGGATTATTTACCTTTAGGGGTGCCCAACCTTATGGCGTGCCCAGGCCACACTGGAAGAAGAGTTGTCTTGACCCACACATTACATACACAAACACTAACAAGAGCTAATGAGCAGAAAAACAGGTTTTAAGTGAATTTACGATTTTGTATTAGGCTACATTCATAGCCTTCTGGGGCCACTTGTGGCCCGCAGGTTGGACACCCCTGCTAGGTGTTCAGATAGAGAAGTTGGCTATGCCATATGTTTTGGGATTATTTAGCCTACAAAATTACAGCCAAAAGAGCAAGACAGTGATGCTTTTTTTATTTTTTAAGATATATTTTACTGATACTATTGTAGTTGTCCCAGTTTTTCCTTTTTTGCTCCCCTCCACCAACTACCCTCTTTCCTCCAGCAGTCCCCCCACTTAGTTCATGCCCATGGGCTGTGCATACGAATTCTTTGGCTTCTCCATTTATTTGTACCTACCAATTATATTTCTTAATCCCTCTTTTCCCCCATTCTCCCTCTTCCCTCTCCCAGATGATAACCCTCCAGATGATCTGCATATCTATGATGTGTTCCTGTTCTGGTTGTTTGCTTGGTTTGCTTTTTTTTAGATTTAGTTGTTGACAATTGTGAGTGTGTTGTTATTTTAGTGTTCATAGTTTTGATCTTTTTTCTTAAATAAGTCCATTTAACATTTCATATAATAAGGGCTTGGTGGTGATGAACTCCTTTAGCTTTACCTTGTCCAAGAAACACTTTATCTGCCCTTCCATTCTACATGATAGCTTTGCTGGATAGAGTAATCTTGGATGTAGGTCCTTTCTTTTCATCACTTTGAATGCTTCTTGCCAGTTCTTTCTTGCCTGCAAGGTTTTTTGAGAAATCGGCACATAGTCTTATGGGAACTCCTTTGCAGGTAACTCTGCTTTTCTCTGGCTACTTTTAAGATTCTCTCTTTATCTTTAGCCTTTGACATTTTAATTATGATGTGTCTTGGTGTGGTCCTCTTTGTGCCCAACTTGTTTGACACTCTCTGTGCTTTCTGGACTTGTATGTCTACTTCCTTTGCCAAATTCAGGAAGTTTTATTTTCTGTTTTTTTTTTTTTCCAAGTAAGTTTTCAATTTCTTGGTCTTCCTCTTCTCCTTCTGGTATCCCTATGATTCGGATGTTGGTATGTTTGGAGACGTCCCAGAGGGTCCTTATACTGTCCTCGTTTTTGGAATTATTTTTCTTCTTGCTGTTCTGGTTGAATGTTTATTGTTGCTTTACATTCTAAATTGTTGATCTGAATCCTGGCTTCCTCCCCTCCACTGATGGTTCCCTGTAGATTTTTCTTTATTTTAGTATAAACTTCATTTCTTCCTTTATGTTATTGGCATACTCAGTGATTTCCTTGAGCATCCTGATCACCAGTGTTTTGAACTCTGCATCTGATAGGTTGATTATCTCCATTTTGTTTAGTTCTTTTTCTGGGGTTTTGTTCTGTTCTTTTATTTGGGTCATATTTCTTTGTCTCTTCAGTTTGGCAGCCTCCCTGTGTTTGTGTATGTGTATTAGGTAGAGCTGCTTTGACTCCCTGTCTTAGTAGCATGGCCTGTTGTAGAAAAGGCAGCTGTAAATTGTGTGGGGCAGGGCCTCAGGTGATCGCTAGAGCGTGGCAACCTGCTTCACCACTTTGTGGCTCTGTGTGGAGGATGATTTGGAGAGGGGACAGTGCCATGCTGTCTGGCTTCTGGAGGTTTGCCTGGCACTTGCCCCGTTTCCTTCACCTACTTCCCATGTATAACTGGTACCCTTCCAGCTATTGATGTAGTGGGAATCCCAGAGGGGGTGGGTTTGAATACCTTCTAAGTTCATGCTTGCCCTTAAAATGGGGTCTTCTGAACATCTGGCAGTTTCTTCCGCTGCTCTAACACCCACTAGTTGTTACAGGCAGAAGTTATGGGGATTTATCCTCTTGGTGCTGGAACCCTGGACTGTGGACTGTATAGTCTGGCCTGGGGCTGGGATCACTAGCTCCCAAGGTATCCCTCCTGCTTTTTATCCATCATATGTGAATGTGGCACCATCCCACATTCCGCCTCCACCACCACCAGTTCTCTATGGCCACTTCATCTCTGCGTCTCTCCACCCTCTCTGTAACTCCACCCCTCCTACCTATCTGGATGAATGTGGCTTCTTTAAATCCTTGGTTGTCAGACTTCCATACAGCTCAGTTTTCTGACAGTTCTGGGTGTTACTTGTTTTGAGACCTAGCTGTAATTCTTTCTGTGGTTGCGCCAGAAGGTGAAGTATGTCTGCCTATATCTCCATCTTGACTAGAAGTCCCCTGATGTTTTATTAATAAAAGGCAAATTAATTTTTATTTGACTTTTTGTAATGCCAAGTACTTAATTTTTTAAGAATTTGAAATTTCAATCCAAGTATAAGGTAAACATTATAGGTATAAGGTAGATAGTATCCGATCTATAGTAGGCATTTAGTACGTATTTGTTGAATGAGTGCATGAATTTCTTACTTGACCTGCTTTCAGGACCTTTCTCCATCTGGTTTTCTTCTGTTCTGGAAATAATTCAACCTAATTTTTTTTTCCAATTAAAGTGGCATATTAAGGCCTGATCTTATTGTTCCAGATGTAGTGTAATAACTGATTAAATCTGTTAACCTGTTGTATCTCATACCACATTTCTACTAAACAGTCTAAAATTGCATTATTGTCTTAGATTGAACTTTCAATCATTTAAACTCTTTAGCCATTTTCATAGGAATATTGAGCCATTACTTCTCTATTTTGTACTTTTGTAGTATTTTAAAAATTTGAAATATTTGTCTTAGCACTCATCAATTACTGTTTTGAAATGGATAGCCTGTTGATAATCAATATATGAATTTTCACAAATATGTATAATTCCTGCATATTTTGCTACTTAAGATACTGGCTTAGCAAACGCTCTTTTTTTTAAGATTTTATTTATGAATTTTAAGAGAGAGGGGGAAGAAGGAAGAAAGAGAGAGAGAAGCATCTGTCAGTTGCCTTGACCAGGACTCGAACAAGCAGATTTTGATTCATAGGCTGGTGCTCAATCCACTGAGCCATACCAGTCAGGGCAACAAATCTCCTCACATGCCTGTAATTTAGTCATATAAGTTAACAAATGGTTTGGATTTTTTAAAAAATCCTCATCTAAGGATATAGTCTCCTGATTCCAGAGAAAGAGGAAGGGCGGGGGCAGTCCGGGAGTAGGGAGAGAAAGAAAGAAAGAGAGAGAGAGAAAGAGAGAGAAAGAGAAATCGATCAGTTACCTTTCATATGTGCCCCAGCTGGGGACTGAACACACATCCTAGGCATGTGCTCTGACTGGGAATAGAAACTATGACCTTTCAGCTTATGGGTCAGCACTGAGCCAGGCCTGGTTTGACTTCTTAATAGATGTCCAAGTACTCGTGATTTATGTTTTTTTTCCTGGCCATGACAGAGTCTCTTTTTTGGTCAAAGCATATATACCAACTTGGATTCCTACTAGTACAATATTTCCAATATGGAAGATCAATTAAAAAGTTAATGAATGGCCCTGGCTGGTGCTGCTCAGTGGATTGAGTGCTGGCCTGAGAACCAAAAGGTCACCATTTCAATTCCCAGTCAGGGCACATGCCTGGGTTGCGGGCCAGGTCCCCAGTTAGGAGCTTGTGAGAAGCAACTGATAGATGTATCTCACACACATTGATATTTCTCTCCCATTCTTTCTCTCTCCCTTCTCCTTTCTCTACAAAATAAATAGGTAAAACCTAAAAAAAAAATTAATGGGTTATTTTTTATATATTTCTAGTTAAGAAATATATTTTTTCTTTATTAGCAAGTTGTTCCTTGCTGTATAACCCACTAATGGTCAGTAATTAAAAGGTGTTTGAATTGAAAAATTTATTTGCATTTTTCAAGTCTTATATCTTATATTAGGCAGTCATGCTGGAGTAAAATTTACATGCTGCTGATACCTGAGATTAAGAGATGAGATAATTAAATTATTATTTGCTTTTTGGACAGGATTACTAATTAAGAGATCATTCTTTTTTAAAATATATAATCTTTATTATATATTTTCCTGTTACCATTTAGGCTCCTTAACCCCCTTATAGTCGCCTTATATACATTCATTGTTTTCTGATCTGTGTTCTGTGCAGTGGCTGCATCAGGGAAGGGCAGTTACATTGAATTACTTACAACTTAGTAAATAAATTTGTTCAGTGAAACTTTCATCTTGATCTAAGGTGTCACCTCAACTTAGAAAGGAAAATAAAAGTTTAATGGGAACAAACAGTAGAAACAATTTATTAAATACATTTGGTAAGACATTTGTGGTTTGTAAGTTTGCTGTTTCTTTTGTGTAGGGACATTCTTGACGATTAATGTGTACTTTTCCTCCCCTGTGAAGACCAAAGACCTTCAGTGTTCTTGGGCATAATAACAAGTGTATTACTAATGCTTAAACCCTGAGAACAGAGGCTCTGCGTTGTAGATGTGCATCTCCACTTTTTACCTTTTGGCAGAGAGGCTGTTTACTTGGACATTTTTATTACAGGGGCATAGCTGCTGCATATTCATTCCATCTGTTTGTAGATGTGCTCACATAAAGGCGTATATGTCAAAACAGATATTTTTTGTCCTTTTAAAGGAAAGGGGGATATATTTGCTAAGAATAGAGAGAAAGGTGGTATTGGATCCGGAATGTAATTGCTGGAGTTTTGGTTGAATAACATCTGTAATTATAGTGCTAGCACAGGATCCAGCATAGTATCTCTGCAATTTAAACATATTTTCCATGAATTAATCTTTCTCAAAGAGTTCTTTCTCTGTTTTACCATTGTTCTTCAGGCAAAATACATATATTCTATAACCTGAGGAAAAATGAAATGCCATGGAAGGAAAAAGCAAACTTACTGTTAAACTATTAAATACAGAGGTTGCCTGTACAGCATATCTCATCAATTCTAAGAAGTACTTTTCGTTTTTAACATCTCTGAAATTGAGAACGTGTCTTATTTGTCTGGTGTCTGACAGTTGACAGTGGTCATTCATTCTTTGTCCGTGCAGTGATGATGCTCTTACAGTTGATACTGTCACAGATTCTGTGAAGTGTTGGTATCTCCCTGTGAAGGATGAATGTTAAATGTATCGCTTAGTGTATTTTGAGAGCTACAGAGTTTATTTTTATAATGTCAGTGTTTTTACATTTTGGAAATTGTCATCTACATAGGAGTCAATATTTTAATATATATTTTTCTCTTAAATATTTTAATAATATTTGAAGTATTTTAATATTTTTCTCTTAAATTTTATTAGATTATATAATTAAAATGTTGCAAAAGTAATTTTCACTTGATTTTCTAAGTTGAATAATATTAACCATATACTTACTATTGGATGCCACTAATACCACACATTTTGGTGGTATAAAATATGTTTATTTTTTCAAAGCTTTTTTTATAATTTATTTTTAAAAGTTGGCTAGCTATTATCCTGAACAGTGTCTGATTCTTACAAGATGATGTCATGTTTTTGTTTTTAGAGTCTTACATTTAAAGAAAAAGTAACAAGCCTTAAATTTAAAGAAAAACCTACAGACCTGGAGACAAGAAGCTATAAGTATCTTCTCTTGTCCATGGTGAAACTAATTCATGCAGATCCAAAGCTCTTGCTTTGTGTAAGTATTTTTATGAAATATCTTGAAATTATTATACCTAGTTGGATTTAACTGAAATGCCAAGACCTTGTATATAATTATTAGCTGAAGATCACTTACTGATTCTTTCTGATCATGCTTGAGGACATCACTAAGAAAACTAATTTATAGAGGATACTAATATACTTAGATTGTTTTACTTTTCTTTTTTATTTCCCTTATTGTTAATACTTTGGTGAACTCTTTAGTCCTTAAACTGTTACCAGATTGTAAATTATTCAGGCATTATCCTGTAATGGGGGTGAAGGGTAATGAAGCAAACCTTAAATCAGAATGCTTTCTACATCTATATGGTTGGTTTTTTAAAATCTCCAATTGCTATTGCCAAACCATTTAGCTTTTCTTTCCTCCTTTCTTGCTGTCATCAACCTTCTTTTTTCACTGGTTTTGCCTACAATTTCTGTCCTGGAAGAGAAGAAAATGGGTGTGGTTAGCACTCAATTATTGTCATTAACTCTGCTCTTACAGCTTTAGATGGTATTAGGTTCCAGAGAACATCAGTCAGGTACTCAAAATAATAAAGAACTAACAGATGTAAATGAGTGATAGTTATATGAAGTGATTAAAAGCATGGGCTCTGGAGACAGACTAGTTATGTGATTTGGATGACTTAACCTCTCTGCTTTAATTATCTCATGTGAAATATTACAGTAGCTTCTACTTTAGATTAAGAAGATTGATATTGAACATGTTTTTAGGAATAATATAAAATAAATGCATAGTAAGCATAAATAAATGTTAGCTATTATTAATGTTAATAGAATAGTTAACATTAACATTAATGCTATCGATGCCCCAGATATAACATTAATATATTGTGAAGTGCATAGGATACATGTTTAATTTTTGTGGAGTTTCTCCAGTCTCTGGAGAGCAGCAGCGTCCAGAAAGATTTGTTATTGCTTTGTTCAGTAATATGCCTTAAATGTGCTAAGGTACATTCAATTTTGATGGCATATTTTTCAAATTACTGTACTGTAGGAGTTTATAACTTGATATCCGTGGTTTCAAGAGTTCTGTGAACCCCCTGAATTTAAGAAAAAAGTGTACACGTAAGTATTTTTTCTGGAGAGAAACAAGAGAAGAGAGGGAGATAGAATTCCCGCAAGGGTGTTCCAACCCGCAGGCCACATGTAGTCCAGGATGGGCTATGAATGCGGCCCAATACAAAATTGTAAATTTACTTAAACCTTTTTGTTGTTTTTGCTCATCAGTTTTCATTACTGTTTGTGTATTTAATGTGTGGCCCAAGATAACTCTTCTCCCATTGTGACCCAGAGATGCCAAAATGTTGGACACCCCTGTAAGGATTAGTGACCCCAAAAGGAGGCCTCTGATATTTTGAACACTTTGAAGAGTCCATCCAGATTTGGGAATCTAGTAGAATAAATTGTTAGAACTTTGGCATGGAAAAATTTCATAAAAACTATCAGTGAGACTCTATAAAAAACTAATGAAATACCCTTTTTCTTATTCTTCTGTCATGTGGTACCAGCTATTCCCTCATGCGTGTCATATATAATAGCACTGCTCCATTTACGTGGCTATCATTCAGATTCAGAGAAGGCGCTAAAGTCACCTATGACTTATGTGTTAAGTATTTTATTGTTGAAAGAACAAGAACTTAAACAAAACTTGTTTTCCAAGTTTGAAATTTAGCAAGCATGAAAGGGCTGTTTAAAATTGAAATTATTTCCTTTGCTGCCACCTAGTGGTTAAACAGCTTTTAAAATGGTGATTTATTGATTGCTTATTTCATATTTTACATATAAAAATTCTAAAGCTTAGTAAATGGGAGGAGTGTAGGAGTAACTATTAAATGATTTTAATAATGGTATGTTTAAAGTAATGCAGTTCTGTTTTCTTCCATTTCTACCATTTCTATTCTAATCCTTATTACTCTCACTTTTTCAATCCTAATTGCTTAGCTTTTATCATCTGCTACCCCACTTTCATCATTTTTCTGCACTCAAGTTATGGTGATCTCTTTAAAAAGCAAATTTTAGCCCTGGCTGGTGTAGCTCAGTGGATTGAGCGCGAGCTGGGAACCAAAGTGTCCCAGGTTCGATTCCCAGCCAGGGTACATGCCTGGGTTGCAGGCCATAACCCCCAGCAACCGCACATTGATGTTTCTCCCTCTCTCTGTCTATCTCCCTCCCTTCCCTCTCTAAAAATAAATAAATAAAATCTTTAAAAAAAAAGCAAATTTTATAATGCCCCCCTGCCCAGCTTAAAACCTTTTACTTGAAATTGCTCTTGGGTAAAGATCAAGCTCCAAACAGACCTACAAGGTAATGCAAAATCTGATTCCCAGCTACCACTTCTAGCATTCTGTTTTTCCCTTATCTTTACTTTCATCATGACGGCCTGGTTCCCCCTCCATCTTACTTACCACATTCCTTCACACCTGCCCTTATACTTTGCTGTCCCCTTGGCCTACTCTGTGCTTTTCTGTCCTCTTCACATAGTAAGTCCTGTTAATTCTGAGCTGTTATCACTGCCCTAAGGAAGTCTCCTCCACTGTGCCATATTTCCCTGTTACAGGTACTCCTAGCTGTATGTATCTTCATAGTTCTTACCTCATTTGCAATCTAACACTTGCTGCTGTGATTATTTTATTGATGTTTAATTCAGATTACATGCTTCAGGAGGGTGGGAAACATCTTCTATTTTTGTCGTGTCTTTGGTATCAGGGTATTAATGACTAAATATAAATGTTACTGGGTTATTAATGCATGAATATAATATTAGAAAATAGGCTAACAGTTTTGAATTACAGATATGCTAGGGCTTACCTTAATCATTATGATGGGAAACAATCTGTAGTTAGCAAAAATAAAAATATGGGCACAAACTGCACTGGCCTCAGTTAAATGAACCATATAGCTTGAAGTGTAAATAGATGCTTCCAAGTTTCAGGAAGCATTTAGTCTCTTTAAAGTAGGTAGGTGTTTGCATTTATATACACCTCCAGTTTGCTTTTCTTAGTGTACAATGTTTTTCCACAATAAAAAAGACTCAGGAATGGGTGTTTGGAGGTGTGGGTTCTAGTCCTGTCTGGGTGTGGGTAGGTGTTTGGTACTGGACGAGGGCCGCACAGGGTCTGTGCAGTGCTCATCAGTGTTCTTTCCCTTTGATCACAGTCACATAGAGATCAAAACCAGTATGTTCCAAACCAGAGGTGCATTATTTAGCCATTGCAGTGTTGCTAAAAAAAATTATATTATTGATAGGATTTCTTATGAAAAGCTAATACCTAGTTTTTGTTTTCTTTTAATTAGGATTTCTTTCCCCCTGGACATTATTTACATCAATGAGCAAGTATAGATGTAGACTGAGGGAATCCTTAACAAAAAACAGCTTTGATTTATTTAAAAATTTACAATTATTTTTTTTGTTAAGATTTATTTATATTTATAATTCACATAACATAGAAGTCACCATTTAGAAGTGTACAGTTCATTGGTTTTTAGTATATCCAAGGTTGTGCAGCCATTACCACTGTCTAATTCTGGAATTCATCATCCCCAGAAGAAACCCAGTACCCATTAGCAGTCACACTGCATTCCCTGCTCTTTTCGGCTCCTTTCAAATGATTTTTTTTTTAATTGAAAATTGCTGTTTTTCTCGCAGAATCCAAGAAAGCAGGGGCCTGAAACCCAAGGCAGCACAGCAGAATTAATAACGGGACTTGTCCAGCTGGTCCCTCAGTCACACATGCCAGAGATCGCTCAGGAAGCAATGGAGGTGAGTGATAGATGTAGTTTCAGGACATCTGTCAAGAGAGATGTGTCATTTCTAGAAATGGTATGTTTTTGTCTATACTCCGTTTTATGAACTCTTTGGAGAAAGAAGGGATTTACTTGTTTTATATCACATGTAGCAAAACACTGTGCACATTCTTATGCTTAATAAAAAAACTCAGAATATTCTAATTGTGCTTGAACAACAATAAAAAAACTGAAAAAAATTTTCTAATTGTAGTCGACTTTTTGAATTTTACAATATATATTGAATTTTAAATTCAGATACAATTCATGTACCATAAAGTTTACTATTTTAAAGTGTATAATTCAGTGGTTTTTACTATATCCACAGTGTTGTGCAACCATCCCTACTGTGTAATCCCCATTTCCCCATCACCCCAGTCCTGGCAACCCCTGGTCTGTCTTCTGTCTTTGTAGATTTCCTCAATCTAGATGTTTCAGATACCGATAAATAGAATGATACAGTATGTGGCCTTGTAGCTGGCTTTTTTCATTTAACATGTTTTCAGGGTTCATCCATATTTTAGCATGAATCACTCTTTCAGTTTTCTGTACTGCTAAATATTTCATTGTATGGATATGTCACAATTTTTTTCGACTGTTCTTCAGTGGATGCACGTTGGGATTTTTTCTGCTTTCTGCCTATTGTAAATAATGCTGCTCTGAAAATTTGTGTGGAAGTTGTTGTGTGGAGGCATCTCTTAAGTATGTCGTTAGGAGTCAGATTGCTTGTTGTGTCGCATGGTAACTCTCTGACTTTTTTTAGTAACAGCCAACACTTACTTTTCCAAAGCAATCTCATCCTTTCATGTTCCCACCAGCCGTGCATGGGGGTTCCGGGATCCCCTTGCCAATACTTGCTGTTGTTTGTCTTTTTGATTATAGCCATCCTAGTGGGTGTGAACACAGTTGATTTTTCAAAAAAATTATTATTGTATTGATGAGTTGATAATTATGGTTTTAATTTAAATCAATTTTATTGTGGTATGATTTACATATAATAAAATCACAAGATTTAAAATGTTTGTTATCATCCCAGAAAGTCCCCCTTGCTTTTGCAGTCATTGCCCGCATGCCCTGTCCCAGAGACCACTGGTCTGGTTTCTGTCACTATAGATTAGTTTTGCCTGTTCTAGAAGTTCACATGAATGGGATCTTAGGCCAAATGGTTCTTTCTGCATGGCTTCTTTCACTCAACAAGTTTTTGATTGAAGTTTTTGAGCAAGTCATTCATGTTGTTGCATGTGTTAATTCCCTCTTTTTTACTATTGATGAGCATTGCGTCAGTGGTTATACCAGTTTACTGACTTGCTAATGGTCACTTAGGTGAATCTGTTGATCACTAGTGAAAGTTGTCTTCTGTCCCTTCGTGTCCCTCCCTCCCTCACTCCCTGCCTGCTTCCCTACTCCCCCTGTAACCACTGATGTGCTTTCTGTTGCTGTAGATTAGTTTGCATTTTACTTAAATGGAATTATAAAGCATATACTTTTCTGTCTTTAACTCGGCATGACTTTCATGGCATTCATCTATGCTGCATGTATCATTAGTTCATTCCTTTTAAAAAATTCATTCCTTTTTATTGTTGTATAGTGTTCCATTGTGGCTGTACCACAATTGGTTTATATATTTTGATGGACATTTGTGTTTTCTAGTTTTTGCCTGTTACAACTAAAAATTCTAGGAACATGTATATACAAATCTGTGTGTAGATATATGCTTTCGTTTCTCTTGAGTAAATACCTGAGTGCAAAAATCTTACTATGTGGTCATTATAATATACGGCTTAAATATAGTGACACTGGAGGGTGGACAGTATAAGGATGGAGAAAATACATCATACCACTAACTCTAGAAAACTGGAGTAAGATATATGGAGTAGATACAGAGTTCAAAGCTAGAAGCGTTACTAGAAATAGAGAGGGACATCTCATTATAACAAAGGGGTCCAATCCATCCAGGAAATAAAATTCTGTATGAACCTAATAATAGAGCTTCGAAATATCAAAATTTATAAAGTAAATGGAGTGAGAGAGACAAATCCAGTCATCGTGGGGTACTTGAGCATACTTTTTTCAAAATTCGATAGAATAAACAGGCAAAGAAAATTAATAGGGGTAGAAGATTTGGACAACACAGCTATCACATATGACCTATTTGACGTATATAGAGCAATACACTCAATAATGCACTTTCTTTTTTTAAGTACACATGGAACACTCAGTGTATCCTACTCATGAAGTCTCAACAAATTCTAAATGATTGAAGTCACCAGGATTATTTTTGTGACTATAAAGTAATTAAACTAGTAAAATTAAGCTAGAAATCAGTAACAAAGCTTTATAAAATATCAAATGACTTTACTGTGTTCTCATTCATACTCCAGACTTACATATTCTGCAGATTAGTAGATGAAGTTGGGGGAAAAGACACGTGGAAAAAGAGTGATGCACAGAGACCAAGAGTCATGAGGACATGAGGAGACAGGGATGAAAGGGTCAGAGACACAGGGAGACAGGGAGAGATACAGGGAGGCTGAGGGGTAAGAAAACAGAGATACATGGAAGTAAAGAGAGCAGGAGAGTACAAACACCATTAAAAATTGCTTTGCAGTATCTACAAAAGCTAACCATGGGACCTAATAATTTCACCCAGCAGGTATGTACCCCACAGAAAATATATTACATATTTTTATATTTTTACCAAAAGACACATAAAAAATATTAACATTGTAATTTGTAATAGCCAAAAGAATTGGAAATGACATCTGTGTATCAATAGATTAGATTAATAGTTTTTGTCATATTCATTCTACTGATTAAAACAATGAAAAAAGAAAGAATAAGCTACTCCTAAGTGCAAAGCATGGACAAATCTCACAGACATAACATTGAGAGAAAACAGCCAAATGCAAAAGAATGTGCTGTGAGATTCTCTTACATAAATAGGAAACAGGCAAAACTAATCTGTGGTGATAGAAATCAGTAAGTGGCTACTTTTGTCAAGGGCCAGTGATCAGAAGGGAATGTGAAAAGGCTTCTGGGTGTTGATAATGTTAGTCTAGGTACTGGTTACATGAATGTATACATTTGTGAAAATTCATTGCGATATGTACTTAAGATTAGCTGTTTTATTGTTTGTACTGTACACTACATTTTACCAAAAATGTTTCAGCATTCATTGCTTATATTTGTGTACCATGCTGTTGGTCCTATAAATTATTATATCCCTTGCATTCTTTTTGGAAGGATATTTGACAGTATTTGGCAGGAGCTGTACAAATGCCCTTTTGTGTGTGTGCAAAAAATTTCATTCCTGTATTTTTTTAATCCTATGACTACAATTCAGAAGGAAAAAGCTGCACACATACATGCTTATTACTGCTCTTATTTACAGTAGGAGGTTATTAGGAGAATTTTTAATATTCACTAATAAGAGAATGGGTTAATATTTAATGACAAGAGAATGATATTTCAACTTGGAGAACTGTTAAACATTCATTAAAACATGCAGATCACCCAGCAATATGAAAAAGTATTTATGAAATGTCAAATGAGTATACTGTGTTTACAGCTGTGCTAGAATATATGTAGGAAAGTAAAAAAAGGAAGGGAACATAAAAAGAGAAACAGTTATATTAACTCAGGAAAAAGGTTAACACATTCTCTTTCAATATTTTAAAAAATATTTTGTCAAACAATATAAACAGAATTTGCCTCTTAAAGTGTCAGTTAATGATACTAAGTTTTTGCACAATAGTCATAAAATTGAATGTTAATTTGTGCTGTTTTTCCCTTGATATGAGAGTTACAAATGATAATTTTTGAAGTCTCACAGTGAATAGCAGGTTTCCATAAATATCTAAAAGTAATTACAGTAAAACTTTGAAATCACAGAGGTCTGTCTTTAATAAGTTATAGCTTTAGGAGTTACAAAAGTGGTACAAGGCTAGACATTTAAATATCTTTTCCTAATTTGAGGCAGGTTATTTGTAGTTTATACACTTGATTTGGTTTTAAGAAATCAGTTCTCATTATTTGTTCCAAACAGTGTTTCATTGGAATTTTAATAAATGGCTTTATAGCATAGTAAAGCATTGCCAAGTGTGCTAAGGACTGAGAGGGCTGTGCAGAGCTTCACAGTGTGCTTCTGGGGGAAGTGCTGTGGGATTGGAGGGAGGGTAGGGCTGATTTGAAGGAAGAATCCAGTTTTACTCTTCATATGTATGATGGCTTTAATTTATTTCATATAGTGTTTTTTGTATGTTTGTTGTATATTTTAAATTATTTAATTCCTGTTAATATTCTGTGAGCCAAATTCCAGTTTCAATTCTGTCAATTAAAGTGTTTTTAGGGTGAATAATCTGCTATGAAATGCAAGGTCTATTTTGCGCTCCTTTTTTTGAAAAATAATTTATCTTTTCTGTTCCAAAAGAATTTGTGGCAAGATAATTTTTACTTTATCTTTTGGCCAAGAAGTAAAATATTGTTGTGTGTATTAATTTTGGCAAGCTGTCCTTACTTGGGGATTAATTTTATGTTCCCCCAAAATTTAATTTGATACTTATTGAAATTACTTGTTCGTATCTTTAAGCAATTTTTACATGTATATGTTGGTATTCTAAATTCATTAGTCATTTAACCTCATGCATGTAAGCCATTTTAAGTAAGAATAATCTGAATAAAGTGAAACATATATGTGTATTCCCCCCCTAGAGATTTGGATTCTTAGAGGTTTTCTTTTATCTTACGCTGTAGGTTGAGGCTACAATTAAATAGCTTGATTTGTTAGCATTTGTAAAATAAATAGTCCAATGTTAAGTTAACCTAGCATTTTCTGTGTAATTTTTCTCTCTCTTAAAATTCAGGCCCTGCTGGTTCTTCATCAGTTGGATAGCATTGATTTGTGGAATCCCGATGCTCCTGTGGAAACATTTTGGGAAATTAGGTATATGCACTTTTATTTTTTAATCTAATTTAAAATTTTATTTTGTATTTATTTTTTTCTTTAAATATTAACACTATAGTACTTGGTTTATTATATAACTTGATTCACCTACACCTCCAGAGGTTTTATGATTTTGTTTTTTATTTGATTTGAAATTATTAATTAGATTGTTTCTTGTTTTAACTGTGGGACATTGTCACAGCAATGAAGGAAATAAATTCCTAAAAACCGTGTTAAATTTTATTACCCAACCACAAGTATTGTTATTTGGTCTGTTCTCTTTATTTCCTATTTCTTTATAGTTACAACTGTGTTTTAAATTGACTTTGTGCAGTTATAAGCTTAGAGTTTTAAAATTTTGTAATGTTGATAGCTTCACATTTTTTACACTATGGTCTTTCATAAGTTTTCAAAAATGCCAGTGTTTTTGATGAACGAACTAATAATAAACATCCGCTTACAAGGCAAAAACCATAAGAATTTTATAATTTCCTAGGTTTTATAAATTATTACCTTTTAATGAGCACAAAGGCAATAAATACATTGAGGAAAATTTTGTGTCAGGTTTTGTTATTATCATAAAAGTGAGTGCACCACATCACTTGGCACCACATCACTTGGCATCACTTTAGCTGCGTTAAATCCTCTCCCTAGAGCAGTGCTCTTCAATAGCAATGTAATGTAAACCACATACACACTTTAAAATTTTCTAGTTGCCACAGTAAAAAGTAAAAAGCAGGTAAAATTCATTTTAATATATTTTTTAGCCCAGTATGTAACTCTAGAATATTATTTCAACATGAGATAATATTGAAATATTATTTTAATGTAAAAGTTATTAAGGAGAGTTTTACATTCTTTTTTTCATAAAGTCTCTAAAATTTGGAGTATGTTTTACACTTACAGCACATCTCAATTTGCACCAGCTACATTTCAAGTGCTCAGTAGCCACATGTGGTGGCTGACTGGTGGGTACTGTGTTGGACAGTACAGCTTCAGAGCAGGGATCAGCAAACTTATTCTCTAAAAAGGCAAGGCAGTAAATACTGTAGGTTTTGTGGGCCAGATAGTCTCTGTCATAACTATTCATTATACCATCAGAGCACGTAAGCAGCCACAGACTATACTTAAGTGAATGTGGCCATGTTCCCCTAAAATTGTATCTGCAGGAGCCAACAGCCTGCTGGGTTTGACCTGCTGCAGTTGTGTACCCCAGCTCTAGAGCTCTGGGTTTACCTACAGTTGGTTTCTGTGCATGTGGTCCGTTATTTGTTCTCGAGTCCTCCACAAGGATTAGATGCATGGATGAAATGATTGGGAGTTGGGAGAATAGTGAGTTTAGCAGTACTTGATTTTTTTTTTTAATGCACACTCTATACTTTTCCTCTTTATCACGTTTTGATAACCATTTCTCTAAAATCCTAGAACAGAAAATAAGTTTGTCTAAACTTGTGTCCATTATGAGAAAATGCCATTGTTATGTACCAGTCATTATGTATTAGATTATTTATTGACAATACTGGTAACAATGAATGTTATGTTATTGCAGCTCACAAATGCTTTTTTATATCTGCAAGAAATTAACAAGCCATCAAATGCTTAGTAGCACAGAAATTCTCAAATGGTTGCGGGAAATTTTGATCTGCAGGAATAAATTTCTTCTTAAAAATAAGGTAAGCAAAATAACGTCTTTAAAAGGGGAAGAATATATGGGATTGTAATGGGAAGAAATGAAGGAAGTGTTTAGTTTACTTTAGCTCCTCCCTCCTACAAAATCTTTAAGGAAAATATGTATGTAGAGAACAGTGGCTAACAAATCAACATTTAAAAAATTATTCTGAAGCTTTGGTCTCAGAGTTGCAATCCTGATTAATTTCATTAAATTAAGCAGGTCTCTATGGGGCAGGCCTAGGAGGAGTGCAGGCTGCTATAACCAAAGTAGATTGAGAGTCTTCTTCCTTAGGGTCGAGAGAAAAGTTTGATTCTGAACTTTTGAAGCATAGTGACAAGGTTTGGCGGGATAGAGAAGAGCCTTAGATTTCTTTTAATATATGTCAATTATTTTCTATAATTAGTTAAAAATTCTGTTATGACATAGTTTTAGGAATGCTTGATTCAATGAATTTTTATCCATTTGTAGAATCATATGTAGAAGCTATGAGAAATCTTAAATGTAACAAACTCATGCTTTTAAATTTACCATAACATTTTCCATAAATTTTCTTTGTTTAGAATTAGGCTAGTGGTGAATTGGGTTTATTCATATCTGGCTTATCTTAGTGTTTTAATATAGTGGAACTATAGGCATTACAGGCATACCTTGGTACTTGTCGGCTTCAGAACTTGTTAAACTCTGTACTCGTCACTTTGGACGTGGAAAAAAAAGGTTCGGCGCTTGGTGCTTGCTTGGGACTCATCACACTTCCTGGAACTTGTATGAGTCACAATGGTGCCCTGCAAGAGAAAACAAAACGCTTCGTCATTCCGTAGTTGTTGGTTTAGGCACTCGTCACAAGTTTCAGAACGAAATAACGATGAGTACCAAGGTACCACTGTATTCCTAAAATAAGGAAAAACATTAGACTTCAGAGTTTCATGCCCTTGGCTATGGTGTAATTCTCCAGAATACAAGCATTAATAGTCCAGTAATGAATTTGCACTACTCGCGTCAGTAAAGTCACTCTTGTGACATACTCGGCATATATTCCAGTGTAAATTACTGCTCCAGAGGAACTTAATTCAAAGACTTAACTTCCAGTTACCCTGGCATGGCAGAGGATAAAATCTTCTGGGAGAAAATCTTTATAAGTCATTTTTAATTGACTGAGAAGTGCATGTTAATGTTTTACTTGTGTCCATGTTAGATTGAGAAATGTTCATTTACATTTCTAGGGTCTGTTGTTTCTAACGATTTGAAAGGTGGAAAACTGAGAGTCATTCAAAGATTTTGAGCAAACATTATTTGTGGGTTTCTAGTGAATGTTCTTCAAAGTGAGATAGAGGACTTGGGAGGAGAGGTTCTCCAGGGTAGTCTCAAACAGGCAGGCAGCTCATGTGCAAAGTATTATTTCTCTTGGTTATCAGTGCTTCAGAAAGGCTTACTTATTTCTTCTTTCTAGCAGGCAGATAGAAGCTCCTGTCACTTTCTAGTCTTTTACGGGGTAGGATGTGACATTCCTTCAAGTGGAACTGCCAGTCAGATGTCCATGGATCACGAAGAGTTACTCCGAACTTGTACTCCTGGAGCCTCTCTCCGGAAGGGGAAAGGGAACACGTCCATGGTGAGCAGCTTCTTTTATAGTTTCCCTATATGATCATCTGTGCTCTGTGTATTTTTCTGAGTGAACTTTGGTAACTCTCAACTAGGTCAATACAGCACGGCAGAGAACTGCTCAGATCCCGGTTCTAGCACAGCTCTTTGTGGAACCTGAGGCAAGCTCCTGACATCTCTGTGACTGCAGTTCCTTAATTTTAAAATAGGGATAATAATAATTTCTGCCCCAGCATTGTTATAAGGATTAAATGGGATCAAATGTAAGCTGTATTTGATCAAATATTTGACATTTATGAGATATAACCGACAGCTATAATTATTATAAATGTCCACTCCATAAGAAAGACCATTTAAACCCCAGAAGTTTAAAAGTTGTACCAGCTTTAAAAAAATACAAATTTACTGGGAGAAAAAAACATTTTGCTTCATGTTATATAGGTAAATGTTTCTGTGATTTTTGTTTGTGGGTGTGATTCCTTTTAAAAATAAATCATAGTGTAAGCAAAAAAATAAAATCATTAGAGAAGAGCTTTATTTTTTTTATACTAAAGCCTTTTATTCCCTAATTTTCAATATAACAGTATAACAACTAAATGACATCATGTTTACAGTTGTCTACTTCACCTGCAGAATTTGCACTTGTTTCCTAAATGAGGATGTCTCTTTCAGGCTTTCGGAATATGTAATCCAGAATCAAGTGTATCTTCTATAGTGATATTTAGTTCTTGTTTGTGCCTCCATTTCAGTCAGTGTTAAATGTACTTATTTTTTCCCTGCAATAGAATTTCCTGTTACTTCTTCTTCCTTTGTCATAATTGACTGGGAGGTGACTTAAATTTTTATGTAGGTTTATGTTATGGGTGTTGACTTTTGTCCATGTTAGACTTAATCTACCTTTCTGGAGTCTAGAAGAGGATAATAATTATTCAGTTGGAAATTGGTTAGATAGTAGCATCATGTTGGTCCAAATCATCTCATTTCTCATTCACACAAGATAATTGGGGGTTTGAAAATTCCCATCGTGATGAGAGGGGAAAGCTCTTCGGGGTTATTGTGTATGTGTAGATGCACAGTTTGTTGTGTTGGGTTTTGTAAATAAAGTTATCTACATTAAACATACATGCTTCCCACCCCTGACTCTCAGGATAGTGCAGCAGGGTGCAGTGGAACCCCACCAATATGCCGACAGGCCCAGACCAAACTGGAAGTGGCCCTGTACATGTTTCTGTGGAGCCCTGACACTGAAGCTGTTCTAGTTGCCATGTCCTGTTTCCGCCACCTCTGTGAGGAAGCAGATATCCGGTGCGGGGTGGACGAGGTGTCAGTGCACAACTTCTTGCCCAACTATAATACATTCATGGAGTTTGCCTCTGTCAGCAATATGATGTCAACGGGTAAGTACAGCTGATGTTTTTCCCACTCGGTTTGCCTTGAATCGCATGATATCCGATTGTGCTAGGAATGTAGGGATGTATTTAAGATGATGACTTTGCAAGTTTAAAGGACTAATTCAAAAAACTTACCTGAAATTCTTTTCTGCACAAGTAAGGTGAAAATAAATAGCATTTGAAATAAATTGTTAATGTCACACTGAGTTTTTAATACGATCTACATTTGTTTAAAAACTGGCAGTATAAATTGTTGGCAGTTATATATTATATAAAGTACTTGGCCTGAATTGTGTACAAGGTGAGACAAAAGTAGGTTTACAGTTGTACCTGAAACACAATTTATTCTTGTGTTTATTAATTATTGTATTGATTTCCATATGAACAACTGTAAACCTACTGTCACCCTACCCCATATAATGAAGTTTTTAACACATTGGCGTATTTTAAGTAAATATAGGTGGGAATAACTATTTTATGGCGTGGACATTTGTGAAATCCAAGGGAAAATACCTTTTTCTGTGAGGGAGGTAATGGAAGTGTTCAGCTTTATCATTTGAAGAGTTCATTCCACCTCTCCGACTTTGCCTTTTGTGTTGGGCTTGCCAGGTTCCCCACTGGCCAGCAGGGCTCTAAGTGCGGTAAGGTGATTTCCTGTTGTCTTTGTTTAGGGAGAACAGCCCTTCAGAAAAGAGTGATGGCACTACTAAGGCGCATTGAGCATCCCACTGCAGGAAACACTGAGGTATGTGTGCCCTCAGTAACAGAGCTTTCCTCCCAGGCCCCCACCCTCAGTTTTAAAAGCTTCATGTTACATGTATGTGATTCAGAATAGCTTTTGAATCAAATCTAAGATATGTGCATATTACATTATGTTTATGATACGCACCAAATTTGGGGCCTGGCTATTGCTGATTGATTTAGCTCTAGGTTTAAAGTTGCTTTCACTTGGTAATTGCCTTCATTTTAGGCTTGGGAAGATACGCATGCAAAATGGGAACAAGCTACAAAACTAATCCTCAACTATCCAAAAGCCAAAATGGAAGATGGCCAGGTGAGTTTGTAAAGTTGATTTTTGTTTATTTATTGATCTGCTAAACATATAACATTAGTACTATCTTTTGTGAGTTACTCTTAGTATGTATAATAAGCATATACAGTCATCCCTCCCTCGCTATATCGTGGTCCACTTATTTTGGTTTTAAAAACCCATGATACAGTGAAGCTGCAAATAAGTGGACCACGATATAGCGAGGGACAACTGTATACTTCTCTGGTGAGTACCCATATAGAATTTTATATGTTGTTAAAATTATGTAGGTTTAAGAGTGTAGAAAGTGTTTTAAGAGCATATGAAGTGATTATAAGAGTGTGGGAAAGTTTAAGAGAGTGGGAAAGGTTTTTAGGAGTGTGGGAAGGGTTTATAAAGCCTTAAAATATATAAAATAATAAAAGAAATATAACGCCACTACTTCGTGGATTTTCACCTATCTTGGGGGTCTCTGGAACATAACTCCTGCAATAGGTGAGGGATCACTGTAGTTGTCTTAAGACTGTTATAGTTGTCTTAGGCTATAGACTATAGTTGTCTTAAGCGTATAGTTGTGGTTCATCAAAGTCTATACTATCTAGTATGGCAGCCACTAGCTACATGTGGCTACTTAAATTAAAATTTAACTTAATTAAAGTGAAATACAATTAAAATTCAGTTTCTTAGTTGCACAGTAGTTACATTTTAAAGGCTCAATTGAACAGCACAGGTATAAAATGTTTCCATCACTGCAGAAATATTGGACAGCACAGACCTAGAGATGATTTGTGGTAGAGACCATTCCTTTATCCTCTTCTTTCTCTTTCTCCGTCAGAATATTTCACAGAATTTTCAGAAAAGGAGAAACAAAGGTAGAGAAAAATAAATTAAAATTGAAGCAATGCATTTTACTATTTTATTAAATATTCTAATTAAGAGATCTGGTAGATAGATGATTTGATCCTGTAGGTTAAATGAATTTTTAAAACTTAAACATTTAATTCATCAGCTGTTACATGTTACCCTGGAAATCAGTACTTAATTGGTATTTGTACATGTCTGATTTGTAATGACCCTGTTGCTTTCATTATTAGGTGTTTTAGAAAACCTGGTTAGTTTCCTATTGCTTTATTCCTGTCAGGCTTAATTAGGACAAGAAAAAAAGTTGTTTTTGTGAAGCAGATGTATACCTGTTATCATTATTAGTATCATATGTGGCTTCAGAATGAAAGTCCTCCTTGTCCCTTTGGTAACTTTTATTGAGATATAAGTCACATACTATACAGTTCATCCATTTAAAATGTACAATTAAGTGGTTTTTAATATAGTCACAGAGTTGTGCATCCATCACCATAATTTAAAAAAACTTCATCATCTTTAGTTATCGATTCACTAATTTCCCTTTTCCTCCTTCCCCCATGAGGCCTAGGCAACCAGTAATTTGCCTTCTGTCTCTGTAGACTTGCCTGTTCTTGACATTTCATGTAAATGGAATAATGCGATGTGTGGGTCTCTTGTGACTTTTCTTTTTCCACTCACTTGCAATAGTGTTTGCAAGGTTCATTCTTGTCAATCAAAGCTTTTTAAAATATATCAATGGCTCTTTAAATATGTATATGGAAATCTTAAGTCTGGATTTTTTAAATTTTATTTTTTCATCTTAGACATCATTTTTTAAGCCTAACAAAATCGTCTATAAATTTAAGTGACAATTCAGGATATTAGGTAGTAAACATACCTGTGCAACCAGCAACCATGACAGGAAGTATTAATCAGCATACCAGAAACCTTCATTGTGCCCCTTCCAGTCATTAACAACCCAACAGGAACCACAATCCTGACTATTAAATAAAATACTTTGTTTTTAAAATTTATACAAATGGAATAATAGAGATACACTCTCTTATATCTGGCTTCTTTCCCTCAACGTTGTGAGATTCATCCACAGTATTCCATCAAGTTATAGTTCATTCATTGTTATTGCTATATATTATTTCATTCAACAAACAGTCTACAATTTAATTTTTAATTTACTAACTAATTTGGTGATTGGATGGCTATACAAAAATATTTAGTCATTTTAAGTAATGCTGTTATGAACAATCTTTTTTAAATTATATTTTATTGATTATGCTGTCACAGTTATCTTGATTTTTCCCCTTTGCCCCGCCTCCCCCAGCCCCGTACCATTCCCTCAGGCAATACCCCAACACTGTTCATGTCCATGGGTCATACGTATAAGTTCTTTGGTTACTCTATTTCCTACACTGTACTTTACATCCCCATGGCTGTCCTGTAACTTCCTATTTGTACTTCTTAATCCATTTACCTCTTCACCCATTCTCCCCCTCTCCCTCCCCTTTCCCATCTGGCAACCATCAAAATATTCACCGTATCCATGATTCTGTCTCTGTTCTTCTTGTTTGCTTAGTTTGTTTTTTAGATTCAATTGTTGGTAAATTTGTATTTTTTGCTATTTTATTGTTCATAGTTTTGACCTTTTTGTTAAGTCCTTTTAACATTTCATATAATAATTGTTTGTTGATGATGAACTCCTTTAGTTTTTTCTTGTCTGGGAAGCTCTTTATCTGCCCTTCAATTCTAAATGATAGCTTTGCTGGGTAGAGCAATCTTGGCTGTAGGTCCCTGATTTTGAATATTCTTGCCAATCCCTTCTAGCTTGCAAAGTTTCTTTTGAGAAATCAGAAATAGTCTTATGGGAACTCCTCTGTAGGTAACTAACTGCTTTTCTCTTGTTCCTTTTAAGATTCTCTCTATCGTTAGCCTTTGGCATTTAATTATGATGTGTCTTAGAGTGGGCCTGTTTGGGTCCAACTTGTTTGGGGCTTTTGGTCCTTCTGGACTTGCATGTCTATTTCCTTCACCAAATTAGGGAAGTTTTCTTTCATTATTTTTTCAAATAGATTTGAAAAACCAATTTCTTGCTTTTTCTCTTCTCCTCTGGCACTCCTATGATGTGAATGTTGGATATCTTGAAGTCGTCCCAAAGGTTTCAAGATCTTCAATACTATCCTCATTTTTAGGATTCTTTTTTCTTCTTGCTCTGATTGGTTGTTTTTTTGTTTCCTTATGTTCCATATCATTGATTTGATTCTTGATGTCATGCACTCTACTGTTGTTTCCCTGTAAATTGCTCTTTATTTCAATTAGTGTATCCTTCATTTCTGACTGGATCTTTTTTATGCTGTTGAGGTCCTCACTAAGTTCCTTCAGCATCCTTATAACCAGTGTTTTGAACTCTACATCTGATTGATTACTTATCTCCATTTCGCTAAATTCTTTTTCTGGAGTTTTGATCTGTTCTTTCATTTGGACCATGTTTTTTTTTGTCTCCCTGTGTTTGTTTCTGTGTATTAGGTAGAGCTGCTTTGACTCTATCTTGGTAGTGTGGCTTAATGTAGTAGGTGTCCTGTAGGGTCCAGTGGCACAGTGTCTCCTGTTACCCAAGCTCTTCAAGGTTCGCTCTTCATGTGCGCTGAGTACACCCTCCTCTTGTAGTTGAGCCTTGGTTGCTGTTGGCAGATCAATGGGAGGGATTTACCCAGTCCAGTCACTGCAAGGACTGGCTGTGACCACTTACTACCAACCTGTGCCCTCTGTGGAGGATTAGCTGTGCAGGGGCAGGGTGGTGGTGCTCTGACCTGATCTGTAGCTGTCTACTGGGTACGCTGGCCCTGGGGTTTCCTGAGTGGTACTGGCCTAAGTTAACCCTGGGTCTGTCTTTTGCCTGGGGCCACCCTGCCTGAGCTATGAAGCAGTCTGAGATGGCTGCTACTTGTGCTGGGCTTGGAGATACCTAGGCAGAGCCAAGCTGTGAATCTAGGCTGGCTGCTGTTAGTGCTGGGCCTGGAGCTCACTGAGGTCAGCTGTTGCTAGTTTGAGAGGATTTAGGAAGTTGTCAGCAGGAGCTGGGACAAGCCACTCATATGGAAAAGCATCTTTGGTGGGCCCATAAGTTGGGTGGGGCTGAGTCCCTGGGGATCTCCAAGGTGAGTTAAACACTGGGGATCTCCAGTGTTAGTAAGGTTGATGGAGTTTCAGATATGGCACCAGCTTGCTGGCTCTGTGGCTTTGTGGAGAAAGATTAGAAAAAGGGACAATGGCCTCTTGTTAGCCTTGATGCCAGACACTTCAGTTTCTCTCAGTATACACTGGTGCCTTTCAAGCTGCTGCCTCAGTGTTGGAGCTCAGAGGGAGTGAGTCTGAGTAGGTGAGTCTGTGTATGGGTTCTTTAAGAGGAACTGCTTAAGTTGCTCTTTAAGAGAAACTCCAGAAGTTTCTTCCACCAACCCAATTCCCGCTGGGTTTTGTAGCCAGAAGTTGTGAGGACTTATCTTCCTGACACTGGAACCTTGGACTGCGGGACCTGGTGTGGGGCTGCAACTCCTCGCTTCCAATATATCCCTCCTGGATTTTTATCCACCACACGTGTGGGATCAGCCCATTCTGTGTCTGTACCCCTCCTTGTAGTCTGGATGGATGTGGTTTCTTTAATTCTGTAGTTGTCAGACTTCCATTCAACTCAATTTCTGAAGGTTCTGAGTGGTGGTTGTTGCATATTTTAATTGTACTTTTGATGTGGTTGTGCAATGAGGTGAGCCATGTCTGCTTATCAAACATTCTTGAATGTGTCTTCTGGTGACCATCTGGATGTTCATACTCAGCAGTGGAATTGCTGGATCATGGGGTATGCAGATGTACATGTGGGGAATATAAATTATTAGTCACTTTTAAAAACTGTTTATTGGTATCACAAAAACTTTAAAAAGACAATTTACATTTTACAATTAACTGTTACAATACCTGTGTAAATAATGGAATATTATCCAGCCATTTAAAGCTTTCTGTTTAAAGAATATGTGCCAGATGAGGCATTTGCTCCATTAATAGAGATCTATTAAAGGTTTCCTATACCTGAATGAACAGCTTTTCTGTTGTGATAATTCAAATTATAGCCCTTTAGAATAGAATCACAGAAATGGAGATCACATGGAGGGTTATCAGTTGGTGGAGATGAGGAGGATGTGGGGAAAAGGTACAGGGAATAAGAGGCAGAATAGGCAGGCACAAAATAGATGGGAGGTTAAGAATAGTATAGGAAATTGAGAAGCCAAAGAACTTATATATATGACCCATGGGCATGAACTGTTGGGTGGGGAATGCTGGAGGGTGAGGGGGCAGGTGCAGGGAGGAGGGGAGTGGGATAGAGGAGAGGGAAAAATTCAGACAACTGTAATAGCATAATCAATAAAATATACTTAAAAATTATAGCCCTGTAAAGACCAAAGTAGAAAATAAAATATTACATACACTTTTTCTGATTCAGTTAGGTAAAAAGAAAATATATTGAAGTACTTAAATATTCAATAAAGTTAGGTATATCAGGCCTCGGCAGAGGTAAGCTGAAAACATTAATATAATATATTCAATGAATACCTACTTGTATTTGCTACATCAACGAATGGAACAACATTATCAAAACGGTAGAAGACAAGGGAAACTTGCCATTGTATCCACCAACCAAAACTGACAGTCAAGAAACTTGTACTCATTTGAGCCCCAATAAGAAATATAAATATACAGCAGAATTCACACTGAAGAAAAAACACAAACCTAATTCTTTAGACACTACAGACATCTTAGACACAAAAGATCCACCCAGGTGGAAGAACAATAGTATTATCAAAATCTTTATATTTCAGCTTAAGTTTAACTTCACTTAGCTTATAATTTCCTTTACATATAATGACAGTTTAGGAATATTTCACTGTAATTTAAAAACAGAGTAATCACTGTGTTCCCAGAGTCAAGAAGAGATTAAAAATTATTTCTTTGTTTCTGTTGGAGGGAATCTAATTAAAGTGCTAGATGAAAAGTAAGACTAGGTGATAAAATATGAACCCTGTAAGGAAAATGTATTTAAACCTACTATGAAAATCACAATTACTAAAAAAAAAAATAGGTTGGTAATGGTATATTAAATGCTTCAAATCTAAGTCATTTTGTGTAAGAGTACATGAAATGAACTTTGACTAACGCATAAAAATTTTTTAAGTTCCTTTTTATCTCTTGTTTTCTAAAATTTTAAGGAACATTCTGCAAACCTCATTCAAATCTGTCTATACATAAACCAACATGCTAAGGAACAGAGTCATTTCTCTGCTTCATTTATTAAACCTTCAGGAAGATTAATTGCACCATCATCTTGGACTCTTTACGACAGCAAATTTCCTTTTTTGCAAACATCCAAATTCATGGCTGTCATAGCATTACCGTTGAATTGATGTTTATGAAGTGCAGGCCCCTGACTTAGATGTTCATGGTAAATAGGTACTAAATTGGGAAAATGTTTTTGGAGGTGAGATGTTAGTTCTGCATTTGCATTAATTTGAACTGGTTCCTTTTCACACCCAGATTTGTCACCATCAAAATCAACTATATTTTTTCCCTAATTTTGCACTGACCTGGCCGTTACTGCAACGGGCATCATTTGTACTTGGCGTACGATCATATTTGTCCATTGTGGTGGAGGTGGTGATGCTGTGGACTAATAAATCGATGACCAATAATCTAATTGATGACTAATAAATTGATGACCAATAATCTATTCCCAGTTGTCTCCCCAGAAAATGCCCAGTGCGTGAAATGCAAGGGTCCTGAGTTATTTGTGCTGTATGAGCAGCAATCATTTCCCCTGACATATTATGTTCTGGGTCTTCAGAGTGTCAACAGGCATCTAGCATTTGTAATCATCTATCAATAGCATTGACTCGGTATTAAAAACCATGTCCTTTCCTGTTCCATTGCTTGTTCCACTTCTTTCTAATGGGCCATGGGCATCTTCTACGCAAGTGTTTGCTAGACTTTCTAACTTTCTGATATGAAGGTCTGTATCACAGCTGCTTTCAGGGGCATTGCAACCATGATCATTATCTCCAGTTTCTTTTATAAGTTCTCTGACCGGGCTTCACTGCCAGGGTTCCCAGATGACTGGCTTACATCATCAGAATTCACCTCATTGCTCGGTCCATCACTCAGTCCCCAGCTGCTACCAGGACCACTGTTTCTGTCTTCACACTGTTGTCAGTTTCTTCAGAACTTCCCTGCATGGATTCATGTGTCTCAGAGTTGCTCTTGTACATGTTTGATTCTGTTAATAAGTTGCTCATCCATTTCAATGTCACTGCCTTCACTTTGATGGGTTTCCCTAATATCACTGCTTTGAGGTAACCAAGGTGGAGCTGTTCTTCTGAGCTCTTCTCCCTCTTTCTTATTTCCAGTGGGAAGATTAGCATTTAATAAAGATGCAAAAGTATTCTAGATAGCTGAGCCTCAACTGCTGTTAGTGCAGTATTCCGTGATGCTTTAATTAATATCCATGCCAAGCACTATGTCTCTTCAGTTTGAACATTTGGCTCAAGAGCTGAGACTGAATTAAAGATACGTCTACATGGTACTGGATTCAGATTCTTGACAAGTGAAGGAAGTAAGTCATGTCCATGCCAAGTACAGTGTCTGAGCTGTGCTGCAGCCCAAATGTAGTCAGTATGCTGAGTACTCAGTTTGCCCTTCCACTGCCAGAAAATGCAAAATCACTTTGATAATCTCAGCATGTAAATTTGGTCCAGATATATGCTCTACCACATTGTTGCTGCCAAGCCAAACTGCAAGTTCTTTCGTAGTGGACATTTCTGTGTCAGATGCCAGTGGTTCATTATTGCACACATCACTGAAGGTGTGAAGTTGATACGTATTCTGACTTGGTCCAGCCAACCTCATAGTCAAAGTAGGAGACACAGAGTATTTAACTGTAAGGTCTAGGCTTTCTTTATCAAAGCACAGTGTTGTATGTAGCCAGTGGTTCTTTCACTGTGCTCCACATTAAGTCAGCCATGTCACAAGCCACACTGTCTTAACTCCTAATCAGAGAGATTGCATAAATACTTGATCATGTAGGTCCTGCAAGAGATAATGTGCTGCACCAAAGCAGGGGTGTATGCCATATTCTAATAATAGGTACAGTTGTATTAAATGCATGTGCTGTGAGAAGTGTCAGTTTCAGGAGTTCCATATTCAAAATCATCTTCTATAAGAGAAAGGCCGCTTTCCTCACAAAACGAACATACATAAGAAAGCAGTGCATGGTGTTTCTACATTATGGATACCACAGAATGCCCCAGATATGTTGCTTTCTTGGGTTACTTTAGTCACTATAGGAGGATGAGTATTATGCTTATAAGCAGCATATAAGAGAAATAGAATTTGAAAAAAAATTTGCCACACATAGCAAGAGTTTTTCCTTCTTATCTGTATTCCTTAAACTAAAAGGATCAGAACTCTGAAGATTTGTCCTCAGATTACAAATTCTTGTAGAATGTAATTTTTTTCTATTTTTGTCTTCCTGTACTTTCTTCATTAACTTCTCTTTCTATATTCAGTGGGTCTTCTTCTTGATTACTCTCAACTTGCCATGTGGAATCTGTGTTAATAGTACAGTGTATACAAAACTGGCCAGAGAGCACTTGAACTTGGGCAATCACTAAGTTAATAAGTACATGTAATACTTAGTTAAAAATCTCCAAATGCTTATATTCCTTGAAGCAGCATAGACATTGCTTTTGTGTCTAGGAATTGATATAAACAAATGTTTTGAGAATATGTTCCTTTCTGAGCTGTAGTCTGTCACCATCTTCTATATCTGATAGTGTATCTCTGTTTATTGCTACCCTCAATTCTCTAAGGCTCATCCTTCCTCAAGAAGTCAGACACCTTGATGTGACTAGAAATGGCAGTGAAAACTTGGATTTTTTAAGTATAAAAAATGTCCTTTTGTCATGGAAGAATTGTTGTATAAAAAGTGATTTTTAGAGTCTCTCAATTTAGGATAAATTTATGCTTTCCTGTGTTTAGGCTGCTGAAAGCCTTCACAAGACCATTGTTAAGAGGCGAATGTCTCATGTGAGTGGAGGAGGATCCATTGACTTGTCTGACACGGACTCCTTACAGGAGTGGATCAACATGACTGGCTTCCTCTGTGCCCTTGGGGGAGTGTGCCTGCAGCAGAGGAGCAATTCCGGCCTGGCCACCTATAGCCCTCCCATGGGCCCCGTCAGTGAACGCAAGGGTTCCATGATTTCAGTGATGTCCTCAGAAGGAAATGCAGATACCCCTGTCAGCAAATTTATGGACCGGCTGCTGTCCTTAATGGTGTGTAACCATGAGAAAGTAGGGCTGCAGATACGGACCAATGTGAAGGACCTGGTGGGTCTAGAATTGAGTCCTGCGCTTTATCCAATGCTATTTAACAAACTGAAGAATACCATCAGCAAATTCTTTGACTCACAAGGACAGGTAAAGTGTGTTCTGCTTTAATTTTTCACCTTTCCCTATGAATAGAATGATGTATTTATGAAGCTCTTTTGTTTAGATTATTTAATAAGATACTGGGATAAGCATTCACTCACATGTTTGAAAAAAGGCAAGAAATTGCAGATAAAAGAATTCTCTATTGTGGGATAAATTTGCTGTTTCGGAGCTGTAGCGTGTAGGTGTGCCTGGGGCTCTGAATGTCTCGGGTATAGGCACGAATGTCTGTCTGTGTCCGTGTGCCTGTTTGGGTACAGGCCTGTGGGTGCATTTCTGCATACACATGGCATTGAGATCAGGTGGCTTCATCTCACTGTGGTCTGTTTGCTGTGCACTGATTCCAGATGTATTCTGTTCCTTGTGTAGGTTTTACTGACTGACACCAATACTCAGTTCGTAGAGCAAACCATCGCTATAATGAAGAACTTGCTAGATAACCATACTGAAGGCAGCTCTGAACACCTGGGGCAAGCTAGCATTGAAACAATGATGTTAAATTTGGTCAGGTAAGCATTCTGCTGAAATGTAGCAGAAACACATTGGTATTAGTAGTTATTAGTGAAGTAATTTGCCATCCTTTTCTTTATTGCTCCTAAATTAGGGTGTGACAATAAGGTAACCAGAAGTTATATATGTTCTCTTATAAACAAAATAAAATTCTTGCAGCTTTTATAATTACTTGTAGTAATTTTACTTAGAGATTAAAGCGTTTAGAAGAACAACCTCTTTTGTTTATATCTGATCATTTTTTTTAATGTTTCTATGTCCAAATAGATATGTTCGTGTGCTTGGGAATATGGTCCATGCAATTCAGATAAAAACGAAACTGTGTCAGTTAGTTGAGGTAATGATGGCAAGGAGAGACGACCTCTCATTTTGTCAAGAGATGAAGTTTAGGTGAGTTCTTAAAAGAGCAAAGCAGGGTCTTCTGTTGGGTTAAATGTAAGTACAGAAAAATAGTTGGTATCTGGTTATTATGGGAAGTGGAGGGGTTGTGAGAATGGGTGGAAAAGGAGCATTTTATGTGTTTGTTTTTCTCTTCATGTCTCTCAAATTTCCCAAAGCTTTCTGCCCAATACCGCCTTTTTCTAAAATTATGCTATTCTTGAGCTAAGAATTTGGTTCTGTTTCCAAACCAATACATAGCTAAGGGCTAACATGGAGGGTCAGTATTCCAGTTGCCTGTGTTTGGTCCCTTCTGTTACATCTGATAGCAACAATTTTATTTTTATAAAATTGTCGTGTTGCTGGGGTGATTTGGCACATTGCGTACACTATTAAAAAAGCGTCTGTGTGACTTTAAAAAAATTGTTTCCTATTTTGCTTTTCTCTGCCATTCTGTAGGAATAAGATGGTAGAATACTTGACAGACTGGGTTATGGGAACATCAAACCAAGCAGCAGATGATGATGTCAAATGTCTTACAAGGTGAGAAAGAGAAGGACCTTTAAGCATCAGCAGGTTTCCTCTAGGCATTAGTACTACTTCATTATAGCTGTCATACATATTTTTATGTATATTGAAATTATTTTTATGGATGTTAAGCTTTTGCATTTGAATTATATACTGTTGTTTTTTTTTAACCGAAAGACTTGCAGTAAAAAAATGGGAGAGCGTTATGTTTGGAAAGTTGGTGTTGTCTGGGAAGGATAGTGTATAGTTACTGGAAGACAAAATACACGTAGCCACACATTATTTTATGGTTAGATACATAAATGTATTATTTGAGGAACTTAATTGTTTTGAGTTGTTTTAAAAAGTAATTGATTAATCAAGTTTGGTCTAATGATAAAAACTTCCTGCCACATATCAGAAAATAATTAAACACTGTGAACCACACAACAATTTCCATGTATTTCTTTGGCCAGGCTTAGTTTTTTAATTCATTCTTTTAAGGTCGTCATTCACCAAGATTACTCTGTAGAAAGTTATTAATACCCTCTCCTAAATTTGAAATGTTTTTGCATTCTAGGGTCTGCATATTAACTCATATTACTTAGATCGTCCTAATAATTTGTTTAATGAAATAGGCAGTTCCTAGAGTTTGTGTCTGTTAGTTAGGGAGAAGCTGATTTCAGGGGAGGGTGGAGCGAAGAACCTGAAAGACTCATTATGGTCTTTCAATGTTGTTTTCTTCAGAGACTTGGACCAGGCAAGCATGGAAGCAGTGGTTTCACTCCTGGCTGGTCTTCCGCTGCAGCCCGAGGAAGGAGATGGTGTGGAACTAATGGAAGCCAAATCACAGTTATTTCTTAAGTAAATTTCAGTTATCAAAAACACAAGGGGAAAAACAAAGCCCCACACAACAGAACAATGGAAGTGTAATCAAAGTGACAAATGATTACATTTAGAACATGGACATTATTTTGGTATTATGACCAGCGGCTGCTGTCTCATAAACTATAACCCATGCATGAAGCAGCATTCCCTGTGGCAGGGGTGGGACAGGAAAACAACGGTGTTCTGTGGTTTTTAAAGAAAATTATCTGATCAATTTTTATTGGCAGTATAACCCACATTCCCTTATTAAGGCAATATAACTCAGATCACTTATTTGGACCACTAATTTTATATGCTAAACATTAAAAGTGATGCATTTACATGGCATCTGTTTGGTGTCTGTGTAATGAAATATGTAGTGGGCTGTGTCCAGATAAAATCATACTCAGCAGAGCATACTCCATAATGAGACACACTGGCTGATTGTCCCAGGGCCGGAGAGACGCAGATGCCCTAGGCCCACTCATGTCCTAACATGTGATGATTTCAGACTGTCTGGTAAGCTTTCTGGTTGATGTGGCCTTCACTGTATAAGGGTCAGTCTTTTTGTTTCTCAGGTATTTCACATTGTTTATGAACCTTTTGAATGACTGTAGTGAAGTTGAAGATGAAAATGCACAGACAGGTGGCAGGAAACGTGGCATGTCTCGGAGGCTGGCCTCACTGAGGCACTGTACAGTCCTTGCGATGTCCAACTTGCTCAATGCTAATGTGGACAGCGGCCTCATGCACTCTATAGGTGAGATAAATGAGAGCATACAGAAATTGAAAACTTAGAGGACTGGCGTAGAAGACCAGTAAAGTTATTTCAACAAGTTCATGTTAGTAAATTTGTATCTGTCTGTCCACATCAGGTTTAGGTTATCACAAAGATCTTCAGACAAGAGCTACATTTATGGAAGTTCTGACAAAAATCCTCCAACAAGGCACAGAATTTGACACACTTGCAGAAACAGTGTTGGCAGATCGGTTTGAGAGATTGGTGGAGCTGGTCACGATGATGGGTGATCAGGGAGAGCTCCCTATAGCTATGGCCCTGGCCAACGTGGTTCCTTGTTCTCAGTGGGTAAGTGCATTGAAAGCGGGAAGGAAAAGCACCTGCCATGTAGCAGATGGTTCAGAATTCATTTGTGCACTGAATGTTCACTGATTAAGTTGCCGAAACTTCAGAGCTGGAGGGAACTTCAGATATTATTTGAGTAGTTCTCCCTTGTGGAGAAATGGGAGGAGTTTCTAGTCCTCACTGTATTCTTACCTTAAGTATGAGGATCTTATTCCTCATACTTAAAGTAAAATTTAAACTCCTTATGTGTCCCACTGAAAAATTTCATTTAAATACTGGATGGAAAGAAAATTAAAACCACTGATCTGGTCTGGTGTCTTTGTATACTAAATGAGATAATTAGTGTTAAATCTCATATTTAGTGGTAGAACTAGAACTAGAATTCAAGGCTTATGCCTATTTATTATCTCCAATTCATAACTCTTTCTATAATGCATTGTATAATTTTTAAAAAATATAAGCACTCTAAATATGCTAAGAATTTGGGAAGGGATGTCCCTTTCCATGTTAAAAAGCTGTTTAGTTTATATTATACCAAAAATGATTTTAGTTTAATAAATTATAACTAATAAGGTAATCTGTCATTGCCTGTAGATTTATTTCTGCTTAAAAGCTGTAAGATCTTAGTCCTCATACTTAAAATCGAAACTCAAACTCTGGCCTACAAGTCTCTACCCAACCTGGGCTCTTCCTCACCTCTGACATCATCATGTTCACCAAACTTAAACCACACTGGCCATGGCACACGTTAGGGTCATTTCTACCCTACAGTGCTATTCCTGCTGCTGCTGCCTCTCTCCCATCTGAAGTGTTTCTTCCGTGGTCGCCTTCTTGTTCATCAGGTTTCTGCTTAGATGTCACTTCCGTTTCTGACCATCCGATCACTACCACACCTGCAGTCATTCTGCTACATTACCTTGTTATATTTTCTTCGTAGCATATATTCACTGTGTGAAATTAGCATGTTTACTTGATTATTTTAATTCTATCAGAATGTGAGCTCCATGAGAGCAGAGACCTTGTTCCCTGTTCTCTCTATCCCTTCCCAGAATGTGTGGTTCAACAGTGATTTACTATCCTATCGTTTTTCTTGAGTGTACCTGAAAACACTTTATTATGGGAAATCATGAGGGTTATCATTTAGGTACTAGAGGGGAATTAGCTGCCCATCCTCACTTTGCACATAAATCTTGCTAATCTCTTGGTTCTGAGTGCACCAGGTCTTTCTCCTGACTTCTTGCAAATCCTGTAGCTTTCCATTTTTGTTGTTTCTCTGCCTAGCCCATGTTCAGATTTTACTGAGTTTTCCTGACCGTATAAGACAGGGGTGTCAAACTCATTTTCACCGGGGGCCACATCAGCTTCAGGGTTGCCTTCAAAGGTCCAAAATAATTTTAGTACTGTATAAATGTAACTACTCCTTAACTGTTAAGGAGTTGAAATTACATTCGGCCCTTTGAAGGCAACTGCACGGCTGATGTGGCCCCCAGTGAAAATGAGTTTGGCACCCCAGGTATAAGAAGAGAGTAGAGCTCTTGGCTCTTGTGGTCACCAAAATCTCATTCTTGCTCACTTGTTTTCTGAGAAAATGATCTGTGCGTATCAAACAACTCTGCTATCATCTTCTGTTTCTAGTCTTTCATTTTTGTCATACAATTTAGGCTGAAACTGGATTTTTTTTCTGTCTTCTGGTAAAGTTTAGGCATCTCTTACCTTTCATCAGTTAATCCTTAGAATTAACAACTGCTGTAGGTGTATAGGAATTATAGGCATAGGTACACAGATAAATCCCGGGGCAAAAATTAATCAGTCACTATTTACCTCAATTCAGCGCATGGCAGTCAATTTTGCATTTGCCTTTTAGTTTCTTGCTTAAGAAAAAACGGGATTGTTCACACTAACACAATTGTTTCGTTCACAGGATGAACTAGCTCGAGTTCTGGTGACTCTCTTTGATTCTCGGCATTTACTCTACCAATTGCTCTGGAACATGTTTTCTAAGGAAGTAGAATTGGCAGACTCCATGCAGACTCTTTTCCGAGGCAACAGCTTAGCTAGTAAAATAATGACCTTCTGTTTCAAGGTTTGTATCCATTCATCTATTCTTGTGTGGAGGTAGGCCAGACAATGATTCTGTACAGAATGTACGGAGCAGAGTGTCTGCTTTAATGCAAGATGCGTGGATCAGGCATAATAAATTCCTGCTTGTGTGTTTCTCTAGGTATACGGTGCTACCTACCTACAAAAACTCCTGGATCCTTTATTACGAATTGTGATCACATCCTCTGATTGGCAGCACGTGAGCTTTGAAGTGGACCCTACCAGGTTTGTCATCCTTCCACCTACAGCTGCTCTCCATGTTTTCACTGCCACCACCGTGTGGGGCCTCGGTGGAGGCAGTCTGCAACAGTAGGGCCTGGCCCTCATGTTTCTCCCCTTAATGCTTAAAAATTAGTCTTTAACCATGAAAGTTACATGCAAATACATTTTTTCTGAAAAACAATTACAGATTCCCTTAAAGGTGAATTTGACTACCACTTGTAGAGATTTAGCACTGTTACTACTTTAGTCTGTTCTGTCCTTTTTCAATATATTTGCATGTAAGTGTACTTGTAGAAACTACATATTATAATGCGAGTGCTTAATATCAATGGTAACATATACATGGTTTTGCAACCTAATCTTTTTAACTTAACCCTGTAGATCTAAGGATCTTTCTCTGTGTGTGTATTTTTTCTTTTTAACTGCTGCGTATTGTTTCACAGTTTGCCTATATCATCATTTATTTAGGCAATACCATATTGATCCTATTGGTGTTTGCGGTAACTCCCTAATTATTGTCCCAGCATTTTAAGAAAAGTTTTTAGGTCATTTGTTGTAGGAATTATTCTGAAACCCAAGTCTTCTTGTCACTTTATTTCTTAGAAACCATCCATTGTTCCCAGTTGACTGCACTGCAGAGTGCAGAGTTGTCTAACCTACAGTCCACCATGATCTCCTGTTGCCCTTGCACATGTTCTCTGTACATTAGCTCCAGTGAAATCTGCATATGTGATATGTTCTTAAAGTGGTTTAACACATGGGGTTTGTTGGGGTTGGAGGTGCCTAATAATTAATAATACTCTTTCTTGGCCAAGTTCAAAACCAAAAAGGTGGAGGGAGGGAGGATTGGGGGAAGCACTCATGACTCAGCTGTCCCTTTATTTCTTACAGAAATGATGACAGAATGCAGCTTTGGATCCTGTGGACAAATAGGCTTGCTAACACTTTACCTTGAGTTAGACTCATCTACCCCATACTTTGCACAGCTGGATAACTACAGATTTCCCTCAAAGGGGCTGGCAAGCTTTTTACCACACAAGTAGAGAGCAGATCGGATTACATCTTTTCTGTAGGCAAACATATCTCAAATGGAGATGATGGTACTGAGCTGAGCATGCTTGGCTCTTTTCTTTTTTCCTAACTTATTCCTCCTTCTATAATGAGGAGTGACGTCATAGAAGGGAAAGAGTCCAAAGGAGAATGCTGGGTACAATTTAAAAACTGCTACCTCTGTGAAGCTCTCTATCTGTCACCGGGTGCTGCCCATGCTCACACACTGCACATGAACAAGTAATCTTTATTCTGTGTTCTGTACCATCATCGTAACACTTCATCGTGATGATGTATTTTGAATGTATTTTCCATCTAGACGGTTGGATCTTTTACATTTTGTACAACGTTACATCCTCCTATGAGTATTTAGCATGGTATCTGGTCTATAGTTGACATTTCATAAATACTTGTTGAATGAGTGAATTTTAAACAATTATGTTATGCTTGCTTTTTCTAAGCCACATCTCATCTGTCTTCTAGTTAGGACCTTAATGTTATTGTTTTAGAAGGACACCTGAAACAGGCTGCAGTGCACCTACTGCTATGTTGATTCAGTAAGAAAAATTTCCCGCAGAGTAGATGAGAACTGTCAAGGTTGCTAGGAGTCTCTTCCGGCCTTGTTAAATAAATTGTTAATCTTTTCCTTTATACCACTAAACCCCTGTGCCCTCCACATTTCAGATTTGAATTACTATTGTAGCTTTGTAACTGATCTCCCTGCATAGAGTCTCCATATTTAGACCAATCTCTTCAGTTCTCCATGTATTCCAAGATCATTTTCTGCCTCTGGTTTCCCAGCAACTACCATTGTGAATTAATCATATCTGTCTTCAGTTTGCTATTTTGCCTTTATCCGTGAATTATATTCATTACTTAGTGTGTGCATGTCTTTCCCCTCTTTGAAAAGGTCAAAGGCCAATTATTGTCGAATCCTCTGTACCTAGAACTAAAATGGCAAATAGTAGATGGGTGTGAATGTTTGTTAGATTGAATTTAGTATCTGCCCTGCCTACTTCCTCTTTTTGGAATACCCTCACTTCTTTCTGCCTATGTAAATCCTATCCCTCCTTTAGGACTTACCTATCCTATGGTATCTTTCCTGCCTTGCATCCACATCCATTTCTGAGCTCTTATTGTATCCATTGCAATAAGCCGTAATTAGCCATAATTATGCCACCACACAATTAGCCATAAGGACTCTGGAGTGATGACTTGAGTGTCCCAAGCATTCATGTAATATGTAAATTAGTACACAAGTAAAAATTGGTAGTTAAGAGATTGAAAAAAAGTATTTACTCAATACTTGTAGCTGTGCTAGTTTTTAAGGGGACAAGATGAGTACTTCCCTTCTCCAAGGAGTTTACAGTTTAGTAGGGAAGATAAGACATATAACAAGTAATTATGTAAGGGGTTTCACGGGGGATGTGTTTTGAGAGTTCAGATGATGCCAGTTGGGGAGCTTGGGTAAAGCTTTGTGGATTTGGTAGCCATTGGGTGAAAATTTAAACCCCATAAAGTAGGTAATATTATTATTCCTGTATTATTGCTGAAGAAAATTGAGGCCCGGAAGAGTGAAGTGTCTTGACCAAGGCCATAGTAATAAGTAGTGATAGAGCCAGAATTTAAGCCTAGTAAGTCTTCCCGCTGGATTCCTGCTTTTAAGTACAACACCAAGACTTCAGAGGTGTATTGAATTAGCAGCCCTGATTGAGTGTGGGGAGGAGTGGAGCACAGCAGGCCAGGGTGACATCAGAGGTCACCTGTATGACGTGATCGAGATAGTGATGGTGCCATTGACAACATGGAGAGCACAGGATAGGACAGAATTGTAGGAGGAAAAACCAGTTAATTTTGGGCAAACGGATTTTACATACTGGTGGGAGGAACACCCGGCAGTTAGAAATATTAGACTGGATATGAAAGGCAGTTCAAAATAAGGGAAACATGAAAAGCCACAGAATATATGAAAGCCCGTCTAAATAAAAGTTGGGAACGTGAGATGCCCTTTTCTACCTACTAGATTGACAAAAAAATTAAAAATCATATATTGAATTTATAAGAATATAAGAATTTTTATAAACAATTTTCAAAACTTTTTTCTTTATAGTTGGCTTGTTCAAATCAAGATGCTATGAGACTCTAACATTGTATTTGGCTGAATATCTCTTAAGGGGTCTCTTTTACAGTGTTTTTGTTTGTTTTTAATTTGTTACTTTTTTTGTAGGTTAGAACAGTCAGAGAGCCTTGAGGAAAACCAGCGGAACCTCCTTCAGATGACTGAAAAGTTCTTCCAGGCCATCATCAGTTCCTCCTCAGAATTTCCCCCTCAGCTTCGAAGTGTGTGCCACTGTTTATACCAGGTATGCTCTAGGTTAGAGGGCACCATTATTAATCCAGAGCTAAATGAAAAAGAATGCTTTACTGAAGAGGAATTTAGCTTCTGATAGTGGATGATTGACAGTACTGAGTCAGTGTGGATGAGTAATATATTAAAAATTGTTATTGGAATTGGCTTTGAAAAAACATAAACATTGCTTAGGAAGCAGTTTGAAGTATTTTAAGGAGGTACTTTAAAATAATAAATTTTTCTTGGCATTGAGAGCAAGTTTAAAATATACCAAATGTATTGGGTATCATGAATGTAGTTGAAATGAAATATATTATGCAATTTTTTTGTTATCTTTTGCCTAAATTACCCATAAGGTCTTTAACACATGAGTCAGGTGTACCCCCTGCTTTTTGCATTGTGAAGATTGATGTATAATTTTTATTTCTTCATTAAGATATAATGTGTTTGTGTCAGGTTTTCCCAGGAAAGACTGATCTGTGTATTTTATGTGAAATGCTACTTATAAAATATATTGTATCATCATTCAGGTTAAATTATTAGATTTTCTAACTCTAGGACTGCAACTAATGCCTCTGAGTTCAGATGTCCACAGTCATCATCCACTTGTTGAGGAGATTGGGTCTGTGTTCTTTTCTGGCTTCCACTTTGTTTTTGAATTGCATATGCAGTTTCAGGAATGATTTATTTGTTCCAAGGGAGATTAATGCAGATCCACTTAGCTTGTTTAAACTGTGTTTCTGGAAGAAACAGTAGGTCCAGAGTTTGGGACTCCAGGAGAAAGAATTTGTGTATTTACCAAAACCATGTCGTTGTGTCTCTCTCTTTGCAGAGTCATCCTCAGCCATTTGTTTTTTAGCACAGGGCTTGAGATGCCTAGAGACATTATTAGATAGATTGGTGAAATTATCATTTTTAAAAGCTGTTTCAGGCTTGCTTTATGTCAGACAAAATAGAGTTTAAGCCAAAAATAGTAAAAAGAGACAAAGGTTATTATAGATTGATAAAGGGGTAAATACATCAAGAAGATACAGTAATTTTATATTTATATGCCCAACATTGGAGCAACTGAATTTATAAAGCAAAAACTAACAGAACTAAATGGAGAAATAAACAATAATGCAGTAATAGTTGGGTACTTTAATACCCCACTCTCAACAATTAATAAATCATCTATATAATCAATAAACAGCAGATTTGAACAATACTATATATCACATAGACCTAACAGACATATACAGAACATTCTATGCAACAACAGTGCAATACACATTCTTCTCAAACACATGTGGAATGTTTTCTAGCATAGATTATATAGTAGAACACTAAGCAAGTCTTACCAATTTCAAGAAGATCAAAATTATACTGAACAAGTATCTCTTGACCATAGTATCATGAAACTAGAAGTCAGTAGTAAGAGGAAAACTGGAAAATTCATGAACACATAGAAATGAATCAATACTCCCCTGAACAACCAATAAAGGGGAATAAAAAAGTTTCTTGAGATAATTGAAAACAGGAATACAACATACCAAAACCTGTGGGGTGTAGCAAAAGCAGTTCTAAGAGGGTAATGCATAGTAATAAACACCTACATTAAAAAGCAAGAAAACTCCCAAATAAACAACCTAACTCTATACTTTAAGGAATTAGGGAAAGAACAGACTGAGCCCAAAGTTAGCAAAGAAAGGAAGTAATAAATAATTAGAGCAGAAATAAATGAAATAGAGAATAAAAAAGCAGTATAAAAGATTAAGCAAACTAAGAGTTGGTTCTTTGTGAGAAATAAAATTGATAAACCCCTAGCTAGACTAATCAAGGAAAAAATAGAAAGGAGCCAAATCAATAAAATTATAAATGAAAAAGGAGACATTATAATAACCTATACCACAGAAATTCAAAGGATCATAAGAGACCACCATCAATAACTATATGCCAATGAACTGGACAGCCTAGAAGAAATGGAGAAATCTTAACAACATACAGTTGACTGAGTCAGGAAACATTTCTGTCCCAGTAACCTTTCTAAAACAAGGAGTGAATCTTGCTTACCATCTGTGAAAACTTTTGATGTTTCTCTTGTCTTCTGGATAAATCCACAGTATTTTATACAGCATGCATGGCCTGGTCCTAGTCCTGGTAGCTTAAGTAAATTAATTGGAACTGCCTGGGATGTTGTACTGAGAATTGTTAGACTATGAGGAAGTTCATGAGAAGTTGTACTGCTTATCAACTGAATGTTTATGTTCCTTCAGAATTCATACCTTGGAGTCTAACCTCCTATATGAGGATATTTGGAAATGGGGCCTTTGGGAGATTCTTAGGTCATTAGAGTGGAACCCTCATGAGTGAGATTAGTGCTCTTGCAAAAGAGACCCCAGAGAGCTCCCTTGTCCCTTCCACCATATGAGGACAGAGGGAGGTTGGCTGTCTGTGAACCAGGGTTCTCACCAGATATCGAATATGCATGTGCTTTCATTGTGGGCATTATAGCCTCTAGAACTATGAGAAATAAATGTTTGTTGTTTAAGCCAAAAAAATAAAACAGGACTGAATCAGGAAGAAATAGAAAATCTGAATAAAAAATCTAATTACCAGTGAGGAGGTTGAATCAGTAATCAAAACTCTCCCAATGAAGAAATGCCCAGGACCAGATGACTTCACTGGTGAAGTTTACCAAATACTTAAGAATTGAAACTTATTTCTTTTCACACTCTCATAAAAATTTGAAGAGGATACAGTACTTCCCAAACTCACTTTACAAAGCCAGCATTATCCTTAAAAAAGCAACCCCCCCCCGAGAAACTGACACTAGTAGAAAAGAAAACTATAGACCAATATTCTTGATGAATATATAGCAAACATTAAAATAAAATTAAAACAAACAATTCAGCAGCACATTAAAAGGATGTTAGGCCCTGGCTGGTGTGGCTCAGTGGATTGAGTGCCAACCTGCGAACCAAAGGGTCACTGGTTCAATTCCCAGTCAGGGCACATGCCTGGGTTGTGGGACAGGTCCCCAGCAGGGGGTGCACTAGAGGCAACCACACAATTATGTTTCTGTGCCTTTCTTTCTCCCTCCCTTTCCTTCTCTCTAAAAATAAATACATAAAATTTTTAAAAATAAAAGATTATTGGGTGTGTCCCTGGGAGGCAAGGTTGGTTCAACACATGCAAATCAGTATAATACACAAGAGTCATATGGTCATCTCAATAGCTGCAGGAAAAGCATTTGACAAAATTCAACATTCATTCATGACAGAGGCTCTGAAAAATTAGGCATCGAAGGAACATACTCAACATAATAAAGATCATACAGGACAAGCCCACAGCTAACTTCATACTTTATGGTGAAAGCATGGAAACGTTCTTTTTAAGATCAGGAACAAGAAAAGGGTGCCCACTCACCACTCCTAGTCAGCATAGTACTAGAAGTTCTAGCTATAGCATTTGGGTCAGAAAAAGAAATAAAAGTTATCAGAATTGAAAAGCAAGGAGTAAAATTGTCTCTAATTGCATATAACATGATTTTATATATAGAAAATCCTAAAACACAACCAAAAAATTGTTAGATCTAATCAATGAATTCAATAAAGTTGCCTAATACAAATTTAATATGCAAAAGTCAGTAGTTTCTATACATTAAAATGAATTTCCTGAAAAAGAAATAAAGAGATCTGTTTCATTTACAATAGCATCAAAAACAGTAAAATGTCTAGGGATAAATTTAACCAAGGAGGTGGAATATCTCCACACTGAAGACTATAAGACATTGATGAAAGAAATCAGAGATGACACAAATAAATGGCAGGTATCCAGTATTCATGGATTGGAAGAATTAATATTGTTCAAATGTCAGTACTACCAAAAGACATCTGTAGATTCACTGCAATCCCTATCGAGATTCCAAGGACATTTTTACAGAAGTAGAAAACATCCCTAAAATTTATATGGAACCACAGAAGTCACATAGCCAAAGTACTCTTGAGAAATAAGAACAAAGCAGGAGGCATCATACTTCCTGATTTTAAACTGTACAGTAAAGCTGTAGTCATCAAACAATATGGTATTGCGTAAAAACAGACAAATACACCAATGAAACAGAATCGGGAGCCACAAAATAGGCTGAAGCATATCCTGTCAGCTAATATTTTACAAGAGAACTAAGAATACTCAATGAAGAAAAGACAGTCTTTTCATACGTGATGCTGAGATAACTGGATATTTTACATGTAAAAGTGAAACTGGACCCATAGCTTACACTACTCACGATAATTAACTCAAAGTGCATTAAAGACTTAAATATACAACCCAAAACCATAAAACTCCTAGAAGAAAACATAGAAATAAAGCTTCTTAACATAGGTCTTTGGTAATGATCTTTTGGATATGACACCTAAAACACAAGCAGCAACATGAAAACTAAGCAAGTGCAATTGCATCAAACTAAAAAGCTGCTGCACAGCAGAAGAAACCATCAGCAAAGTGAAAAGACAACCTAGGAAATAGGAAACATATTTGCACACCATATATCTGATAAGGGGTTAATATCTAAAATATATAAAGATCTCATACAACTCAATACCAAAACAAACAGACAACCCAACTGAAAAAGGGGCAAAGGAGCTGAACAGACAGGTACAATGAAGGATACTCAACACAACCAGTCATTAGGGAACTGTAAGTTAGAACCACAGTGAGATATCACCTCACTGTTAGAATGGTCATCATCAAAAAGTTGAGATGATAAATACTGATGTGGGTATGGAGAAAAGGAAACCATTTGGCCTTGTTTGTAGGATTGTAAATTGGTGCAGCCATGATGGAAAATAGTATTGGGGGATCCTAAAAAAGTTAAAAATAGCTCTATTATAGCTACCATATATGATCCAGCAATTCCATTTCTGGGTATATATCCAAAGGGGAGAAAAACCACTAACCTGCGAAGATATCTGCACCTCCATGTTTTTTGCAGCATTGTTTGCAATAGCCAAGAAATGGAAACAACCTAATGTTCATCAGTGGATGAATAAAGTTGTATTTTTATATGTATTTATATATATATATAAATGTACACACAAGGGGAAATTATCCAATCATTAAAAAAGAGGAAATTCTATCATTTGTGACAACAGGTTGGCCCTTAAAGGCATTATGCTAAGTAAAATAAGTCAGATAGAAAAGACAAATACTGTATGATCTCACTTATCTGTGGAATCTGAAAACAAACTGATAAAGAGATTAAACTTCTGGTTACCAGAGGTGAAGGGGAGGGGAAATTGAAGAAAGGTAGTCAAAGGTACAAATGTTTAGTTACAAAATAAGTTTGAGGGATGTAATATATAACATGATGACTGAGGTCAGAACTGCGGTATGATATGGAAGAGAGCTGTTAAGAAGAGTAAATCCTAAGAGTTCTCATCCAAAGGAGATTTTTTTTCTCTCTTTATATTGTATTTATATGAGAAGATGGATGTTATCTGCATGCCTTAAACTTACAGTGATGAATGTCAGTTATTTCTCAGTGATGATGAGGGGGTGATATGGAGAGGGGAGAAGATTAACATGCTTGTTGCAGGTTCTCCCGGGACAGACTGATCAGTTTATTTTGTGTGAAGTGCTCCTTATAAAATATATTGAATCATTCCGATCAGATTATTAGTCTTTCTCACACTAGTACTGCATGTAAAAGCTTCTTGTTCACATGTTTGTAGTCATCCCTACTTGTTGAGGAAATTAGGCCTTGATTCTTTATGGCTTCCACTGTGTTTTTGAATTGCACATGAAGTTTCAGGAATGATTTATTCACTCCAAGGGAAATTAATGCAGATCCACATAGCTTGTTTAAACTGTGATTCTGGAAGAAACATTAGTAGGTCTGGTGTTTGGGACAGGGGTGGGTAGAGGGGAAAAGTTCTACACATTTACGGAAACCATTGCTTTTGTGTCTCTGTCTTTGCAGAGTCATCGCCAGCCATCTATTTTTTTCTTTTTTTTTTTTAAGCACAGGGTTTCAGTTGCTTAGAGACATTAGCAAGATCAGTGAAATTACCATTTTAAAAAGCTGTTTCAGGCTGCTCTGTGTGAATTTTTCTCCCATTCCTATTTATAAAGATGTTATGTGTGGTATCTATAAAAAACTTTTCACCACATACATAGATGATAAAGCATACTTAGCATTAAATTTTTCCATTTATCATGACTTTTTCTGCCTTTTCTAAATAGCTCAAGGAACTTAGGAGAATCCCACATAATTTTTTCAGATAGTTAAATCTCAAGAGTAAAGGGGTGGTTTAGTTATAACATTAAGCTTAATAGAGTGAATAACATTCTCTCTAAAATTTGGGCATTATTCAGGTTTCTCTTTAATTCAGCAATTCTGTTTAAAAAACAGACAAATGGTGAGCACATACTAAGAATAGTCTTTAGGTCAGCTTCTTGGTTAGCCTACTAGTAACTCTTCAGAGAGCAAATGAATTTTTAAAGTGGCAGTGGCTGTGACTTTTGCTGGTTAAAAGTAAATGGGTACTGCCTACCTGGTTACATGGTCTAGTCGATTTCAGTAGAAATTTTCATGTAGTTGCTGCCCCAAAAGGTTTTGTATCATCAGCAAACTTAGAGTCCAATTTAAGACTATACTTCTGATAAGGTGAAAGGAACAGGGCTTGGCACTAGTAAGTACTTTGGAAATATTTAATGAAGGAATAAATCCCCCCCCCCCATTCCTCCCACTCAAGTAAACAAGATTATTGGTAGCTTTCATAGTTAAGAAGGGAAGGAAATATAGCAAAAATAATTCAGGATATAGAGCCAGGTGATAATTGGTGGCTTATTAAACACTATGTGTTTTGCTTTTAAAGCAGTCCATAAAAAAATGTCCTGTATTATAATGGAACTGAATTATGTTATTAAAATTTCACATAAAATTATTCTCTTTAAATTTTGTGTCCGTGAATTGTTTTGAAGTATTGGGTAAACTTGTTGGAATGTAGAGTGCTGTGGAGCAGAGGTATACTATGTTATTTATAAATACATTTTTAAAAAATAAGTAATAACAGGCAATTTACATTTATTAGTTAAAAGTAAAGATGGGGAAAAAAGCTTTGATCTTTAGATATTCTTTTATTGAATATCCTTCCAAGTGTTTTCCTTTTAGTTTGCTCTTTTATTTTTATTCATCTTCCCTCTTCTGGCTTTTTCCTGCCCTTTTGACTTTGGCAGTGACATAATGGTACTTTTGTACTTGTATTTCTGTTGAGGGGAATAGTAGTCAATTGTTGTTTTTGTTTTTTCTTCTTCTAATAAACATGGCTTCTGCTTTAGGACCTACTGGGAAAATTTTGAAAGCTAAGTGAGAATTATTGCTAGCTAATAAACTTGTCTGAGCTTTAGCTCGTTTTTATTTCAGTTCATATTTTTGACCATTAAGCCTTTTCCAAATCATGCTTTAACCGGACTTCTTATTTTATATGCTTTCTTGTTTAGGGGACTGGGTTAATGTTGCATAAGAAGAGCCAGATAACTGAACAGTGTAAATACATAATTATATATTATATAATAATATGTAATTAATTATATATAATTACACATATAATTATATAAATGCCTTGTAATTAATAAGGCATTTTCGTGTTTTTTTTATTTCCACATTTCTTCCTGATAGTTTTAGAATAATGATAAAAGTAATTCCCAGGATAGATATTCTTAAGTTATGGTGAAGAATTTGAAATATAATGATTCTGAATAAATATTATATTTTCCTAATAAATCTGCTTCTCCAAACAGAAGTGATTTGCACAGATTTTTAAGGCAATAAGTGATGGTTGCATACCATAATTGAAAAAAATATGTAAAACTGCATTTTGGTGATGTATTTAGTTGTTAGTGCTTTTGTAGATAATTTAAAATTTAATCTCAGGCTTCACAAGACAAAGGACTGTGTGTTACTGGTGTCTCCCAATGCCTAGGATGGCATGTACCATATAGATGCACAGTAACTCTTTGGATGGACAGGGGGACAGATGGATGAGCACATGGTTGGATGCACAGAATTCTTAGAATAAAATGCCATCTATAGTGCATTAAATTTAATTTGGTTTTTAAAATGTTTTTAAAGTAATTGTTGTGCCTAGTCTAGTCCAATCAGGAGTCTTAATTTTAAAATAACTCTTTGCTTTAGAAGAAGCTTTGAGGGATGAAACCAATTTGTCTCTGTGGGTTTGGGGTTTTTTTTGGGGGGGTTTGTTTTTTAGGACATTCTGATAAATGGTCAAATATGTTAAAACATTTAAGTAGACTTACAATTTTATTCTGTATTTTTCTCTGCAGTTTCTTCACTTTAATATTAATTAATGCTTGTTTCTAGTTGAGCTGATAACATTCTTCTCCCAAATGTTGCAGAGCTTTTAACCTCCTCTGATTAGACTATTTCAGGAATAGCCTGGAAACAGAAAAATGTGAAATTTTAAAAGTAATCTTTCTTAGAGATTTTCAATTCAGAATCTCTAAATTGATTTTTTTTATTGTATTTAGTCATTTAATGTTTATTTTTTATCAGTAGGCTTTAAGTTAAATGCCAGCTATTGAAAAAAGAAATTTAAGTCAATTGAAGGATACACAGAGAAGTATTTAAATATCAAGAAAAAATCATGTAGACATATAGAAGTGTTTTTGTAGTGTGATCTGTTTATAATCAACATTTTATATCAAATTTATTAAAAGCTAGGAATTAACTGAAATGTAAATATTAAATATACCCAAATCCACCTGGGGAGAGCTTTTCTGTGATTTATAGCCAGAAATAGTAGATATGATTGTCTCAACATTTCTTGCTGTTTTATTATATTAGTGCTTTGGCTTAAAAAAATGTATTACAATTGAAATTCAGAAATAAAATTCATCCCTCTAAATTCAGTTGATTTCTGATTTTTTTTGTTGATTCCATTTGTGTTACATTTGATCGTGTAATTTTATGTACAAGCCAACATTGTTTTTGTTGCTGTATGTAGTTGGTGCTGTGACTTGTTTGTGCTCATCTCTGTTCTGTAGGCAACTTGCCACTCCCTACTGAATAAAGCTACAGTAAAAGAAAAAAAGGAAAACAAAAAATCAGTAAGTTTGGAGTACTTTTTATTAGCTGTTTCTTTCAAAGCAAAACAAAAATCTTTTGCTGTTTGTTAAGAACATCTTCACTTCAGCCTATTTGACCTTCACTGTAAAATCATTCTACTAATTCTGGCACAAAATAGCTTTCATTTCAATTAACCCTGGAATTAAGTTACATTGAAACATTCTCTGTGTTCCTTTGGTTTGATTTATCCAAAGGCATTTTGGGGCATTTGTTGCATTGGATATCCCTGGTCTAATTTTATTGTCGTCGTTGTTGTTTTAATTACAAATGAATGCTAAAGAAACTTAATTTCAAGGCCTTAGGAAATGCTGTCTTCATTCTTGCTTCTTGTTTGCAGGTAATGTGAGTGGTTTCTTTTTCTAGAGCTGAAAGGTTTTCTTAATTGATAGAAGTATATGGAAGGAAAGTATCACTTTCTAACTTGTTTTCTGTGATTTCAGCAACCTAAAAGTTGCTGAATTTTATTTTTTACTCTTTATATTTTTATCTCATAGACCATCCCAGCCAAAATTTAGGTATCTGTGCTCAGATCATAAAAATCCTAATGGTAAAATCACTTTTACTTTAGAGAAAATCATTACTAAACTATTGGGACTGAGAACATACTACTTTGGAAATAAAGGAACACTCAGTGAGTCCATGTTTGTAGAGAAATACCTCATTTTGCAAACATGATAGGAATACACTGCCTGCTTCTATGAAGTTGCCCTAATTTAAAGGGAATAAAATTAGGGTAGGCAAGATTATTTTCTTCCCATGAGTGGAATTTGTCCAAAATATAATGTGCATTCACTTTAAATTCGTCATTACCTGTCAGCAGGACTTAACCTTTACCCAGAAAGTACTGTGTTCGTGCACATCATCTCAGTGGTTTCAGAGGAAGAATTAAAGCCTTTAGGAGCTATGCAGGTGATTTGCTTAAAAAGGTAAATTTAGAATATAGTATACAGCAGTTTAATTTGTCATTCCTTGTCTAAACTTTACATATAATAAATTTTTGTTTTAAATTCAGAACTAAATTAAAAATTGGAGACATAAAGTAAATCTTTTTGAGTATATCAAGTAAATTTGTTCAGCACTGAGCAAATGAATTGGATTGGATGGCCATCTTGCTTGATAAAAACATTTCTTTCTAATGCTTCAGCTTTCTAATTCTCAGCATACATAGGTTTAACACGATGTACGCCATCACTGTGGAAATTAACTTACTGTCTCTAACACTCCTGGTCAGTGTTCTACTAACACTGTTGTGTAGTGTATCCCATCAATTACAATTCAGGCTTTCTGTGTTTCTCTCGCGCATGTTCTCTGGCCTTCCTAACATTGCTTTATTTATTAAGATTTTGTCTAAAATGGTTCCTTGAAATGTTTTTTTTCTACTAGTGTTATTTTCAGATTTTTTTTTTTAAGTTTCAGAGTGACACTAAGTTTTGGAATGTATTTCTCAGCACAGGTGATACGAGGTCCTCATGAAAACAAAGGGAATGTAATTGGTAATTTGAGATACATTAGAACATGTTCCGAAGTATGAAGACAGTATAGTTGTTATAAATTTAAAATGTTGATTTATGGATATATTGGCTTAATGGAACTTAATCTTTTGAAAGCAAGTTAACTTTCTTTTGGGGTGTGTGTTTTGTGGATGGGAATATGTAAAATATATAGAGAAGATTCTGGCTTCTGACATAGAGTTGTGTAGTCATGTTGTAGATAACTCTGTTTATTAGACTCAAATATATAATGTATAATTAGATTTCCTTTGAGAAGTTAATTGTCCACCTAGCCTAGATAATTAAGTATGTTAGGGTAGTGACCCTCTTGCTGATGCACAGTTTGTGACTGCATTTGTTCGTAACATGTAGTTCAGTTTCTACTAAGGGGAGTGAAGCTAGCGTTGTGAACTAGTTTCCACAACCGGAGCAGCCTAACTTTGACTTGTACGAAGAATTTCTTTGGGACCCAAACTAAATTTCTGCACATTAAAAAACCCTTGAACATGTGTATATTATGAGGTGAAAACACACTGGTGTTAAGTAGTGGGGAAAGAAATAGAAGTGCTTATTGATATTGACTACATTTTATCAGGTTTTAGTTCTAAATTGCAGTGAAACTGCCATCAGTGAGACACACCGCAGTCAGGTGATACACAAAACTGTGTTTCTGATGTGGGGGTTCTTTGAATTTTGATGTGAAGTGTTTGTGAAGATGTGGAAGATAGTAAAGGTGTAATACTTTGCCTAAATTTTACAATATTCTCCCTTTGGGAAATAGTTCACTCAAATTTTCATTAAATTCTGAGACTGAGTAGTATTAAGTATAAATCAGGTATAAATGTGAGTCATAACTTTTTTGTTAGAGAAAACCAGTGAAGAGCTATGTTCAAGATGCATTTTAAAAGAACTCTCCATGTGCATATAAGTTATTGATTTTTATAAGATACTTTCACAGGTTAGTATTTTATAAATTAACTGGTTCTTTGGAAATCAAACTATACCTTTTAGCTTTTTGAAAACCATTTCAGGATTTTAATGGATTAAACAATATATGCTAATTTTAAAAAGACCTATTTAAACTTAAATATAGAGTAGTTTTTAATCCTCTTCCTTCTTGCTCACTCATTCCCTAAAGGCTTTAAAATATTATAGATTTGTTGGTATGTTTCTTCTGTTTCAAGAACCACCCAGTATCAGTAGTGGTCTATGAACATTCTGAAACTGTATGAAGAATTTTGTCTGTGTGTATATGTATGTTCATTTTTCTGTTCCTACTCCTCCGAAGGTTAAACACTGAACTGCAGTGTCAAAGCACTTGAATATTCTTCCCAATTCTATTTCTAAAACTGTATTTCAACTAAAAATAACTCTAAAATAGTTTTTAGGTTTTAAAGCTGTTCTACTAAGGCTGCTGCATTTAGCTGCTTTTACCAGTTTCCCCTTATTTACATGTAAGGTTGTCCTTCGTGCAGCGGCATTCAAGTCCTATAACACAAAGAAAGCCTTCTGAGCTTCATAGCATAAATGGAGGTGAGAATTTATGAGTTAAAATTCACCTCTGATATCGCCTCTTACAAAGATTTTCTTCGGCTTAAAAAATCATTTTGTAAAAGTCTTATTTTTATTAATTCCCTATCCGATATGATAGAAAATTATTTTTGAGACTTTAGGCAGTACATAAAAACACATTTAAAATGTATACCACGTGAAGCACTAAAGGGAATAGAACGAAATGAAATAATCTTTATTCTCTCCAGAATTAAACTGGATTTAGTGAGCCATGTGAATTCACGAAAAGATGTGTTACTTCTTGGAGGCGTTGTGAAGAAAACCAGAGTTATGTGAGATTCTGCACCTAAATCCCATTCACTCATTTTCTCCCAGCATCCTTCGAAATGCTGCAGACTTGTCCCTGGAATCCCCGAGTCCTGAGTGGAGTGCTGGCTTCTTGCCACTATAGCTACCACTGCTTTAAGCAGCAGTCAGTCATAATAAACAAGAAAAGTTGTAGAAATTAAAATGATATGCAAGTGTTTTTTAACAGTAAATGTGTGTTTTCTGTAAAAAAATGTAAATTTCAAAATAATTTCCATGTTAACTTAAAGCCGGAGGGACCGGAAGGAGATGGGAGCTGTGCCAGTTCATTGACACTTCCCCCAGTCTCACCCGTTACTGTACCTTCCAAGTAGGGCGTTTTATCAAGAGAAAATTAATTCATTTTACATATTGGGCTCCCATTGTTTTTCAGTGTGGGCAGCTAGTTTTTGAATCCTTAACTTTATATATATATATATTTTTTTTTTTTTGACAGAATCTTAAATTGAGGTTCACATAGGAGTTCTCTTTTTGGTTGGTGGGATCCTTTTTCTTTTTAGATCCCAAGAATTCCCATTCTTCCATGGTTTAAATAATAAGTAGGTCCTTATATTATAGAAAAGCATTCTGATGAAGAAAAGAAACTGGCAATATAATGTTACTTGTAAGTAAGTTTTTTCTCTCGATAGGAATCTAAGAAAACTAAGTTTTGTTTTGTTGGAAAGCATTTTGCTCAAGAAATTTAATTGTACCAGGTACACACCAAAATGTAAGTATTTACTGTTAGGTATTAGATATTTAGGGGTGTGCTGTTGGAAACTTACCTACGTCTTAATGAGTTGATCATATTCTTATGTGTTAATCTTAGTAAAATATGATTACCTTTTGTGTGAAAAGTTGATCTGCTTTTATTACTCAGCAAATCTGCAGTACAAACAATAATAACAAAATTAAGATCTTTTTTTAGGTCTTGTCTACAAAACTTATGAGATTTTTCCTTTTTCTTAGACATCTGTATTGTATTTTAAAGTGATGGAAAGCAAGAATTGAGGATGAACTTTACTGATATTTTGGGAGTAGGAAAAAATAGAAAAGTATTGTTCCTGAGAATTGGTCTAGTCAGAGCTTTTGTGCAAAGTTTGACCTTCAAGCTCTTTCTTCCCATTTGCTTGTTTTAACTCAAAGCACATATTCAATTCTCGACTCCTTGTTTTTAGGTGGTTAGCCAGCGTTTTCCTCAGAACAGCATCGGTGCAGTAGGAAGTGCCATGTTCCTCAGATTTATCAATCCTGCCATTGTCTCACCGTATGAAGCAGGGATTTTAGATAAAAAGCCACCACCTAGAATTGAAAGGGGCTTGAAGTTAATGTCAAAGGTGAAGAATTATTTTGATGATCTGTTTTAAATTTTCTTTCAATTAAAATTTTAGAGTTTCATATTCACTGTACTTCCTCTTTTTACTTTTGAAATGCCTTATAGTTTTCACTTAAATGCTTTTGTTTTATTTGTGTCTATGTTACAAAGGAATTCATTAGACTGATACTTGGGGTATCTTATCATGAAAAAATATTTTAGAAAATGTCTTTTTAAGATAGTTTTCTATATAATCACACTGGAAATTCTGAAATGGGGACCAAAATGTATACTATATGATTTTTTAAAAATACATTAAAATTTCTTAATATGCACTTTTATATATATGTATTTATGTGTAGCTATAATAATTATATTTGGGAAAGAATAGAACAACTTCTAGTATTTATAGAATAAGGAATAATTGAATAAATAATGATACTGATGAAAATTCATGTTTTTTGACAAACATACAGATGTGTCAACTTCATACAATAAAAATAATGTGATTTTTTATTACCTTGTTTTATTGTTCAGATACTTCAGAGTATTGCCAATCATGTTCTCTTCACAAAAGAAGAGCATATGCGGCCTTTTAATGATTTTGTAAAAAGCAACTTTGATGCAGCACGAAGGTAAGCAGCCTGCCACGTAGTTGGTTGCTCTGTTTGAATCAGATGTTTTCACTTTCACTTAGTGTCCATGAAGCTCCTGTGTAGGTTTTTTCTTGTTCCTCTCTAGGTCCAGAACATAGTAAATCTTATTTTGCTATAAAAGACGGCAATGAAGTAAATACATATTCTTTATAATTTGGTAGTGTTTTTCATATTTCAAAACCTAGAGGGATTTTTGACATATTACTAAAATAAAGGATTTAAGGTTGCCACAATATAGAGCAGAGAAAGTAGGAAAAGATTCCTTTTAGTAAAAACTAAAACAAAAAATGGTACAGATAATGCATATCAGTGTAAAATCACAATTTTTTTGATGTTAGAATATTTTTCATGCTTCAGTTTAGAAGTGTGTCTGAACTAAAATGTCACTCTTTAAACCAAGTAATGCACGTGCATACAATTTTGTTCATGAGTAACTGGACAACTGTTGGGAACTCTTATGATTTGAGAAAACTTAACATCTTTAAGGTTTTCATAACTAAATAGTTGCTTTCTGTTTATCTCTCTGAGTTAGTTTATCTGTAAACTAGGGATTATGTTTGCCTGAGTTGACTTAGAGGAACAAATGAGATAATTTGAGAAAATGCTTTATAAATGTAAATTAATGTCCAGAGTTCTGCCTTTTCTGCAGTCTGAATCTAATTGATCTGACTCATAGTCTAAGCTAAATTGTACAACTCTTTCAGTTTTTCATCATAATTCATGTCAATTTCCTTCTAATTGGAGTTTAAAAGGTATATTGTTTAACTGCAACCCATATTGGAGGAAAAGTGAATGTCGATATAGGATTCATAGTTTAGCTGTTGACTGTTCGTAGCAAGTTCAGAGAGGCAAGGGTCTGATCCTGGCTCTCACCTACAGGTGATATAATTTGGGGGAGGTCTTTTGAGTTGCCTGGGCCTCCATTTCCTTATTTGTAAGTTACTGGCTTCTCTCATAGCCTCATCCATCTAAATTTGGTATTTGTCTGTCTGCAGAGCCTATTCTGAAGGTGCACCTAGGTATCAGAAATGAGAACCAAGTTTCTCCTTGTCCCTTCTTTTCTTACTTAATGATGGTCACATTTGTGAATACATCCTCTATATTTGTAATCTCGGTTATTTCACAAAGTTACTTTTTATAAATTTAATTCCAACATAGCTATGGGTGTATCTGGTTTTTAAATTCTAATGATTTTATATTTTTCAAGGTTTTTCCTTGATATAGCATCTGATTGTCCCACAAGTGATGCAGTAAATCATAGTCTTTCCTTCATCAGTGATGGCAATGTGCTTGCTTTACATCGTCTGCTCTGGAACAATCAGGAGAAAATTGGCCAGTATCTTTCCAGCAATAGGTAAGATTTCCCAGTCATAGGCGTATTGAAAATCAGTTTAAATATATATTAATAAAATTATTGGTTATGAATAATGCTTTTTACTTTACATCTTTTTAGAATAAGAATTATGGTTTGGAAAAAGAAATTCAGGCTCTTTCTGAAAATATGTAAGCAAAAAGTTATTAAATGATCAAAAAGCCCGCCTAGGTGCTACAGACTTTTTTTTAAAGATTTTATTTATTTACTTTTAGACAGAAGGGAAGGGAGGGAGAAAGACAGGGAAAGAAGCATCAATATGTAGTTGCCTGTCATATACCTCCTGCTGGGGACCTGGCCCACAGCCCAGGCATATGCCCTGACTGGGAATCAAACTGGAGACCCTTTGGTTTGCAGGCGAGCACTCAGTCCACTGAGTCACACCAGTCAGGACCAGACTTTTTTCTTTTTTTTCTTTTCTTTTTTAATGTTAAGCTAGGAAATCACAAATTAGCCCTTTGGGTTTTTGACTTGCAAACTATAATACATTATGTCCAACAAGACAGAAGTTCAAATTTATTAGCAGATCAAATGAGTATTGGCATTTGAATCTGAAGAGTAGCTCATTCTTAGGAATTTAATAATTAAAACATCAATGTATTAATTTTATAATAATCTCATTTGTGATACTTGAAGTATATGCTTTATATAGAAAATACTCAATAACTGAAAATTATTTATTTGGGAATTATTTCCTTAGTTGTTTCAGTTAGTCTTTGTAACCTGAATTACTTGCCGTCCTTTCTAGTTATGTATGTTTATAAAGGGCCCAGATTCCTGTGCATGAAAAGTTCTCTCACAAAGGTAAAATGAGTCTAGGTTATTTTTTAAATGCCAATAAGAGTGGTTTGCCCACTCATGGAAAAGGTAGAAGACCATGAAATTAAGACCGAGAACCAACTAGGGGAGAGAGAGCATTTCAGTCCATCGTGAGTTGTTAGTGGATTGAAGCAGACATGGGCATGACTGGTGTGTGCCCCAAAACAGAAAAATGAAGATGCTGTGTCTGGGTGACACTGAAGGAAACGGTGGCACTTTTACATGCAAACATTCCTTCTCTTATATAATGCCATATATATTCATGTAGTTTGATGCTAGAGAAAATTTTAAAAAATAATTTTTATAAAAAAATACATGTACATTTTAAACACAAAAAAAGGTATAGAACATAATATAACAGAGAACCATGTCTACCATCTAGATTTAATATTTATTTTACTATATTACTTCAGATTTGTATAGCATTTTATTTCTTGGGGAAAAAGATATTATTTCTCTCTAAAGAATTGACAAAATAAGGAAATTATAGTATTATAATATAGTTTTGTGTTTTCAAATTTTATAGAAATGATGTACTAAATATAGTCTCCCCATGCAACATTCTGTTTGAGATATCTTATTTAACTTATGTTAATATTTCATTGATGACTATATTATAGTTTAATTTGCATTTCCTAATTGATGGATACTTAGGTTTATTTTCTGTTTTTCAATGTTTTAAATAGTGATGTAATGAATGATACCATACTTGGCCCCTCGCGTATTACCTAGATGTGTAGTTGCTGCTTTCCGGGGCACATGCAGCCTGGGCTTCACTAGCCGCCGCCACGTGCTTTTCGAAGTGCACATGCCTGTTCACTCTCCGACATGCAGCCTGTGGGCGTGCCTCCTTACACAGTCTCACCAGAGTTGGGCGTTAGCAGACTGTATTTTTTGCCAAAGTGATGTTTGTAAAATAGTATCTTGTTATTCTTACATAATTTTAAATATTTGATAGTTATTGAAAATCCATATTTAATCTGGTTAAGCAGAAATAAGATATCAGGGACAGTATGTCTAATTCCTAAATAGTGGTTTCTCAAAATGGATTATTTTTATCGTGAGAAGAAGTGTTATTTTTACTTACTGATTGTCCATTTAATGGTACTGGGAATTAGAACACTAGGAAAGAGAATTGTTAGGTAAATGTTGTGGTTTGGGGAGTGGTCATATTTCGAAGGTGTCTCAGTGTGTACTTACACCCTCGAAGTCTCTCACAAGTCAGTGGAAACCCCAGCTCACAGTCAAATGAACAGCTACGAATGGCACTCTAAAGAAATGTGTGCTCGCTGCTCTTTCCTAAGTAGTTTCCTTTGTCTAGGGATCACAAAGCTGTGGGGAGACGGCCTTTTGATAAGATGGCAACACTTCTTGCGTACCTGGGGCCTCCGGAGCACAAACCTGTGGCAGATACACACTGGTCCAGTCTTAACCTTACCAGTTCAAAGTTTGAGGAATTCATGACTAGGTAAGGTACCACCTTATTTTTTTTCTTTCTGGTTGAGGTACAAGGTTTACTACTGGACAGGTTGTTAGATATGCTTCAGTTTGTGATAGAGAATTATCAGGAAGGATGTACCTAATATCCACATTGCCATATGTGGGGATTTAAATTTTCTTTACCCTTTCTATTTTTGAAATATTTTTTTAATCATTTATTTTCCTATATATAAAAATAATAGTACCTTATTGAGTAGTACTTTGTCATGTTGCTTTGAGGTGTTTTTGCACTAATTCTTATAAAGGGAGTATAGATAACATTATTTTCATATTACAGTTAAAGAAAATAATATTCTAGCAACTGTTTATGGGGTTAGGGGGGTACTTGAAATATTAAGAGGACACTTTGTAAAGTATATGATTTTCCAGCCACTATGCTATACACCTGAAACTAACACAATGATAGTGAATGTAAACTAATTGAAATATTTTTTTTAAAAGAAAAAATATAGGTCAAAGTGTATAACTAATTTGCCCAAGATTCCACATCTAATTCATAGGTCCTTTGGTTTTAAGTGCTGGGCTCTTTATACCATATTGTAACATTTTTCAGAACCCTCCTAAAAGTTAACGAGATTTAGACTGAGGCTCAGAAAATTAGTATACTTCAATATTGCTGTGAAATTTCTGTGGACATTTGTTTGAATATCATTTAGGAGGATTTACTTTGTGAGCTAAGTAAACAATGCTTGTTGTTGGATGTTTACTTGTGTGACATTATAATGGAGGTAGTGCTGAATCCTTCAGTCTTTAAAGTCCCTTTCACAGTACTTTACACTAAGTCCCCAGTATGTGCTTCCTAGTGACTGTGGGTTCAGTGTTTTGTTCATAGTATTTCCAGAAGCAGAAAGAAAAAGGCAGAACCTGGGATTCAGAAGTTAATTCACATAAAGATTTGCATATAATGTGCCTTGCATTGTAAGTGCCTATTATTATTAATTACGTTACATATACAGTAGTTCCCCCTTATCCACAGGTTAGCTTTCCACAGTTTCAGTTACCTGTTGTAAAACAGTCTGACAATACTAAATGAAACATTCCAGAAATGAACAATTCGTGAGTTCTAAATTATGTGCTGTTATGAGGAGAGTGATGACATCTTGTGCCATCCCTGCACTGTCGGCCTGGGCCGTGAGTCATCCCTTTGTCCGCTGTGCGCACGGTAGACGCTGCTGCCTGTTACTCACGCGGCAGCCGTCTCCACTCTCGGATTGACTGTTGTGGTATCACAGTGCTCGTGTTCAAGTAGTCCTTGTTTTACCTCGTGATGAGCACAGAGCCATTCACATGGCTTTCATTATAGTTTGTAATTGTTCTATCTCATTATTATTGCTGTTAATCTTACTATGCCTAGTTTATAAATTCAACTTTATTATAGGTTTGTGTGCATAAGAAAAAAACATAGCTTATATAGGGTTTTTTACTATTTGTGCTTTCAAGTGTCCACTGAGGGTCTTGGAATATATTCCAGGGGAGTAACGGGGAACTACTATAGACCATATTTCAGTACACATGACTCTAATTCTTTGATATTGTTAAAACGTATGAATATGTCAATCCAACCTTTTGGTTACGGGACAGCGCCCCAATGAACTGAGCCACATCCCCCAGGTGGGAACTTAATGTATGATAAAAGTGATATTCAGAATCAGGGAGATTAGAATGGACTATTAAGAAGCAGGGGTACAACTGAGTAATCATCTGAAAAAGGTGCTGATACCATTCATGAGAATGAAAAGGTTGAGAAACTGAACTCTTAAAAACCAATAAGTTACTCAAAAACTTCCATCTAAGAAAAAAAACCATGATTAAAAACAATTCTATGGTTAATATCTCTGTCCACTAGTTTTCTTAGGATAGTCCTAAGAACCACTCTGTGTGGTCCAAAGAGTGACTCCTTAAATGTTTTGTTACCTGTTGCCAAATTGCCCTTCAAAGGAGGGGAGAAGGACACACCATCTACCTCTCTGGGTATTTTGTTACTTTGCACATTTTATTATTGGTCCAGTTGTAGATTTTTGTGTACTTAATGGACAATATAAAGCCTGTGACTGCTTCGTTCTTCTCTTCTTGCAGGCATCAAGTACATGAAAAAGAAGAATTCAAGGCTTTGAAAACATTAAGTATTTTCTACCAAGCTGGGACTTCCAAAGCTGGGAATCCTATATTTTATTATGTTGCACGGAGGTAAGGGATACTATGTTGTAGTTTCTCTTAACAAAATTTAAAAAATGCTAGCAAATACAGAGAGAGAGTGTGAGCATGTCAGCAAGTTTGGGTTTTCCCATTTGACTTGACAAGAATTGAAAACGAATCTACCTGGGAGAATATAGCTGGGTAAATAGCTATCTTGGTCTAAAATAATGTGCAATATATTAGAAATTGCTTTTCATATTACCCATTTGATACTGGCTTCTCTTTCCTGCATCAACTTTTTAATACTACCTACAGTGGATTAATTAGCAAGACTAAAAAACATTACAAAGGCTCCTTTGTTTTTAGGTATATTCTGATTAGATAATATCCACAACAGGATCATCGGGAACTTTTCTTTTTAGCAGAAATGAAATTTTAAGCATCTGTTTCTGAGCACTTTTGGTGATGTGCTGTATAAGGTGGCATCAGTGTGATTTAACAAATAGTTCAGAGAAGCTGTGGGAGATTTCTGTAAAGATGGTGTAGGAGGTGACAGCCTGGAAAATTGATTGTATTTATTCATGCTGTCTTCAGTTAAGTCTAGTTCCTAGAAAGCTTTTATGGTAAGGCAGTGAGCTCCTCCTTAACATTAGGTATGATGCCTGTGCTGTGTGCCCTTTCATTGTTGTTTCTTTCTGCTTCATTTTGCCTTCCTTTTGAGAACTCATCCATGACATGATTTGGTCAGTTTTACTTCTTTCCTTCCTGCTTAGTGTGACATAAATTCATGGCTCACTGAACCTTAGAGATAATGTCATATAATAGAGACTACCGGAATGGCTTTGAGATATCAAGGACTTTGGAATATCAAGGACAGTTTAGTCTTAGTGTTGCTATTCATTAGCTGTAGGAATTACTTAGTCTTTCTGAGTTTCTGAACTTAACTTTATATGAAGTTAAGTTCATATTTATATGAACTGAGGAATTATGCCAGTAGACTTAATAGCCATGGGTGGCAAAAACTTGATGTGTATAGAAAATAAATGGGAGTTGAGAAATATTGGGAAAGGAGTGAGGAAAGGAAGGTGGAAGATAGGAAACTCACTTAATCAGATAACTCAGTGTTGAGACTAAGAAGTCCCAAGAACTGGGGCATTAGGGTATCATACCCTCAACTTTCCTCTTTACCAATTCTGAGTAGTATCTCCTCACCTTCCCATGAAAGTCTTCTCTCCAGCTTTTTCTCAGTTGCTGTTTTAAATTGCCTAAGGTAATTTTTGAGATGAACTATATTTATATTCCAACCCTAACCTTTAATACAGCCAGTATATTTTGACTTTCCCTAATTTAGCTAAGTAATGAAAAGTGAAACATTGGTACATGTGTGTCCTCCTCCCCCTTTAAATTCTTAATTAGTTTATGAGTAAAGATTTCTCAGAAACCTCAAAGAAGGTTGTTTTCTTCACAGTCAGAAGGAATGTATAAGATGAGGTTCCTTTGCAGTGACTATCTAGAAAGGCCAGATGAAAGCAGGATGGGCCGGGTGCACGCACCCTCTGGGACTGATCAATGGGCTGTCCAGGAAACCCATGTATGAGAGTGCCGAGGATTCCCTGCTCTACTGCTTGTTAGCTGTGCAAGCTTAGACAAGTTAATTTTTCTAAGTCTGTTTCTTCATATTTTAAAAAAGGGGTGTTTTTCTAAGTCTGTTTCTTCATATTTTAAAAAAGGGGTGGGATGTGCTTATAAAAAACTGTGCCAGTCTGCCTCTCCCAAGTGTTTTGTGACCTATAAAATTCTGTACAGAATGTTTGAAGTTTTTTTCATTTTTTATTTTTTGTTTTTTTGATAGGACCACTGCCAATTTTAGATTTTCAGTCCTTTCAGTTTCTTACTTAGACTTACCAGAACTCTTCCTCTCATGCAGCCTCACCTGGTGTGAAGCCTTAGCTCCAGGAGGGAAGAGCACCCAATAGCTTAATATTAATTTTAGGTATCTTGCAACTGTATTTTGGAACCATTTTTCCCCTGCTGCCATCGCTGAGACTCTTTATCAGCTCTTACCTGTACTATGCAGCATTATCCTCCTATCCCCCAGTCTCCAGGTCGCCACTCCAGCCCATCTTAATATGGCTTCTGGAGGAGGTTTCCAGTGCAAAACTAACCTTGTCTCTCTCAGTAATTAAATAGCACCACTGACGCCCCATGTAAAGCCCAGGTGCTTTAATGAGGCGTGCAAGGGGCCCCTTAATTTTGGCCTTATTTAGTTTCTAATGTTTTCTTGCTATTGCTCCCATGTACTTACACTCCTGCCCCGTAGTAGTTCAAGTGTCATAAATACAAGCACAGTTGTTGCCATAGTGTTTATAGTGGCAGAAGAAAAAAAGAATGCAATATAACTAGTGTTTGAATTTTTTAATAAATGATGATAGATGAGTGTTATGGAGTAATGTGTAGTGTGTTGAAGGTTTTTTTTGTTTTTTTTTTTTTTGCTTGTTACAAGGGACAGAACAAAATTCAAAGTTGTTGTATAAGCTAAAGGGAATGTCAGTTGACCCATGTCCCTAAGAAGATCAAGGGCTGGCCTGGCTCTGTGTGTGACTACATGCAGCGCTGAGAACAGTGTCATCTCAAGGGTGTCTGTCTTCTCTTTCTTTTGGCTCCACTATCTTTATGTTAATTTTATTACTGAGCAGCTCTTCCTAAGCCATAGCCAGCAGTGGCTTGTGTTCCCCAGCTTAAGGACCCCAGTGTAGAAACACCTGTCTCCCAGTAGTTACAGCAGAAGTGCTGGTTTTATTGGCCTGGCTTAAGTCACATGTTAATTCTCAAGGCAGTTACTATGGCAAGGGGGGTGGAATTTCATGGCTGAGTTATGTGCTCATTATTGTAGCTCAGTGGTAAAGCCAGTCCTACTCAACTGAAAAGGGAATTACAGGGGCAGGGTCGCCCGGGGGAAAATTGCATCGCTGATACCAGAATGAGGAGTGATGGATTCTGAGCTGGCAAAAGTGACAGAAGTCCCCTAATGCCACGCTGCTTTTAAAAGACACAGAAGGATGATTCTGACACATAACAAGGTGTGCGTGTGTGTATATCGACTGAGAATCGTGTGAGAGTATACACACTGAACTGCTCACCTTGCTTATCTCAGGGGAGTCTGATTGGAGGAGGTAGAGGGCCCATTGTAATATTTCTGTTGTATATCTCTGTATTGTTAGACTTGTTGCCAAGAACACATACTATTTTTGTAAGAATAATAAAAAATATAAAACCTAAAAGTTACAATGAATAGTTTTCTTGAATATTGTAATTCCTGGCAGTTGTTCTTTGGGTGGTAGTAGTAGCAATAACAGCTAACATTTACTAAGCATTTTGTCTGCATCAGGGACCCCCAAGTGATTCATTTGCAGTCAGTGTATTGCTGAAGTTTGGGAATCCCACAGGTTCGTGTATTTAACTCCTGGTGGCACAAGCTAAAGAGCCAGAGTTGAGTTTCAGACCATAACAACTGCACTGCTAATAGCATGGTTATTATCCCTGTTGAAATTCTACACTAGATTTTTGTTTAGATTAAGCTTTGTATCAATAGAACAACATGAAAATCTCAACGATAGTTATAAGGTTTATTTCTATAAGGAAGAAATCTGAATTCTAGGCCTCTGATTTACAAACGACCTTTTGAAATAGAAAACAAAGGGCTGCTCAAAGCAAGAGAATCTTTTCATTGGAGTAGCTGTAGTATGTATCACAAAGGTTAGCAGATAGGCAATTTTTTTACTGTAACAATGTATTACTATTACACATTCATGAAATAGGGTGACACAGGTGTATTGTTTCATAGAGTACTGTTATTTCTACTTATTAGATTAGCACTTTTTTGTCTATTTAATAAAAAATAAAATAATATAAGAACAACACTCATCACTCCTCATCCCCCACCCATTCTCTCTCTCACACAGAAACATATTTTGGTTAAACACCAACATAACTTCTTCTCTTACACTTTCAATGCAAAAATCTGATTTTCAATTTGATTTTGCAGACTTTGCTATTTTGTGCTTTTTTAGCATTTATAAGAAGGAAATCATATTTAGGTAATAATTAGTTTACACAATTAAAATATTAAAATATGCAAACCACCAAATTAAACTAGGATAATGATGATTTCCTAGAAGTAGTTAAATTTGATTTTCCTAGCATGTTTGTTGTCATTTAGCAGATGATAAAGAACCGAGATAGGAATGCAGGCAGTTCAAGTTCACTTCAGCTTCAGTGCACACAAAACAGCAAAAATATTACATAGAAAAGAAAGTGAATGTTGTCCCTTGGATTCAGTGTGGTGCCGTCATTTTTCATAGTTGTCATATTCATGGTGGTGGCTGTCTTTGAGGTCACTGCTGTTTTCACACTTTTCTTGGGATTCGAGTGTGAGGTTGTCTTAGAATTTGGGCTCATCGTGGAAATCAGGGTTGTTTGGTGATTTGGTGTTGTCTTGGAATCCGTAGTTGCCTTGGAATCTGTAGTTGCCTTAGAATCTGTAGTTGCCTTGGAATCCGTAGTTGCCGTAGAATTCAAATCCATCATGGTATTGGTGACTGTCATAGAACTTGCGGTAGTCGTGTCCCCCACAGTGTAACCAACAAATAGGAGGAAAAGGCTGATGAGTGATAGCTTGAACATCATTTTCCTGTTTAAAAATATTTGTAGAAATTTAATCTGACTTGGATCACAGACAAATGTAAGGACTGTCTTTGTTAAAAGGGGAGAAAAATAAAGGAACCTTCTCAGAACTGGGGAAATGCCAGCCTTTCAGTTTATAGTTGTTAAGATAGAAGGAGATTTAGAAGTGATCAAAATCCACCCTTTCTTCTTACAAATGGGCTCAGGCAAAAGAGCATAACTTGCCTGAGGATGCATATCTAAAAATGACTAGAATTAGAACTTGAGTCTGAGTCTTAGTTCAGTGTTTTTTAGATGTGGATTGTGAAGACATAGAATAGACTTATACCAAAAGTTTAATAGTAAACCATTTTTAAATTAAGGCTAAT